CCTAAAAACTAAAAATAAATTATTATAATTTAAGTAATTAATATAAAAAGTTAATTAATTATACTATTTATTATTAATATAGGTTAATATTACCTTATTAATTAATACTAAGAATATAACCTTTTAGGTAATTAAGTTATTATAATAAGCTAAAATAAGTAAATAAATAATAAGCTAGGTCTTAAATAGTTAAAGTATTTTAATTAATTTATAATTAACTAATTAATTAGTTTTTATTATTTCTTAATTCTTAATAGTTATAAAAGCTATTACTTAGCTAATTTTAAGAGATATTATAAGGAGAATAAGATTATTATACTTTATATACCTACTTATATATCTTATTTACTTTAGCCTCTTAATATTAAGTGCTTTAGGCTATTAAAATAGGCTTATAATTAAGAAATAAAGTATTTAATTAAATACTTTATAACTTATATTTCTAAGACTAAGTTCTTTTTTATCTTTTATATTATATTTAAAGCTATCTTTATAAAAAATAATATCTAAGGGGGTTTTAAAGGGGCTAGACTTACCCTTCTTAACTTAGAAATTATAATCTTAAAGCTTAATATATAATTATAAACCCTAATGCCCCCTAAGAAGGCTATTAAACTATTAATATTATAGGCTTTAAAGACCTTAAAGATAATAATTAAGGCCTAATCTTAATTTAAATACCCTAAAAGGTAAATTAAAAGGTATTATAATAACTCCCTAAAGTCTATTATTAAAGCTTTAAAATTAGCTACTAAGATAATAAAAGCAGTTATATATAAGGTTATATTATTAAGAAATAAGCTTTAAAATCTTTATAAGGTAAATAAGATATTAAGTTAATATTAAAGGATAAAAAGAATTAGATTATAAAAAGAAGGGATTATAATTATATAAGAAGTATTATAAGTAATTAATTAGATAGATATTAATATATAAATAATAGCTAAATTATTAAGAAGTAGTAATTAGGGAAAGTTAAAGTAATTAGGCAGTTAGTATTATAATATATATAATAAGGCTAGTTATAATATAAGGACCTATTAGGAGGATATTAAGATATTTAAAGATAAATATAATAATTAGAATTAATTAATTAAATAGTTTATAGTGTTTTTCTTATAATTTAAAGTATAAAAATAAAGAAAAATAATATACTTACTTATTTAATATATTTACTTATTAATTATATTAAATTAATTAAGTAAAATTATATTTATAATTAGTTTAATAATATATAATTATAATTTTATTTTATTATATTAAAAGTTAACTTAAAGTATTTTAGCCTTTAAAATAAGTTATAAGAAAAAGATTAAGGCTAGCTAAAAAATAAGGCTTTTTAACTAACTTATATATAACTAGGTTTAAGTTATAATTAAAGTAGCTAATTATAATACTATTAACCTTGAAAATATAGCAAGATGAGGAGGAAGTGATGGAGGAAGGGGACATTGATCCAGGTCCAAATGCACCCGATACTGTATCGTCTATGGATCTCTTTTTGCCTGGAGAAAGCGAGGAAGCCCTGGACATACTGGCAGTAGGTGTTTTGACTGGCGACCATGGTGCTTGAGGCTTAGGCAGAGGCGGAAACTTTCCCGCCGTAGAATTGACCAGAGGCTTTTTGGCTGGAGCCCATGGGTTACTTTTGGGAGGTGAGGCTGGTCGAAGGGAGGGTGCTGCATCTGTCTCTGACTTACGCGGCGGATAAAGAACTGGTACTGATATTTTGTTCCTTCGCCGCCCATCTATGGAGACATGCTCCATGACGACTAGTCAGTGATGAAACGAGAGAGAAATCCAGGGTGTATGGAATAGAATGCTTCGCGAGCGTTGACAGAGGACTTTCCAGCTGAAAACAAGTGAGCGCATGGAAGAGCGCACCAACTGTGCGAAGATACACTCCAAGGATGCACAATAACACTTTTGTGTGAGGTCCGAGTCGCACGGAACTCGGAACGGGATCGAAGCAGGGCGCTGAAATATGAATCATAAACAATTTTCGCCTGGCTGCGAGGACCATCAACAGCTGCCAGCCGTCTGCCGCTCAGGCACCCGTCTTATTGTGATTCGCCCTCGAGCGGATACCTGCTGCACTGGCGTACTGTTTGCGCAAGATAAAACACGGCCTCTGTTTTATGTTTAGGAAACTCTTAAACGTTTGGTTCTTATGATTCTCTGATTTGCTGATCTTATGCCCCAAATGACTAATATGAGGAAAGGAAACCAAACGAACACTGAACTTCATAGATATCCAACCCACCCCTGATATGTGATAAGTTCTCTGACCATTTTGTAAGAAGTGTATTGATTTATATGACTTCCTGGTGATACTTCGCGGAGGAATAAACAGCGCTACATAAAAGTCATATTGTCTCATTTCTGAGCGCAGTAGGACAGCAAACAACTTTGCCCATGTATGGATAGGCAGCTCAAGAGATCGTAGCTTTCCAAAACTGATATAGCCCGATTATTTGTCTGGATCTCTCTCAATTCTCTGTTACCAAAACTCTCATGTGAAGGCCTACAGTTTTCATAAACAGAGGTGCAAGTTACCTGTGGTGGTTTCTGCCAGTTACCGAGCAGTTGCTGCACACCTGTTCTTGCCAACTTGTCATCCAAACGTAAATCAAGTATTCCCATTCAGACCTCTTCATTCTCTACTTCTCGGCATTTGGCAAGATTGTGTTACTCCTCATATTTTGACAAAACCCATCGCCTCTTCTCAACTTGAACCCCAGCGTCTGGCACACGATGTCTAGTCGACAGCCCTTGATTGAATTTGGCCCTCCGCTTCAAGGGCAGAATGCAATGCCATCTTTAGTACCAACTCCGTCGCTGAGTTCCAAGATCTACAAAGCGGTGATATCGCCGTTCCAAAAGCTCCGGTTGCTCTTCCCAAGAGTGTCCGGAACATTCGACGTGAACTTCACAGCACAAGATGGTTTGTCTCATTCTATCTTTCACACCATTTTATGCAGAATTACTTTTGTAGGACGTCGACTGCTACGTCTAAAAGCTGAGATTGGCGGACCAAGCAAAGAGTTTGATACAACAAACTGCGCTACTACAACATTCCACAAGTTCAATGGGCTTCCTGTTGAGCTTCGAACAATGTTCTGGAGATTGTCCTCCAGAAAGGCTAGAATCTTTCGACTGGGTCCCATGTCAAAGAACCTGGATATACTATGGTTGAGTTTTACAATCTCTCATAAAGCGCCAGCTTCCGCCCAAGCGTGTCGCGAATCAAGGGCATTGTTACAAGCCGAAGCTTTGCAGCTGTTCGGCCAAAATATCGGCGTACACAAAAGCCTTTGGTTCCTGCCTTCCTTAGACATTTTTTACTGGAACAGGTACAATATCTCTCCAGGGAACGTCCCTGGCGGCGACATACCATGTGTTCAGAATGTAGCAGTGGACCGGCCTAGTGGTGATGGAACCGATATGGGAGAAGTGATTGACGATATTTGGTGAATGTTTCTGGACTGCAAGAAGGTCTTGTTTGTCGCGAGGCACCATCCTCTGCCTGATACAGATGTCCGGTTTACCAAAGTCAAGGAAGACAATGACATCAACATTGAATACGAGGAAGACTGGTGGCAATGGGGACACATCTGGCCACAACTTCGTGATTCATGGCCAACTTATTGCATCGGTGGCCCGCCAGAAATGGAGGCAGTGGAGGTTGTGCCTGTTCGCGATGAAACTAACCCCCCTTGAGCCTGTGCTGGAGTATGTGCAGGAGTAAGAGGGTGGTATCAGAAACCGTCATTCGCCTAGAGAAATATGGTGCCGAACCAGTTGTCTGTCGATGTGATGTAATAGAGAGTCTTTTAGTGTTTAGATGAGAGAATACTGAAGTTCTTATTTATTCCATCCTGGGGACTTACCAATATCATAGAAGCATATGTTCTACAGCCAGGATTAATGCGGAGCAATGGCTAAAAATCACATACATAGGTCACAAATATCGTTGCCTGATTGAGTCGGTTGATGAGCATCATGTTCCGGTACATATTCGTAAATGAAGACTGAATGAGGCCAGCCTTAAATGGGTTCCTGCGATTGTTGCTACGCTGCGGTGTTCCTTGTGTTCTTATCTGAGCTTATTCCTTGCGCCAGGTTGGCACTGTTGCTTGCAGTGGAATGTCACGTTAAATATCCAACATCAACTCACGGACAACGGTATACACTTATAAGGCTATCAGATAACTTACGTCATACATTCGTAGCTGGGTCATCTATATAAAAGAGCCGTAATTATAATTACAGCTTGGATTCATCTACCTCATCGTCCTCACCAAAGATGTTGAGAAATGAGATGTGAACTTCGTCAGTCAAGTCGCTTGCTTGTAGACTGCGTCCTTTCTTGGAAAAGGCTAGACGAGAACATTCCTAGGAGACAATCAGTATGATGCTTTGGGGCCATAGAACTCAGGGGTTCGTCCTCTTGGCGGGAAGCTTAGGAGAGAATGGCAGCCAGAGGTGCTGATCTGTGCCTTTGAGTCGGAGAAGGGGCAAAAGACATACTCTTGTGATAGCAGAGCCTCCGAAGGCTGCAAGTCCAACCAACTCATGCTCGCCGATGGGATCCTTGCCGACATCCCACAGACGGTCTAGGTAGGCTCTCCTCCATCCCAGAAATGTGGCAATTGAACCAGTCAGAGTATCTCCCTGTCCACCACTCCTCTTCTTACCACCTTCAAGGTCCACGGTCAGTGTCGTTTCGCCGTTGGAGATGTAATCCTTGGCACCCTTCTGAACTACTGTCACACCCTTAAGAGTCTTGGCCAGAGCCTCAACGCGAGCGGTCTCAGGCGCATTGTCGTCGACCTTGACTTTGAGTGCGTCGCACAGTTTGCCAAACTCGACAACGTTGGGTGTCAGTACAGCACCGTCGTAACCGCTCACCAGCTCGGGTTGCGTGTGCACGATCGCCAGAGCATCAGCATCCAATACAATGGGGAGCTCTTGCTCGCGAGCAGCGCGGATAACGCGGGCGACAGTGGCATGCATCAGGGGATCACGACCCAGACCAGGCCCGATGACGAGGACATGGAGGCGAGGCAATAGGTCTTTGATTTGTGCCGCAATGTGGTCAGCATTGGACTCGGGGTCCTTGGAAGCATTCCAAGCCGCAGGCTCCTGTTCTTTTTTGGCGTTTTCACTCTGTCGCATCAGCGGATGGACCATGAGGTTTGGCGAGTATGACTTGATGACAGTCGCGGCAGCCGGCGTGCAAATGACATGCGACTACATACGAGAGCCATGATTAGCCAGGATACATCATTGAGAAAAGTACGAGAATTACCAGATCAGAGCCCAGCCTTGCGCTCGCCATGGCCGAGAAGTAGGGTGCGCCTGTGTAATTTTCACTACCGCCGATGACGGCGACTCTGCCCAGCTGGCCTGTTCTTGCGTCAGTCTTCAATCCTGCAGAATCAGTGCTTTTGGCAACAAACCCTTGTGAAACTTCTCTAGCATTGGCGGAATCATGCGCCGCACCTTGGAAAGGACCTCCTTTGTAGCAGAAGACATTTTTGGGCCAGATTCTTGAGGCGACATCGCAAGAGACTTATGTGATGAGAGGATGAAAGTTGAGGCTGGGACGTTGCAGGGAATTGAGATGTATCTGTGAGTCGCGGGGTGTTGATCAGATCAGATCAGTTTTACGCAGAAGGTCCCGCTGGTTGATGGAAAAAAGAAAAATATGTGAAACGACGCAGCTTTTAAGAAAGAATCGCAAGACAGTCGGCTAGATTTTATTTGACCGGATTCCAATCGATCGGAATCGATGAGGTATTGCCAGCTTGGTGTTACGACTTATGATGTCACTTTTATGAGCTTTAAACTCCAGGTGCTTTGTTCAATAAAAACAAGCCCAGGCAAAGACCAAATAATTGACGGGTCCTGAGTTTGTTAGAGGATTGAATTAGACTCTCTACAAGACATAGGTATCCAGTTGGCTTCATTCGACCGTTTTGATTATCCCGGGGCCAACCAAGAGAAGGCCGAAACCCCGAGAACTCTATCAAGGACATTGACGAGGAAGAACTTGAGATCTTAGAGAAGCACCATTATTTGGATCCGCGATTCCTCGCTGACATTTTTGCTCTCGTAGATACTTCACCCTCTGAGTCCCTGACGAACAAATTGAGCCCCTACAGCCTGAATTTTCGGGACGTTTGCCTCTGTGATACCGAGCTCATTGAGCAATTCTTCATCGCTCCATGCGATCATGATTTCCTCCTTTATTTCACCCCAAGTCTCATATTCTTTCTTTATACCCGGCTGCAAAATCTCATTATCCGGGATTGTAAAGGAGGCGATGTCGCCGGAGGGCTCATTGTATCGACTAAAAACTGAGAAGAGTGTTTGACAATGGTTATACGAAGATATCACCCGTGCCAGGAGATCTTCAGCTTGTATCCCACGACGACAATCCACAGCAACTTTACGAGCAACACCCATGACCCTCTCATAGTCGTAATTATCGTCAGGGTTGAAAATCCATTCGTCATCAGGGCAATTTTCAGGGTCATAGATGATGTCGCTAAAGATTCCAAACCAGAGCGCTTTTTGGATTGTTTTGAAACTTCCAAAGATGAAAATCCCGCAAGTCTGGGATACCTGGTGAGACTCATGACATACTTGACGAACGGAAGGCATTTTGTGAGAGAAGCTGACTTGCTGGAAACTGCAATCCTCGTAGTAGGGAATTGGGTAAAACACTCTTACTTCGTTCTGAAGGGTTCGTTTCCAAATCTCACATCGGAGCTCGCTTGGAAGCTTGGTAAACAGTGAGAACAATGCTGGTGTGCTTGTAGTAGGTTGCATCGTAGAGTTTCCAGGCTCAGGGGCGACGTGTGCTGGAAACTCGATCTTGTTGTGAAATACCCGAGTGCCTATGGTCTGACGGTAAAACGCAACAAATAAAATCAAAGAAGGTAGCTTCAGTACCATCTGGGTTCGTCACTGTGACTTCGTAGCTTCCGACCGGGAGAGTGAGATGTAGTGAAATCGACATCTCGTTAGGTGCCATCATGACGAGAGCACATCCTGTGCCAGAGAGGGCGTGTTGCTTGAAGAAAGCGCGAGGCGATTAATATGTATTATTCGGTTCCAGATAGTGAGATTGGGGAGTTTGTAGACAAGAGAGTGAACCTTTTAAGTTGCCGCCCAGCTTCTCGTGAAGAAAGCAAAGTAGAGATGAAGAGAAGTGATGAGAGCAGGTCAGTTGGCCAAAGTTGAGAAGTGAAGAGACCTAAACTTGATTCCCAATAACAATAGAAGAATATACGAGGCCTTGCAGTTCACACTGAATAGATAGACAGTCTCAGGGCGTTTGAGCAACTGCATGCAGCTGGCAAACAGCAAATTTCTTCGTTTTCACCCAGTGCTAAACAAAACTCCCTTGCAGCCGAGAAAGGTAACATGAACTGTTAGGGGAGAGGCACTTTTCATTCTTATTATACAGGTGCAAATATCAACAAGGCTATTTTGCCTCATGTGACAGAGAGCGACAAGTTAGCCGCTCGTGGATGTGAAAAGGTGAAAAAGGTGATCAGAGTTTAAGATGGAATCTCTCGTGAAGAGAGAGATTTACGAACGAGGTGCTTGCAGTCACACCCTGGCGGTAATTCACCATGACAGTCACCTCCAGGGAAGTGATTCATCCTGCCTCAGGCTACGGGTACTCAAGAAGAATCTTTCCACTCTGCCGATTTTCGCGGTGTTCAATTCTCTTCTCCCCTCTCCTGACATTCCTTGTTCTTCTTCTTTCAACTACCCTTCTCTCTTCTTTCGCATATCAAGCAAGTTCGAATTATGTCTCTTTCACCGTACATTCTCAGGCTCCGATGCTTGGATAAGCATCGATCGAACTCATTTGGCGCACGACAAAGCCATCCAAAACATGGCACTTCACAACGATGACTGGGTATTTACTGCCTCGGGATTGCACATGACCCTGAGCACCTCGAACGAGAATAAAGCATCAAGTCATCAGGATCCAATCAGACAATCGCCTTACCACAAGTGATTCCAAGGATTCGTTCAAGAATTTAGACTACAATACAACTGAGGAAGAATTCACCCCTGGGAGTTCGACACACAGAATGTGCCAATGTCGGTGCTGTCATCCTGATTTCAAGCCGCTTATGTTACTATTTTTCTCTACAGTGCCGAGCTTATCCTCATCGTTGGTGAGTGCATGAGAATATTGTCAAGAATTACATTAATTGCCACCATTCGAAGAGGCCAGTCGCACCAAGTGTCGCTGAGTTCAGCATACGACAAGACAATACTGTCACACAGAGACCGGCTGCATTAGTCGCGTTCTGGCTCCCATATGTCGAGAAGGCTCAAACCAGATTTTTCATCCTCAAAGATAGGAGGGACGGTCTTTGCAAAATATCACCCCTATCGAATTTCCAGAAGAACAGTAGTGTACTCTGAATTCGTCGTTCATCCGGCCAACAATCCCAAGAAGCAAGCCCCTTTGATCAAAAACACGATCAAGCAAGCTGCACGAGCTGCAAAAGCTCGTTTTGAACTTGATCAGCCACAGCCAGTTCCACATGCTTCAGCATTGGCACCAAAGGACCTCTAAACGACATAAAGACTTAGACAAGTTTAGTACAACTTAGAAATAACAAGTCTAAAGACCCACCAGGTTATTTTTAACTTACCTAAATTCTTTTGCCATGTAGGATAGAGATCCTGAGGCTTCTTACCGCCGACCTGATGCATGGTGTGAAGTGATCATCAAGCTTGACAATTCATTATCAGCGGTCATTGTCGACGCCTATGAGATCATCAAAGAAGCCATGGGCAGTCCATTCCCCGAGTTCAATTCAGTAGCGCCATTGAACGCGGACATGACTCTCTATCTTGGACGTACCAAGCATAAGGCGGTTCTCGCATATTAGATATGTCATAATTGCATCAGAAAGTATAATTAAGTGTTTTAGCTATTAGGTTCTATTATTTATCTTGATAATTCTACTTCAGATACCTAAGCATAGATGTGCCTATTTATGAGTTTTCTCTAGGGTCACCCAACCTTCACCAACCGTTTTCGAACCTCCAAAAAGCTCTTGGCTTGATCCCGCCTCATGTCAGTTATTCGGGTCATTACATATAAAACTACTTCATGATTTGCTCATCCTCATCCTCTTCTTCTTTTCTAATTTCTCTTCCTGAGTTTTCAGGTAGTCAGAATTCGGCCTGCCGGGATATAAAAACCCCTTTCACGGCCATCCGAGCTTTCAACTTTCTCTTCCTTTTATTATCTCTGGTTCGAAGTTGCCAGCTACCTTACACTGCCAAAGGGCAACGCGGCTGCCGGCCATCGACAGAATACCGCTAAGCGGTATCGCTATCTCCTCTTCTTCTCCAAACTTGAACCTTTGACTAACCATCCAGCCAAAGCTTTCGATCCTCACTTTCCATCGCCGACTACACTCGCGATAGAGCGCTTTCGGTGAGATATTATATCACCTTTTTCCATATAGGTATATCTTCCACTGACATAATCCTAGCAGAATTCAAAAGTCCATTCAGTACAAGAAACGCATGTCCCTCAAAAGTTACGCCTCACACGTCAAGCTTCCGACACTTGTCCAGATAGCCAGGTGGTCCGCGGAGGATAAGATAAGAGTCTGACAAGAAAGCCAGAGACGGCAATCGGAGTCTCATCGACTCAGATAGTGACAGTCCCTACGAAAGCTCCGACTCCGAAAGCAGTGCAGAATTGTCCGTCACCGACTCTATCATCAGCGAAAAGTTCACAGCGAAGATCGTACAACTTGACAGGCAAATCAACATGTCCGGACAAGAGGAACGTCATGGCACCAAAGCCATTCTCTGCTCAAAGAGCTGGTCCGAGGAAGACGCCCTTCGTGCTTTGGATGCTGAGTTCTGGTGTAGAAACAAGGCACACGATCCAGAGAATTTCGTCCCAGGAGTGTCCACTATACTGGTAGGTGACCCAGGCTATGAGTTTTGGCTTGAGCTGCGCGCCAAGATTCAACTATACTTTCAAGCTGCTTTAGCTTCTCCAGGCAGCCAAGGAAATTGGCATCCTATGACTAGAAAGACCATTAAGACAGCACTTTTGGCTGTGCGTGCCTCCTATGACGACCAATATGTCGATGTTGATGGAGAGCGAGTGCCCTGGAAACTGGCACTACCTGACAGAGCGGATTGGATCGTCGACCGTTTTTACAGTCCTTTCTATGGATGGAACCCGATCCTGAGCAATGCTGCCTCTATATTGGGACTCGCCAAATGGTTGGACATCCTGGAACCTGTTTATTAAATCGAAACTTCTATCGAAGGAGATGATGCCTCTATACGGGGAGATGATGAAGATGATGCCTCCATCAAGAACGATGATGACCTCTCGAGTCTGAAGACAGAAATCGAGAATCAACAAGGACAGATTGGACAGCAACGCGACGAATTTAATCAGCTGCAGTCCAAAGTCGAACACCTCGAGGAAGAAGGCAGAACTCAACAAACTGGCCTGGAAGGACTTGAGGGTGACTACCGTCGCCTTAAAGAAAAGTCAGATGAGCAAGCCAAGGAGATGGAACAACTTCGATCTACGATTGTTGGCTTGACAAAGAAGGTGGATAAGCTCCAGGCACACATTGATGGACAAGAGGAGCTTCACAAGAAACATATGGATGAGGTACTAAAGCTCAGTTCTATGTTTACGGCCTCCATGGAGGAGATCAAGAGCTTGAAATCTTCCAACCTCCATCAACCACCAGCTGGTGAGTCCAGTTGCCACGACAAGTGATGAGGTTACCGAATCCGTTAAGGATGTCTTCAACAATGGGTCTTCGCCATCTACCACTCTATTCAACCACATCAAGACGGGAAGATCTGCTTCTGAGTTTCAGGAACTTCCTGCTGATACAGTCAGTGATGCAAGTCTCCCTGAGAGTGTCATTTCCTCACGACTCGAGACTCCCGATCCTGGGCCTAGCAGTGCACACGATCGACGACGGGTATCGCTTAAACGTAAGGCCCCGGGGACCTCCACCCCAGAGATTCCTACTCGAACGGGGCGAACGTTTTCCGCTGTCAATACACCCAGGTACTCCACGCCTGTCAACGGTGAACGAAACCCGTGGGTTAGCCATGTTCACGCACCTAGTGATCCAAGACACCCAAGAGCCAGAGGCAGCAGGCAGTATACGCCCAAAAGGGGCGGGAAGTAAATCAGAAGAGCACGAAGGTAAAAGCTTTGAAATGGGGCAAGTATATTCGGCCTCAAGTTGAGATTTGGGAGGTCAAGAACTGTATTGGGACGGTGGAGGAAAAGTCTTGGAGTTTAGGAGCGGTATAACAGATTTCGCTCTTCACTGTTAGCTAGTCGAATTGAGACACTTTTCATCCTGCCTTCTGATAGAACAGTAGATTCGCATTGGCCTTGTATCCTTGCGAGCTTTAAGGAAGTTTGATAGCTCTTGTATTGTTGTTATGCTCTTACTTCTATTTTGGAGAGTATGCAAGAATGTAATTCATATAGCCATAGATCTCCCATCCAATATCAACTCCTACGTAGTCACCACCTTCGATGATATATGTAGGACATTTAGTCGGGCCATTTCAATATTTCGATAATTCCCATCTAACAACGCGATAATGTCGTGTTAATCGGCATCATTACCAAGGGTACTACCCCCAAGCGGCCATCACATCATCTTAATGCACAACACACACAGTGAGACAAATGAGTAGTTAGCTGAAAAAGACTATTTACCAAAAATAACCTTGCTACTTCATTCAAGGATATTAATTCTAACACTGCGTTCCTATGGGTGGATCTCTCTAACGATGGATGATCAAACAGAGGATGTCCTTCTGCCCCTTTCAAGAAGAAAAGGGACCTCGGTGAGATGCTTGTTAAATATAAACTGCATGAAATTTAAAAGATGTATGCATCGGCTCACATAGAGGTATGCGTGGTTTTTGCATGCGCTTCTCGGCGAGATGGATTTCGGTCTCACAGGCAAGCTGCAACGGACCATCTATAAACGAAATACGCCGGGAGCACCACAATTGGGATAAGGCATCCAACATAATTCGGAAAAAGCTCTCTGATCTTGAGAATATCTCTCCATGGACAACGAATTACTAGAATTGATGCTATCAAATTGCAAATCAGAATGGGCTTTGGCTAAACCTCTTTTCAATTAATCATACAGGTTAAAAGTCAAGGCGCCAGAAGCACCTGAGGGACCATGATATCTTGAATTGAATCATCTAGCCTAGTTTCTCTCAAACCCGAGGCTTTGAACCCTCCGAATTAGGTCCTCTGGCCCTGAGGCTCAGACATTTCGTGTTTGGCAAGCTTATTAACGTCCGTGAACCATTCATGGCGTTTCTTTGACATTCCTTCTGGCAATCCAGGCATTTGGTTCATTGTTGCCTCAGCACATTGTTCTAAATGCAAATCGTTCTCCTAAGTTCTGAGGCTGTATCGAAATGCTTCTCGAGCACGCTTCTTGTCTTCATCGGTAGAATTCTCTGCGTCCACAACTGCCAGAAATTTGCGGAGACATTCTTCTACGCCTTCGGGCAGTAAACCAGGAGCTGAACTTTCGAAGTTGGCACATCCTTGGAGAATCCTAAGCGTTCGTCATCTGTTTAGACTACTGACCTGAGGATTTCTGGTCCGGTTTCTTGGCGGGAGTATGCTTGTCGCTGGTCTCTGGATTCATGTCAACGACCGACCCGCGAGGAGCCCTTTTGTAGGGATAAACTGCCACCTGGGCGTGCACACCTTGTACCACCTTTCAAAAGTCTTAGGAGGAATGGAAACAGTATGGGGAGGTATTCAGTGTTAAGTCTTTGGCAGGCGTATCTAGGTGATAAGTTGAAAGGAGGAGAAGTGTTTCTATCGAATGAATTAAATATTAGATTGCCAATGCCTGGCAGTGATTCACTGCATCTTGAAAGGCTGGTCACGTGCCTAGGAGGACTAGATATTAGTACATTTAAGGAGCGTTCAATTTACAAATCTCATCCCACAATTCTTCTTCTTCTTCTTCTTCTTCTTTCTGACAAAGTACTTTGATTTTATTTTCCCATCCATGTCAATACCTTGCCTTCCATTGCCCCGGAACGCGCATGTCAATTTGCCAAATTTGGTTCCAGTGTGGATACTGAACTGAACCTATCAGACGTCACCAACTACTTATCCCGAATCGAGTTTACACTCCCCGTCCTGATTTTTGTCTGTCAATCACCAACATGGAAAGGCTGCTACAATATAAAAGCTGTGATGTTGATGAGAATTCGGGCGCCATAAAATTGGCTCACTGGGCCCGTCATGAAGCGAATCATCGCTGGGCTATCATCACCCACCCTTTCACTGACATGAGCGTTGCTCCCGTGTAGCACATGAGAGAACCGCTCATTGACGAACTGATGGCATTCATGGAAACAGAATCCTATCAGCTGGATTGTGAAGAGTTAACAGGCTTCGTATGAGAGCGCGACTTTTATGATATCAAAAGCGATGATCAGATCGCTTGGGGCGATGCGGACTTCATCAAACAAGCATCAATCCACTGCACAACCAAACTCGGTGTTGGAATTGATACCAAATATCCCATCCCACAGGGTATTAAAGACCTTATTTCCAAGTACAACCAAGGTTGTGACCTTGTTGCACGCCTTCCGCCGACACACCATAACGGCCATTCTCTGTTGGTCACACGCCGGGGCCTGCGGCAAGCTGAGGCTCAAAAACGCCTGACGCAAAAACAACGTGCCTCCAAGCAAATCCCACCCTGGTTTCCCCAAGACCCAGAAGTCGACGCCATTTTCTGGACATGGGAAAACAACCTCCCTGTCCAGGTTAATACTATAGTAAAATCATTCAAAACCACAACCGCGAGGAAGATTCGGTCCCAATTGACAAAAGTCGGGTAATTTGGATGAAGCCTGTACACTTTGAGGGGCATATAGAAGAGAGAAATCGACCTCGACAGAAGACTGACCCAATCATGTATGAGCGTCAAGCATGGCCCGTATATCATCACAAATGGACGACACCACACAGCCACTTACGAAAGCTAAGGAATCCATTGGTACTCTGACTATTATGTTTGCGATGAAGGATATATCCTAACAAGTTGGCTATTTTGATGAGAGTTTGGGGTAACAGCCGATATGCTTGGCGGATATCCACCTTATTAATCATAACGCATAGCTGCCTAGCATCGAATACAGGGAAACCGGCCACCTGGAAATTTACTATGTTAAAAGACTATGTGTGCCTCAGGCATTAATTGAATTTTGCTGTACCTAGTGGCCGGTTTCTGGGGGTGGCCGGTTCCCTGTATTCGACGTTACCACACCATCAGATTGCCCGACGAAATACAAACAGAATAGAGCAAAAGTGTCGCAATACCGCGTCGCACGAAGACATCGAGGTAAGTGAGATTTACAAGACTCTAACATCTGTTTATTGACATGTATTCACCAGACCCTTCGAAATATCGCTATTATCCCTTACTATACCGCTACAAGACGTATAATAAATCACAAAAAGAAAGAAGATATCAATGAAGCACAAGACAATAGGCGGAATAAGAACAGTGACGACAATAGAGCAACTCAAACACGAATGTCGGCTGTTGCTTTAGAAGCATTGCGACCGCCAATATGGTATGATGCCTCGGGCACATAGCCGGCAGCGACGAAAGTAAGCCCAGCCTCTCCGAAACAAAGGGGAAACTGCCAAAAAACAGCAAATTGATTTTAAGATCACTGGTCAAAGCTACAACTGGGTCATTTGCGACGACGTATATGTTGGCTGGATGCGTTGATATACCTATCATGTCGAAGATTTCAGGTAATCTCCACGTCTCAACGCATCACAAGCAGGCCCTAATCAGTATTAATTCTCAGTAACAGAGTTTCATCGATAAAATTAGGTATCACAGGTCCAGCTGGATCTCGACTACTCTGGAGTCGCCCCTCCGTGCTGCACTCCTAGCGGATGAGTGTGGAACTGGAAAGACTGTGCAGATTGGTCTGAAGCTGGCCATTCACTATTACCGAGTGAAAGCTGAAGTCGAGGCGGGAATATCCAGACCTCGGGATGAGAACAGAAGGTTCAAGCCAAGTATCATCCTCAGTCCGCCTGATCTCGCATACCAGGCATTTTCAGAGTGGTTATTCTGGTTTCTAAACCTTTTTATATTCACATCTGTCACCGGATATTCCGAGAGTGGCCGCATTGGTTTCCGAACTCTTTCAACATCCGGATTTATCATCGAACAATGTTTCTGATAGACGGCGTCTTTTCCAGACTACGCATTTTAGGCAACAAGTCAACAATCAACAATACCCCAACCGTCTCGGGAGTTGTTGAACCAATTATTGATGTGATTCTGCTTGATTTTTCTGTCTTGTTTTCTGGTATCCCGTTACCCCTCTTTTGAAACTCCTTCTAGTCATGTGATCGGCATCTTCCTCAACTGAGGCTCATTTAGGCCAAACCACTTGCGGAATTATATAATCAGACTCGATTTCATGATCCCGCCGGTTTAACAGAAGGCCTATAGCATAGCAACAAGCTTTTATCGCCATCTTTAGCCCAATTGCAAAATACTCAGCCAACAATCACTTCAACTCACGTGCGCAAAGCAAAGAATCAAGCAGCTCAGTTGTCAGAATATGGAGGAGTCTTGCAGTATTCAAGAAAGATTAGGTCTGCATTATTATACACGTGGCTAACATGGCCGAACTTAGCGATGCAGTCCTTAGAATTCAGCCGCAAGTCGCCTTTCTTAAACGCAGTCAAGAGGCGGCGATGTACATTCCCTCCAACTCATGTTCTAGTTGCTGGGCTCTTGTTCAGCAGACCTGGCACAACAGCAATGCCTTTAATTATAACAATCATTCCCCCATATGTCTCCTCCCCTTGGTCTTCCCGAGCAACAGCTAAGTCGGAACGTGTGGAAGAATATTTCGAATGATGATGATGACGCGGTTGGCCATCTGAAGTTTGATGGACTTTCTGCCGCACTTCATAGAAGATACCTATTACTGCCAAAGGGGCTTTCACTTTAGAGCTTATAGGTATCTTAGCGAGGCCATACTTGATATTATTGAACTGGTTGATGAAGATGAAGAGGATGGAGGCCGGGGGGGGTGGGGTGGATAGAGGTGGGATTGCAGCTAGATGCATCCTAAACTGGAGATCTCTCCTTGTCCTGCAGTGCAGTCCTGATGATAGCTGATTAGCGTCTGTTTATCCTTTCCGGAAAACAGTATTTGGTACTGAATATAATTGGAGAGATGGGGTTGCATCTCCCTGTCCTGTATTGCGGTCCTGTTCGTCCTTTCCAGAGAACAGCATTTGGTACTGAAGGGAATTGGAGAAATGAGGTTGTATCTCCTCGTGGGGGCTGGGGTGGATGGGAGCTTGATGCGTCTTGAACTGGAGATCTTGTATAGGAGCGTGGTCCTGATCTTCTTGTACCCGAAGCATTTTTTTTTTTGGCTTTAATCAGACCCTGCTGCTATGTCTCGGTATGCCCGGCATCATTTCCCTCGGAAATACCAGCCATAATCTGCTACATCTGAGCTTCATGCGTTGTGGCCTTAATCCTGCTGGCCGGTCTATGCTTTTTTAGCTTTGATCAGATCCTGCTGCTGTGTCTTGGTATGCCTGGTGTAGTTTCCCTTGGAAATACTGTTGTGTAAATGGACGAGCCATCTGGGCGCGTTGGTTGACATGGCCGAGTGGGAAAGACATAACCAGTGCGTCGTCTCATGTGGCTAATGCTTATTATCCACACACAAAGACCCTTAGTAAGGCTATCAAGATCCTATCAAGGGTCAATTGATATCATTTGCAGAGATGCTGAACTTACCTAGAGGTCAGAGGGTAATCCATCATTCCAAAGACTCTGGATGCATTTCGAGACAGCAGCTACGGTAGAGCCGCTGCTCCAGAAAGGCCGGAGGAAAGGACTGCCTCTTCAAGGTCAGCCATTTCAGCGCCCTGCATAGAATGACGCGGATCAAAACCACAATCGACGTAAAAGCGTAGCTGTGTAACGTGCCATGACATCGGAAAACTTATTAGCCTGGCTCTGATTGCACCTCGGGACTCTGCTGGAGCATCTTCAAGCAAAGTGCAACCCTTGCGACGCATGCTGTTGCTTTTTATTGACAACGAAAAGCATAACAAGTCTCACACCATCCCGGGGCCCTTGAAGATTTCAGATGGCCCTCGCGCTTGACCTGCTCCTTGCTTTGAAGGAACTTGATGTGGACCTTTGACTCTCCAAATAGATTGATGAAGATTTGGCGCTTGAGTACCGGGGATGGCTTTGTGAAGAGTGAGGAGCCCCCCTAGGTATTACCCTTTTCGAACTCCAGCCTCATATTTGAGGTTCGTGAGACTTTTGTGGTGCTAAGATGATGATGCGAAAGAAAAAAGGGACGAATGACTGAAGGGAACCTTATAAGTGTATCCGGTATCCGTAAGTTCCATTGATATTGGATATTTGACGTAATATTCCTCTGCAAGTAATAACAGTACTAACCTAGCATAAAGAATAAGCTCAGATAGGAATACAAGGAACACCGCAGCATAGCAGCAATCGCAGAGACCTATTAATCTTTAGCTATTGCAGCTTTAAAAGGTGCTGCTATTTGTGGTGCTAATTTGCCATGGGATTACTAGATCATATTCTCACTATAGCAGAGAAGCAATCTATGTTAAAAATAGTCTTGATCCCATATTTTAGTTATTATTTTAGCTCCGTGGAAGGCTGAAAGGTCAATACGGTCTGGACGCAGTGAATCACAGTCACCGCAGCTGACACGGCTCTTGAGATGTATTTAAGGGAATCCAATTTTCTTTTCCTTTTAATTTCTTTTCCTCTTTACTTTCCCCCGACTTTCTTTCCCTTCATTTCTATTTTATCGCAACACAATTCCGCCTTGATTTAGCCAGCAGACTCACTCCAGATCATATGGCTATGACCCGAGCTTGCTATTCGACAGTCCATAATGCCTCCTGATGAGAGTCGCCTTGATAGGCTCGTCAAACAATACCTCGACCCTATCCTTGACGATGCCCAGACGAATGCAGGACAACTGCACTACCACGATCCTGGACCTGCAATCGACGAGTCACTCTACAGCGGACGCTTTATGCTGGACATCCGAAAGGAGGAAGGATATGCAAATGAAGATGAAGATGAAGAGAAAAAAGAGCAAGAAGAGCAAGAAGAGCAAGAGTACCATGAAGAGTATTACCTAGAGCAGGAAGATGTCATTCTGCCACTCGGAAATCCCATACGCAGGGAGGCTGACACGCATCGAGCGCCAGAGAGTCGTCTTGAAGTGACTCTAGACGGCAAGCTTATACATATCGTCCAGTATCTGAAAATGGAAGGATGGATGGCGCTGAAGGTGAGTTGATCTACTGGGTCACTCTCGGTGGTGGTGCTAACCATACTTGTCCAGTCCATTGTCACAAGAAATGATATTTCCGCTGACGTTATCGGAGTTCCTTGGTTGAGAACTGAATTGCAGTCATGGCAAAGGATTGCCGTGATGAAGCTACTCGATGCGTGTAATTCTCCACTCCGGGGACTGATTCTTGCAGATGAAACAGGTCTTGGCAAATCCCTGTCAGCCCTGGTGGCAGCGTTGTTCAAGCGACAGGAGATGCTTCCTCAATGCGGCCCGGTGCTTATTGTGACCCGCATGAGCTGTTTGACCCAGTGGTATGAGGAGACGATCACCCATTTTAGCGATGTAAGTCGTGTCGAGTGACTCTGAACCAAGCAAACCTAAAGCTAACAGTTGATTACAAGGAACATCGCCCAAGGACTATCATTCTGGATAACCCGAACATCTCAGTTCGACGCTTATTGGAATACGACGTTGTCATATGCTCAAACTCTTTCCTCAAAAGGAGGTACCTTGACCTGGAGAAGCAAGAACTATTCAGCTCGGTGGTTCATGGCTATGACATCTACACTGCCCAGTCGATTTTCCCGAAGCATAAACGCCAACGCATATATCAGCCATTGCATTCGCAGCTTTATGCCGCCTTAGACAAGAGATTCCCGGTCCTGATATTCGACGAGGCTCACGATGGAAGAAATGAGGACTCTCAATTGTATTCGGCCATTCGATCTCTGGACTATCATCATGCGTTCCTGCTTACTGCAACGCCGACCTACAACACATGGAGTGACTTCGGTTCACTTATATCATTCTTACCCGGAAGCCCATTCCAGTCTGCAACTCATTTCAAAGATGTCTTTGCTACGCCGCCCTTAGAACCAAATGACGTTGGTCGAATGGGTCCTAGAGGGCCATTCCTGGAACTTCTTGTCAATTTTGCCCAAGGATCGATTCTGGGACGACCAAAATCCGTACTAGGTCTCGAGAAGCTCATAGAGCACAGAATTGAGATGGAACCTCTTTCTTCGAGGTCTGTAGACCTTACCATACTTGCCATGACGATGCGGGGACGAAGCAAGATCTGGGGGATCAAGGCCGTGCCCGGAAAGCATCCATACCGGAAAGCTCAAGTCCATAGTGGACTTATGTATCTCAGCAGAGCGCAGCATCTTGCAAATCACGAATTTCTTATCGGCGCCAATGGCAATTACGAGGAAGGGAAGCAGGTCAGAGCTGAGTCACTCTCTAATGTACTCGGCCAGTTTCAACGTATTCTGGAACATATGGCAATTGCAAAACACAGGGATACACTGGCTTCAAGCTTTTTACCTCCTTTTTTTGCAGAGCAGGACGTCTCTAAAGAGCTATTGTTCAATTTCCTGGACTGGGCTACTCGATCTCTGTCTGAGAATGACTCCGTTGATGCCATTGTGGCTAAATGGACACCTACCTTGTCGAGACTCCAACTTTTGCAGTTCATAAACCAGGAACCTCACTTTCGCGATGCTATATCAAAATACATCAGGGACCGATCAGGGCAGGCCGCCAAAGACGAAACCCTCACTCCAATATCTCGTTCTATCGACACTCTTTCCAATGAAGAGTACGCAGAGTTCAAAGACTCGATGAGATCACTTGACCCCGTGATCTATATACCAAGGAATCTTTTATTGAGTCAAATGGATGATGATACTGAAATGGACGTCGTTGACGGTGGTTCCATCAGTCAACAACCTGAGGGCGCAGCCATTGACGCCTCGAGAGTCACTCCCAGACCGACAACTCCAGAGCTACAGGCCGTGCAACAAAGCATTTACAACGACGGAAACTTCAACTACGCACAGGACCAGGAGGATCTGGATTATGACCCTAACAGTGAACATTTGACCAGAGAAACCATCGTCGAGGATGAGAACGTCCGCGACGATACAAGAAAACCTATACTACCTAACGCTTTGGCCTTGAAGACGTGGAAGGAGTATCTTCAAGCAATAACAACTGAGGAACTATTATCACCGAAAGCAAGACTAGTGATCGATCTGATTCAGAACTTGCGCCAGAGTCATCCCCGAGAGAAGATTGTGATTGCATCTGCATCAGTCAAGTTCCTTGATATGCTCCAAGAGTATCTTGCTCGAAAATTCCCTGCTATCCAAACTGCGAGTTACAACGGAAACACCAAGTCAGCGAAAGAGAGAATGCGCATTATTAAAGAGTTTAATCTCAACGGAGCAGGCCCTGATATTCTCCTCCTCAGCGCCTCATGTGGCGGCACTGGACTGAACCTTCACGGCGGTTCACATCTAATAATTACGGAGCATTTCTGGACGCCGGGACTGAGAGATCAAGTCATTGGACGCGTCTACAGGATGCAGCAGACACGAAGGGTCCATGTGTATGAGATTGACTCTGGCACTGAGATTGATCTTTTGTTAAAAGAGTTTGTAGGCAATAAGACGACTACAGGAGTGACCCCACTGGAACAGGCATTTCGGCGCTCAGACCTTGCTGATGCCGTTACCCCTCGCTTACCGACAGACTATGAGCTCAGAAGAGAACTGCAGAGATACGATGATCGAGATCATCTTGTCACTTTTGCAAACCGTGTGGGGAAGAAGAGAAAGAAGATATATCGATTCACCTCGGATGGTGAGGAGAATCCAGAATACTCGGCCGACTCAGAGGAGACAGATGATCCATATGATTCAGGTGATCCACAAGAGAAGTGGGAACAATTTGTGGCTCAATTCCCACCCGATAAAGACGATGCGGACGATGAGGGTGATGAGAATGACTCTGTAGAGGCTGAGGATACATGGGCAACATTCAGGTTTGGTCTCATCCAGGCCGAAGAAAGAGCCAAGAAACGAGACAACTGGTTTATGTCGGAAGGGCAGTAAACCCTTCATTGGAATTACCATATCTTCTACTTCCCATCAATTATAGTTGTTATTGCTGAATTGAAAGTGTTATTGCGAACAATGGGTGGGGCATAATTATTCTCACAGACAGTAAAATGAGAAAATGATATCAATTGTACAATACACGCGTAGCTCTTTCCGGAATCACTCTAACTAATTTGAGAGTACCGCCGCCTTAGCAACAACACCTTCAGAGTCATGCCAACTTGTTCATTTTCCTTCGTCATATCAAGCGCAGCGTGGCACAGCCCGGAGTGATTCCAGACCGCGATATACGCCCAATTATCAATCCTCAATGATCTCAAAAGGAAAACTGTCCTGTTGCATGATCATGTCGACATATTCTGTATCAACATAAATACGCCCAGGTATATATTTGGGCCCGGATCCGCGGTTCCCCCTGAAGGCGATAGAGCCGTGAGAGAAGACCCAAACTTCTTTCAAACGCGGAACCTGCATGATGGTTTTGATAATTAACCCATACCATGCCTTTACCTCATGCGCCTCCAGCTTCTCGGAACGAGGATCTCTGTTCAAGTATCGGCGGATAACTGGCGGCGCGAAACGCCGAATGTCAATCGTGAATGCAAGGTATCGGAGTCGCAGGTCTTGAGCCCCACTTGTGATGTTCTTTATAGCAGTTTTCTAGATTTGCATTTATCAGTCTTGGGAGTCATTCCACTTCCCTCATTCACATACCAGCGTAGAAACATGTTCAAGAGACCACAGTTTGCCTTCGATTTTGACTGTTGATTCGCGTAGGATAAGGTAGTCGAGTTTCGGAGTCAGTCGTGCCAAGCCATCCCAGAGTTGTTTTTCGGTGCAAGCCCACGTCGTAGGCTGAGAGAGATTGGCCTTGTCATAGTATAGATGGAGTCGACTGAGGCCAGTGAGTCCCCGGGCCTTTTCGAATATATCCGAATCAATCCATGTGTAGGTGTGGAGGCCAGTGAGGACATCAGGATCGCAATGGCTCATGATCATCTTCACGGTGTCAACTGTGCCACGGATCTTCAATACTCTGAGGCGTGGCCAGACAAGTTTCCCGATGTCCATCTGCTCCTTCAAATCTCTGAGCTGATCTTCATTGAGACCCTCGAGGTTAAGCGATAAATTTCGAATTCCAGATAGCTTGTAGAGGGCCGCTGCTAGGCGATTTGGCAGACTATTGCAAACACCGTCACCAGTATTACTCGCCTGCGAGTCAGTCTCTGGAGGCGCGGACTTGACAATAAAGGATGCAAACCTGAACCAACTCTGTTAGCAGTAGTTAGGAAGACCTAGCCACTAATAAAAACCAACTTTATATTTACTCGAGCAATGTTTATCGCTGCATCATCCTGGTAACAGTTAAAAGCTCGAAGGACTCCATCTAATCTCTCTTGTGTATCTCTGAGGTGAATTTCTTCGAAATTTTGCATTAAGAGTAACTCTCTCCATTTCAAGGATGAAATTGTAGTACTATGGTGAATTTCTGGGTTATTGCGCCACAAAGTGAGCTCTTCGTAGAGCTCAGATGGTATTTCCAGAGCTCTGGGGCGAGCGATAGGAAGGTTTGACATGCTGATGATTATCGCAATTATAGGATGACTCTGATCTAGAAATCGGGTAGGCTAAAAAGAATGTTTGACTTTGTTGGTGTTAGAGAGAGAGAAGTCAGTCGCTCCTGGATGTTAGAGAATTGAAAAAATCAGAGTCTAAGATGAGATATGTGGTGAAGAGAGAAATTTTGAACTTTTTGCTGGTGGTCACCTCTTGACAGTGATTCACTGTCACTGCCACCTCTTGACGGTGATTCGTCCTGCCCCAGGCATCAGGTATTTAAGGAGGATCTTTCTTCTCTTCCTATTTCTTCTTTCTTTCTCTTCTACATCTCCAAGCTACGAGACAAGTCACCTCTAGTTGCCCGGTATTCAATTCTCTTCTCGCCTCCCTTAATTTCTGCTTGACTGACTCTCTACAGGGCATTTCCCTTTATAAACTGGACATCAAATTTATCCCCTGTGTTCACCAGATGTAAGTATCATCGCACGCCTTCTGTTCTGTGACCCGACTGACTCTCAACAAGCCAGCATCGCTCTACGCTTGATCACTCACTGCCCCATCAACGCCAACGCTAAATGTGAGCATATATCGTTATCTCCCTTTGCAGAAATCGTACTAATTAACTATTGAGTCGCTATGGCTGACCAGGCTACAATCACTCCCGCCGAGTGGGAGTCTCTCAAGAACGATGAGACCACTGCAGAGGCTGTGGCTGAACTGATGATCCGAGTCATTCATATGGGTCGGGACGAAGCTGAGAGCTTCTCGGAGGTTCGCGAGTTCCGCGAAATGACTGCTGAGAAGCTTGGAGTAAAGTGGTGGACCGCTGAGGGTGCAGTTGGGGCGGACCAAGGCTTCAACAAGATTTGGATGGGACTCGTGGAGTTCCTTGCAGGCCGACAGGACGTGTGGGAGGTTGGAGGTATCGGAGCCCCTCCCTTGACTCTGGCCAAGAAGAAGTGAGTGGGACATCAACTTTGGAAATCGCTGGTGAAGGCGGAGTGACTCTTCAGCAAACTCACAAACGTGCCGTTTGTACTTCACGTATGAAGTGGGATCATACAATCAAATGATACAGCCCAACGGCTATTACGTCCAATGAGACTTCGCAATGTGACTGTAATACATTTGGTATGCCATAGTCTCCTTAAACTTGAGAGTCACTCTCAATCGAAATGCCCAAGCCTTGATGTTTGCGTCTCGAACAGTCGGCTCACGGAACGCACCCCCCGATCTGCACGTGGACTGCTCTGCATTATTCCTGGCTGTAGAACATATGCTTCTATAGCTTGGTAAGTCCTGTTCTTCCGCCTCGATGTGCCAGCAGGAAGTCATATAAATTTGATACCTAAATTTATTGCAAAATGGCCAGAGAGCTTGTCACATATCAGGGGTGGGTAGATCCCTATGAAGAAGTTCAGTGTTCGTTCATTTCGTTCAATCGCTCAAGCTCAACCCGACGTAAGTTGAGGCTGCTGCTATTGTTTCACAACACAATCCTAAGTTTAGACTACTGCTACTGTTTCTCAATACGATCCTAAGTTTAGGCTTTAGGATCATGTGACCGTATTTCTTGTATAAAGAGCCCTTGTCTCTCATATTTTAACATTTCCTTATTCTTCCTCATTCACCTGCTCCACTTCTCCTTCACCTTTCACATCAGCCAAGTCAGGATATATCTCTTTCGCCTTTCGCCTTTCGCATATCAAACAAATTAAAGGTCTACGACAGAGTTACTTCAGATCGCATATACCAATTAAGTTAAAGGTCCATCTCCTTCGCCTTTCCCACATCAGTCAAGTTAACGGCGTATATTCTTCGCCTTTCGCATACCAAACAAAGTGAAGATGGAAGACAGAGTCACTCCAGAAGAGGAATACTTGACGGACTGGGCATTTTCTGCACAGGGAATTGCATATGAAACTGGGTGGGATGCACGACGAGTGAAGAATCAAGTCATCAGGATCCAAAAACACACTTCCTTCAGTACGAATGACTCTGTGGGTGCATTTCAAAATCTAGACTTGGACGCAGTTGATGAACCATGGACCGACGAGGAGCTCGACACAGAGAACGCGCCACCGTACGTACCGTCATCATTATCCCAACTTATTTATGTTACTAATTTTCTCTGTAGTGATGAGCTTGTCCTTATCGTTGGCCATTGCATGCCCTGTAATGTCAGGGATTGCGTTGAAGAGTTACGTTCGAAGTGGCCTATCGCACCAAGTGTCGATGAGTTCGATGAGGGACGACATAAGCAGGTCAGACACAGAAGTACTGGATTAGTCGTTTTCTGGCTTGCAGATGCCGGGAGATCTCAAACCCGGCTATTCACACTCAAAAACAGGAAGGGCTCTCTTGGCACAATATCGCCCTTGGCAAATTTTCAAAAAAATGTGGATAAATTTGTGTTCTACACGGAATTCATCGTCCATCCGAACACCAACGCCAAGACGCAAGCCCCTCTGATCAAGGAAACGATCCGGCAAGCTGCGCGAGCTGCAAAAGCTCGTCTCGAACTTGATGAGCCGCAGTCAGTCCTCAATGCCTCAGCATTAGCACCAAAGGATCTCAACGATCCACAAATCAAGGCAAAGGACTCATCACTGTCTTGGGTCCAAACGGCTATAGCTGCATATAAAGATACCAAATCCTTTAGTGCACTGCAGCAGATTCATTCCGCTGTCCAGTTTGCAAAAGGCTCGCCTGATACACGGACAGGTTTTAATGGAAACACGGCCAGTCACCTGAGAGTCATTCGGCAACTGGGGCAAAGCAGCATGACTCTAGACGAGGCGATTACATTCGTCGATTCATATAAGGTATTTATTTTCCCTGAAGTTTAGCAAGAAGTCTTCCTCACCAGCAACAGATCTTATGGCCGGAGTCAGTCTCTGACTTCAGTGAGAGTATACTCTTACCCGAGAAGGTTGTCCAGCTCAACAATGGTTTAGCTGCGGGTGCTCTTCATGACATTGTTCCTACTTCTCCAAGAGTCGATGACTCGTTGTATCGTGCATTCATTGGACTGTTTTGTGGCGTCGCTTCGGCAGATCATGATCCGGCTGATGTAAACCAACTCATTGTCTCCGCATATCACATGACGAAGATGGTGGTGGGTTGCTCATGCAATAACGTCGATATAAAGGTTCCTAAGACGGCCGATATGCCAGTCTTGCTAATCACCAACTTCATGTCTCTGCTCAAGTCGCACATGCAGAGTCTTGATGATACTGTCAGCAAGCTCCGTGGCGATTTTCAGGGTAACCTACAAGGGGAGTCACTCTCCATCCGCGAGTTAACCCGCGACCTAGCAAACACCGCCGATATTAACATTGCGAAAGACAATGTGCGCTGGATTTTGCAGGGCATGGCCGCTCGGCCTATTGCTCTTTTCTTGGAGCTCCGGAACAAGTACGCCAGAGAACACGATCAACTCTTCGGCTTGTTGAAGGACTATGGACGAGGTTCAAATTAGCTTCTCACTAATGCCGCCCAAATGGAAACGTCAAAGGCGGTTATGATATGATTTAGCCATTGGCTACGGGAAAGTGCAACAGGTATCTCATTCTCGACAAGAAATTGGCGTAGCGTTTCGGGGCATTTAATTATTTTTGAGGGATTGGAGCGACTTACCGTGAAATGGAGAAAAGGATGATACTATTGCTTTATTTTCTGTGGTTATTTGGAGTCACTCTAGTGATGGAGCAGGGAGATATCAGCTATCTGATAGAAGCTTATATTAATGCTGTTATTTCGTAATATTTGGCGCGTGTTTGAATAATGTTCCCTCCCTGTCTATCCTTCTTCATGTTGGTTTCATCTGATCCATGAATTTCCCAGCTCTGGATTGCAGTACTATCATAACAAGATCAAATTAATCAACTGGAAGGAAGATAGGAGTCAGTCTCATAAGAGTCAATCTCACTCTATCGGTTATATTGTTTGGCCAAAAGAAGAAGCAATGGTATATTCTTGGGACTGACTCGAAAGTGTAGAGTTATGAATAGTGGTACTGAGATCCTTTACGAGAATTGAAGTCGTTATATTCTGAGTAAAGGTTAAGATTGACTCCCAAATCCTGGACACCTTCTGTGTCAGCGCGTTGTCCGAGCCCTGAGGTGACGTTCTACAAATCCAGTGTTACATCGCCCAAGATATAGCAGCCAAGTTTATGGCTGAACAATATAAATTCCACCGGGTCGTTCAAATAATGGTTCTCTGGTGCCAGCTTGCAGTCTTCACTGTTCGAGTTTGCTTCCCTTGCCCTCGCTTCTTGGAGATGTTTAGAGTCAACCCATATGATTCGACATTTTTCGATTGGTTCCTAATTGTTATCGATGTTGTCATGGGGGACCCGTTTGGTCTCGAGCAGAATATTCCTTTGCCATGCGTCGAAAATAGCATCAACCTCCGCATTCTCTGGAAACCAAGGTGCAACTTGTCTTGAAACCCGTTTGTTATTGCGCAGTTCTCTTCGAGCTTGCGCTAGTCGTAATCCTCTCTGCGAGACCAATAGAGGGCAGCCATTGCTTTCACCCGGAGACAAGCGGGCTACAATATCTGAACCCTGCCTGTGCCTGTGGATGAGAGCCCTTATATTATCTGAAGTATTGTCTTTTGCACCACCCAACTTGGTTTTGGTGTGCAAATGTCCTTCTTTGAGAGAATTGGAGTCAGTCCAAACAATCCATTTGTCGGCCAATATATCGTAGAAATCTCGTTCCCATGTGAATCTCGATAGTGCACCGGGATCGACGATGTGGTCATTTTGCATGAGAATCGACATCAGGGGTTCAATGACCGGCTCCTTTAGATACCAGATAGGTTCGACGGTCAAATCAGTGTATGGGTGCATGATAATTTCCCAGCGGCGCATGGCTTCGTCGTAGGCCCAACGCGCAAAGGAAAGTGTTCCTTCATCTTTATCCACTGTGCATCCTTCCATTTGGGATATACTCTCAATGTCGAGTGAGAGATAGACATGATTATCATAAGGAGCTTTAGACAACTCGATTATAATTGGTAGTTGCGACATCGGAATGACTCGAAGGAATGAGGTTGAAATCTGAACGTGAATTTTTATTCAAAGTCCTTGCGCGTAGATGGCTGACATGAGAACGACTCGAATGTACCAATACAGCAAATTGAGGGAGAAGGGAATGATGGATAAAATAAACCAAGTAAGAAAGATGTTTAGGTGACGAGGTTGAATTAGAGTCACGTGACGGGACTCTAAGCCATTCACTGTCAATTCACTCTGGCGGAAGACCACAGTCAATAAACAATACTTCTTTCTTCAACTTAACATACTTGAATCTACCTGATCATACCATTCAAATACTTCAAATTGACGCAAGCCTTGCCGTTTTGCGCAAGTTCACAAAAGGCCATTTCATTCAGTCCTCCACGCCTATACCGCCAAGTCTCCTTGTATTTACACCCAGCAGTAAGCATCATGCCGAAATCCCAGGCAAAGGGCAAGAATTGCACTCAAGGCGAGAGAGTCGAAGAAAATAGTGACAGTCACACTGAGTCTGGTAAGACTTAACAAATGTTATTAAACACGACTCTAAATCCGACTAACCAATATAGAAACTACTCCGATGCCCCAAGATACCATCGATCTGCTGGGCGACTTTCTTACTGTCGTCAAAGCGAGTCACTCCAGTGATGAAGACAAGGAGGCTGCGCTGGAAGCACTTGTTCAGAGTGTCGAGGCTTAGGAGGCTGGTCAGCACACACTCAACCAGTGTTTCACAGCAACGATGGCTCCCAGACCCAAGATCCCAGAAGACATGACAAAGGCAGAGTACGATTGGCTGACACAGGTTCAGACGCTTGTCGAACAGGAAATAGTCCAGCCTGAAGGACCCGATGAGCTGCTGCGGAAAATACGGGATCTTTATTAGCATGCTAGATTAGCATGTATCACTGTGGAATGACTCCAGACTACCCAAGAAATCGGTATAAGAAACACAATGGTCCGAATTGCCTGGAATGTTCAAAGCTTTGAGTATCTGGTAGTCTAAGGTAGCAATGACAATAGCAAGCTACGTGGCCGCAGACAATGCCCAAAGCCCAGACCGAGAGGTTTTACTGTCCCATAACAAAGCATACATACATGCATACATACACGAAAACAAGACAGGAAATATGCGTTTATGAGTTGGATTCAGATACTTAGAAAGTAATTCTTGATGAGCTTGGATGCCTTCGACTGACTCTGCTCGACGACATTCGCCTCAAGAGCCATATTTTGATATCTCGCCCGTTTAGCAAAAGGCCTCCATTGAAGATTACCCCAAAACCTGCACCTATTCCCCTTTGACAGGGCATACAGATACCCGTGATCAAATGCAGAACCTGACTTAAACCAGGTTAAACTCAATGTTCCTGCCCCAATAATCACTAAAGCAAGCCTCTTTGTATAACCTCTCATCTAACCCGACGCGCTTTTCTTCTTCGTGATCCCAGAGGGCTGCCCCGATTTCTTTCTCTGGGTGCCTTGACCACGGCTAGGAGTTGATAACCTGGAAGGCATGGCAGACCGCTTGCTGGGGATATATCCACCTGTAAATGGGCCTGCACTTCGAGTGGTTTGTCTAGTAGGGGTAGCAGGTAGAGAGTCAGTCTCTATAGTAGTCTTCAGGGGTTGTGAAAGACCGAATGAGGGAAGCCTAGCCTTTCCATTGTTTTTTGGGGTATAGCCACTTGGAAACGGGCTTGCACTCCGAGTGGTTTGTCTAGTAGGGGTAGTAAGTAAGGAGTCAGTCTTTGCGGTATCTTTTAGGGGTGGTGAAGGTCCGAATCTTGGAATGATAAACTCCCCCTTGGCGGAGTCAAGAGCATTTGTAGTTGTGGTGTTGGCGATACTCAAATCGCCAGATGTTACGGCAGGAAGTCTCGTGGTGACAGGCCGTTCATCCTCTGAGGCTTCACCTCTAATAACAGAAGGTGCGTTACTTTCAGATGGAGTTGGGCTACCAGTTCTTCTGCTGGATTGAAGAGGTGCATCGTCGCTTCCTAAATTAGAGTCATTCTCTGGAGCGTCAAGCCTGGGATCGTTCTCAGTACCACTAGAAACAACGATGCCAGAAACTGGCACGATCAGTTGTGACTTGGCACTCTTAGTTGGAAAGACCACAGAACGATGTCTCTCAATCTCAAACTGAGCAACTACGGCATCCTTGATCTCTTGATCGAGTGGAAACTCGTCAAGTACGCCCTTGACGGCCATTTTGGCGAATTCTTTCACATCTAATTTAGTGACAAACTCCAAAGACGCCTGAGTGTTGTGTTGCAGGATCTTGCATTGTCGTTCAAGGCGACCCTCTATTTTGCTTGTAGTTGACGTGAACACTGACGACAACTGATCCAGTCGCCTTTCATTTTTCGATAAATTGTCTCGTAGAGTGGTGATGTCTTCTCCTTGCCTCCTTTTCAGCTCATTGATCTCTGACTGCTGTCTAAGCAGCATGTGCCTCAACTCTTCCAATCCGTTGTCAGGCTCGAAGGTAAATGGGGCATCGACAACAGGTGAATTATCAGTGTCTTCAATATCGGATCTGAAATGATGGGTATATCTTGTCTGACGAGTGACTCTGTTATCGCTGTCATCTTGTTGATCCTCTTCGTCGTCTTCATGACCTCCCTCTGAACTGCTGCCTGAGTTACTAGAATCACTCTCTTCGTAGATAGCTTTGCGACGTTTTGCGTTTCGAGTCTGAAATCCTTCTTCTGGAGTAGCTTCTTCAGGCCCACGTTTTTGGGCCAGAGACCTCAGAATCGCATAATGGCCCTTTCCTACTCGTTTTTGTAACTCTGCCCTTCCTTCGTCTGACATGCGGTCGTAATCATCGAGGGGTTTGGGGTGGGTGTTTTTGCCAGCGGGCTGCATTTTCTCCAGCCCCGAAGCCCTTGATAATGACATCCTGCAAGTCGACTTTGAGAGGCGTGTCAACGATGCTTTAGTAGTATAGTACTATATCATATTAATCGGATTTTAATAATATGAGTGAGTCAGTTGGGTCTTACCAAGCCGTGTTATCGGAGTGACTCGTGGGAAAAGAAAGCAGTCTATTGTTGTTGACTCTATGAATTTATGCAGTACTGCATCTCTTCACAGGCTGCTCGTAGTCTCGTATCTGCAAGTGGTGATATGTAATTTCTGGTGTGATGGAGTCGAGCTGAGTGACGTCGCCGCTAGTTAGTCATAATAATTTTCAATCGTGGAGTTAGCCGGAAACTCGAACTCTAGTGTGCGGGAGCTGAATGTTTGATAAGGTAAAGAGAAGATGTTAAATATCGATGATAAGTGGAGATGATGCGCCCACTTAATGAATTGATCAACCACTGCAAATGGTCACGTGATATACTGAATCATCTCCTCTACTATTATCTGTGCAGGTCGCATCCCAACTCATTCATTTTGTCTCCTTTTCACTCTTCGCATTAATCATTTCAACAGACTGACTCTCATAACACTCAATTATGCCTTATGTCTGGTACCCCGAAGCCCTGGAGAGACTCGGCGCCGAATCTTGGGATGAAGTAAGGGCACTAGGTGAAAAGGGGCTTGCTAAGAAAGAAGCACGAGAGCAGAAAAAGAGGCAGGCAAAGGCTGCAAAAGCGGTCAGTATGATCAATCGATAAGAGAACCTATTACTGACCGCTACAAATAGCCTCTGGGATGTAGGACGTCGGAAAGTGAGACTCCTAGCACTTCTGGTTGGAAAGCCATAAACATTCGTGAGAAGGTAGCCTACTCCTTTTGATACAACGTAATATCTACTTACTTTACTATAGAAATTGGCCCCAGGACAAACCACACTATCAAATGAGAATGTCAAGAAGCGAAAGCATAAAGACAAGGGCCAGAGTGCGGATGCCAAGCGTCCACGGGTGGATGGCCAGCACAATGGTGTCTGAATCGATTAAAATATAGAAATATCCTCTCCTAGAGTGACTCTCCCTGCGGAGTGACTTATCTTAATATTATATCAAACAGGAAGTTGTCATCCAGTCCTATACAGTCGTTTGCAGCCTCGTCTCTTAAGACAAGTAAAAGAAAAATCACTTCTCTTAGCCCTGGAGATATTATACCTGTTTTAATAAAGACTACTTAAAACTATAATTATAATTATAGCTCTTTATATAAATAACCTAGCTATAAATATATAAAATAAGTTATTAAATAGCCTAACTAGTTAGCACTTAAATTAGCCTTAGGTATTTATTTTTTTATAACTTTAATTTAATAATAATTAATAAATAAGATCTAAGTATTTAAATAATAATAATTTTTTTTAAGTTTATAAGTTAGCCTTAAAAGATATATTTAAGTATTTCTAAAATCTAATATAATTTAAATATTTATTACCTCTTAGTAAGTAAAGCTTTATTAGGCTGCGGCACCACGAGCGACTTCAAAGTGAGCTGATTCTTCTCTGTGTTCACCTAGTACCATCAACTGGCCGCCTTTAGTCTATGGAATTGTCCTTTCGGTGCTGATGTGGTGGTACGGTCAGGGAACTTGAGCTTTCGAGTCCATCGCAATATTGTGGTACCTCAGTCAGGCTGGTTCCGCGATAACCTGCCACCACCCAATATGGTAAGTATCTTCTCTTCCGTTCAGCTTGTAGTTATGCAAACTGAGAACTTCAGGATGGGACACCAGTTGTGGTGACTGTGAGCTTCGCTCCCGAAACGGTCGCTCATTGTTTACGTTTCATCTATACCGATAGTACGTGTCGGGCTCTATCTAAATTGAAGGAGGCAGGAACTGATACGTGAAACAGAAGTTGAAATTTGCGACATCGATAGCCAAAAGCCCTGGAATGCTGCGCATATTCCTTGTTGTGTCTTGGCGTATACCGCTGCTGTCTACTTGCGTATGGCGAAAATGACATGCCATCTTCTTCGCGTGATCGAGAATACTTCCAGTGAACTTGGAGCTCTAATACGTAGAGACCATATCTCTCAAAAGCCGGACTGCTCCCAATGGGTCCAATTCTCATGGCACTATCAGAGGGCATTGGATATCATTGTTCGGGGACAGCCTCAGAAGCTGATGGTGCCCATGAGGCTAGCTATGGCAAGCATCCTTGATGCTGTGCTCTTCTGGGTGGTACGGCATCCTCTTTTTGCCAGCGACCTGAAAAGGCCGTGGCAAAAGATTCTGGAAAATAGTATGCATGATATTGCTGAGTATAAGCATCTGTGCCGAAGCGCCCATTTATTCAACAGTCCGTTGCCAGATGAGTTGGCATTGTTGGAGCTATTCGAACAAACTAAAGCAGAAAAGAAGCCACCAGAACCTTCAAAGTCAGTGGGGACACAAACAGAAGACGATGGTTCTGACCAAGAATTGAAGGGCCAGAGAAGTGATTTTTCTTTCACTCATCGCGAGAGACGAGGCTCGCTGTAACTTTCGATTTATTGCTTGCTTAAGGACTTGAGAACAAGGCAACATGGTATTTTTTCTTGGAGTTCTGGCTACAACGAACTATATTGTAGACAAAAGAGTTAGAGCCATTGATAACCAGTGGCGAACATTAGCTATTTGTATCAAAAAAAAAAAAAAAAAAAAAAAGAATAAAGGCTGGTGTTGGCAATGAGTTCCCAGGTAGAGTAAGAAACTCTATTAGGTCGGCCTCGGGGTGTATTTCGTTCCAGGTTGACCCAGGCTATCAGCTCAGAATTCAGCTGCGCGACAAGATTCGACAGTACTTTGCAGCTGGTGTAACTTCTCTAGACAGCCAAGGACATTAGCTTCCCATGACCAGCAAGACTATTCAGATGGAACTTACAGCTGTGCGTGCGTTTTATCGCTACCGACACGTTGGGATATAGGAGGGCGAGTGCACTGACAGCAACTTCTACTAGACAGAGCAGACTGCATCGTCAACCCCTTTTGCAATCCTTGTGGTGAATGGAACTCAACCCTCGGCCATCTGCGATCATACTGGAGATCATCCCATGGTCAGATATCGTCATGCCTCCGAGCAGCGAGACAATTTAGAACCTTAATCCCAAATAATCAAAGAATTCAGGCTACTTTAGGATAATTTGTTGGGTCTTTTGACTGATTATTCATAATTTATACTAAACTTATTAAAGTCTTTTTTATCATTTCGGATATATATTGTAGCCCGCATGCCATCAGATGAAAGCAATGGCTATCCTTTCTTGGCCTCGCAGAGAGGAAGAGAGGACGAATATGAGGCTTTAGTACTAGAACCCTTGAACTCTTCAGCTCTCTGCGTCAATAAGAATGGTCACCAACAAGAATTGATGCATATCCTTGACTTATTCAACAGCCAAATGTGGGGGACCAAATATGCTTATGTTGAAAGTAAATGGCAAGCGACAGAAGTTCTTTATATCAAAGCAAGATTCAAGCTTTGAAGGATAGGTGAGCCCGGGAATATAGGCCTCCTAGTTCAGAATTCAATGAGAACATACATTCTAAACCTAAGCCTTTGACGGTAATTTTGTGTTTGACAATGAGCTGTTCTGTTAGTTGAGTTCCGTATAGGCCTTGAAAATTTTAGCTATAAATACTTGGTGGTTTCCCTTCTCTTATCGCAAGGTTCTTCAATTAATTTATAATGAAATCCGGGACACTGTTGTTATGCAAGACCAGGACAATTCGCTGATTGTTTGAGTGGTCGAGGATTTGATGTCGTGAGCCAGTCACGTGGCGTCGCGTGTGGAGTTTTCTACTTTACGCGTCTCTCAGTTGCGGATTCCCTGTGCGTCATTCACCTTCAGTTTCGGGTTCCAGGTACCTGGTACACAACCATTACCAGAACGGTTCAGAACTGAAATACGTGCTCATATCTGCAAACAATCCATTTATTGCCCTTGACTTCGAAGCAACATGGTTGCTGGGTACCAGCGGCTAAATGAAAAGAAATCGCAACCGAATCCCCATATTGTCTTCATCAAGCCTTTAGAGGGTTCAGACAAGCAGATAGCTCAGGACTTTCTTGAGAGAATAGCAGCACAATGTCGTGAGTTAACTGCTTTCCTGGATCGGTAATACGGTATTGATATTCGTCCTTATCAGGTCCCATTATGCGAGAAAACTACCTGTACGTGACTTCGCTAGAGGAGTACGAACCAAATCGTGAATTCGTTGGACGGAATTTTAATGCAGGCGAAGTCGTTCAACTCGTTCTAAAGTCGCCCAGTACTGGCCGCTGGCTGCCATTCAACTATGTACAGATGGTCATGATGCACGAGCTGGCACATTGCAAGCAAATGAATCATTCAAGAGCATTCTGGACCGTCCGAAACTTGTACGCTTCTCAGATGCACGAGCTTTGGTCCAAAAACTATACCGGAGACGGCCTCTGGGGAAGGGGTGCCAACCTTGCCACTGGTGAATGGGAAAAGAATAGCGTGCTTGCTGGTGAGGTTCTACCAGAGCATCTCTGCGGAGGTACTTACAGATCACGTCGCAAGAGGCGGGTCAAGCCACAACTGTCCTACCAGGAACGAAAGGGAAGACGAATCTTGAAGAAGTTTGGCAAGAATGGGGTCGCTCTCGGTGCCGATGAAGAAGAAAAGGTCAAGCTGGAGAGTGGCAGGAAGATCCAAGCAAAACCTCGGGTTGCTGGAAGCATGAGAGGACGCGAGCTCCGGGCGGCGGCGGCACTCGCTCGCTTCGAAAAGCAAAAGACAGAGCCCGAGCCCATTAAAGATGATGACGAGACAGATTCCGGAAGTGGCAGCGAATTTGAGGATGAGCCTGGAGAAGATTCTAAGGATACTGTCGATGTGAACGGTAAGAAACTGCTTGATGGACAAGGCCGCGGCATGGTCAAAGTCTGTGAAGATGAGGATGCAGATGATCCTGGGGCCAGAGATGAGAGTCGGGAACTTCAAAGAATGATTAGGGGCATCAAGAGGGAGTCACCTGAGCCACAAGTTACAGAACCACCTCAAGAACCTGGGCCTCAAGTTCTCAACAACCAGTCACCGCCAACAGCGGCACCTGCTACTGATATCAAGGCAGAACCTACCAGAGGATCTAAACAGCCTAGGATACCAACGACATCGAGGCCTGTTAAATCGGCAAACAATGCAAAAGCCACGAACGGGTCCCCAGTCTCGCTCCCTCAAGGTTCAGCTCAGCCAGTCGACTCGACAAGCAATCAGGCACGCTCTGGCGGAACTTGCTCCATGTGCTCTTACGACAATCCTAATTCAGCACTTACATGTGCAGTGTGTGCCAATGTATTGGATTCCTCAAAAACAGGCTCGTGGCAGTGTTCAACCGACGCGTGTCAAACTACGCAGTATCACAATGCTGGCGATTGTGGGGTTTGTGGGTTGTGTGGTCAAAGAAGAACGGAGGCTGTGTAAAACCGCAGTGAATCAAGCCCTGCTTATTACGATGAAAGATTATGTTTGGCGATGGAAGCCAAGTAACATTCCTATTAAGCAGTAGGCATGACGACTCATTTTGGCGATGCTGAGATGCAAATGCGTCGAATGATTTATGCAGTAACGCCGCAGCACTGTAGCAGACTGAAGTTCTCATTGGCAATAATGATAATGTTAGAGCAGTTCGCATTCAGAGACATGTATTGCATGGTATTATAGCATCGATGTTCTTGAATCAAAAATGGTATGAGCATCGAGCTTCTTGTGTGAAGAACAGAAACTGGGCAAGTCTGTCCTCCATGAAGCTCTAACAGCAAGAGAAAAACAGAACCCCTCAGCCATCTGTTGGCCTTCAAATATACCAAAGACTACAGTCATATGTTAAATATTCCACTTCTACATTATGCTAAACTCGAGATTGATTTCATAGACATGCAATTCTAATTATAAGCTTAACTATATGCTAGAAAGACGATCACACAATAAAAAGATCCTTAGCCTACATTTTCCAAGGTAAAATGAATCTATGTCCACTATGTAGCACTTATAGTTGTAACTCTTATCATTTTGGTAAATTTTGGTGCATCAAGTTGGTTGCATTGCAATTCATCGATTGAGAGCACTGGCTTGGAAAGATCTTCTCATTGCTTGTCTTGGAGCCTTGATGACTACACAGGATTCGCTTTCATGAGGGATCAGCGGAGTCCCTATTTACAAAGGTTAACCTCCATGTTGAACCTAACCTGCAAACACAAATCCTCCCCTCCACATGTCCTCCAAATCCATGCCGGGTATGTTGCTACGTGTAGCTCGTTCCGAAAGGATCTACAATTTGTGAGTGCTGTCACCCTAACAGCGACACCCTCAAAGTCATACCAGTTTGACCTTTTCTCTTCATCATATCATGCACGTTCCGGCACACCTAGGAATATCGCGGTTCTAATGCCCGATCATTGGAGATGACCAAGGGCTGCGTCACAGGCGTGAGGTAACGAGAGGGTCTGCATCTGTTAGTGACAGCAGCCACTTACATGGTTATTTTCGTTCATGAGTTGCTCCGTGGTGAGTTATAAAATGGCTGAAGAGTTACAAATGCGAATGATGGTGCTGAAATGAGTTGGAAATGCGTGGTGTTTCTACGAAAGAGCGGCAATCGAGGGCAAATCGAGCATCATTCATGTTGTCAAGGGAACAAAAGGAGGAGGTGCATTGCTCATGGGGAGCGGGCCGATTGACCGGCGGCAGATTTCAGGTCATATTCCATGCGCGTAACAGTCGAGGGAGGGTCGAAGACAAGGTGAGAAGAAGGACGAAGAAATCCGCGGAGCGTGGGGAACAAGTTAAGATAAGGTGGGAGTGGAAACAACAGCGGTGAATATCAGAGCGGAGAGTATTGAAGATGAGTAGAAAATGATCGAAAGATTTGAAGAATAGGCACAAATACGATATACACAAAAAGAAAAGGGTAAGCAATGCTGTAAAGACAGGAGACAGGGGGGAAATTGAGAATAAACGGTGAGAAAAGAGTGAGGGATGGGGATGAGACAAGAAATGGGTGAGGGAACAGCAGATTCCAGTAACTGAAGCACATAATCATTCTGTTATGTAGTGTTTTCTGGCGAGGATATCCATTGGGTGGCTCGAATCGGATCGACATGCTCACCAAGGTCCAGACCTTCAAGAACATGGGTGGGCTTGATATTGACGATGTGGTCCCCCACCCACCATCAGGGACAGACCTACCATTGAGCTAGCGTGTATTACAGTGCAGCAAACCCATTGTTCGGCTGTGGGCTGCAAGCTGTGGCATCGTGGATAACTTCCTAGCTTTGCATCCCCTCTTTGACGCTATCTCTGCACCCACAGGTGGCTATGGCCGCCACAAAGTTCGCCAATCTCTTGGTGGTGTGTTGGCCATGACCCAACCTCGTCCCTCCAATTCCTGGTCTTGGATTCCAGACAAGGCGATTCCGTACATGAAATTTTTGTCTATACATGGCTGCTATCAATTTAACAAAGCCACAAAACTGCCACCCCAGACGGTGATAATTCAGGAGCAACAGGGCATCCCTCGAGGAGTATAAGCCAACTGATGGTCATTAATCAAGAGCAAAAGCGTGGTGACACTCAACACTGGCCAGGTAGTGTTGGGTGAGTAACATCGAGCACATAATACACCAAAGAGGGTGTCAAGGGATTTAGGAATCCTTACCAAAAGCTCAAAAAGACAGACAGGCTGTCGAAGTCGAAGCCAAAGCCAAGGACACCAATGCACCTCAGCGGCCGAGGATGCCGTGAGCCGGTCTCGGGAGCATGTGGGCGGACGCGGGGTAGCATTCTCGGTCCATGATTGGCTATCTGGAGGTTTGGTTTAGACATTAAACAGCGGACCAGGGCCCCGTTACGCTGTTTTTAGTTTCCAGGTAGTGGACTTAACCGTGCGTGTTTAGTCGGAGTTCAGACCTCCTGGATAACGTGGCATTTGCGGAAGTCCAAAGGCTAACAGTCCACGTCTAGGGATTGCCCTGTGGAAGAAATGAGCATGAAGGCTAAAAAGACAAGACGTAGACACAAGCATATGGAATGTCTCTAAAAATAAAACAATGGGCTGTCTACGCTCCATCGTACCCTGAACAGCGACAGACATACCTACCTACCTACCTAGCATGGTCCCAAAATGCAAACGAGATGAAAAGGTTGCTGCAAGCATTGCTAACGAATGCCGAAATATGGATATGGCATGGTGATGACAACTCAGCCACCCACCGTGTGTCATCGCTTCATAGCGCCCAATTCCCCGAGCGATGCTGATCGCTGTTGAAGCTTGAGATAACACCAGACAGGAGCATCACTTGATCTGAGATGCTCGACGCTAAAAGCATGGACCAGGCCGTGTGTGATGCAAGGTTTTGACAAGAGTCATGTCAAGGGGGAAACTGAGGTGTGATGGGCTGCCAACAGCTGAAATGGGATTGGACATGAGCTCGAGGACCGTAAAAGCGATCCATGAGTCAAACTGTCAACGCATGTTCAAGAATTCTAGAGGGGGGGCCTTTTCAGCACCAAAGCTAAGCTAATGCAGATTACGGTGTTTCGTATGCACATTACAGTTACGTCGTATCTTATCATCACATTCAATCCCCCCTTCCACCACTGTTTACTGATGGCGTTGCTGTGCTAGCGGTAGCATATGGGCTTGTCTGATGACAAAGAGGCTAGCAACGCCCAAGAGCTTCGCTTGCTGGGCTGCCATTATATTTCTGGACATCATGCTCAGTTTGGCACGCAAGGCACATACAGTTGGTGGTTGGTGGGCGACCAATCACAGGTTCTCATTGGTTCGGCCGTCTGTCGGTGCATCGTGCTGTAACAGAAAGTCGAGATAAGCTGGCGCGAAAGTGTGAGGCCGGGAGAGACCTTTGATCCCCCTTCAGAATCGTCGCATCTCCATCTCTGTTGCCGCTGTTGAACTGTGCCTATGAGGCAGAGTCGCAATCCGATAAAACGCTTGAAGGTTTGTCTCAGTTGGTTGCCTTTCATTACAGAGACTACCCCGCAAAATGGCAAACATTCCACAGTACGTACCCGTTTGTGACGTAGACGGGATGCTCCAAGGTGCCCTACGAGGCGCCTTTTTCGAGATAAGATTGGCTTACCGGGGGCGGTCCCTTTGCACCCGTTTTCTCCGCAGTCAACCAAACGGCGCTAACAATGGTCTGTGAAGCCGCAGATGCCGGGGGGAACAGGGACCAGTGGGGCTTACTGCCAGGTCCTGCTATAAGAGGTAAAAACTACAACAGGTCGAAGCCCAAAATGGAATTTGGTCTCGTTGCTCGGCCACCAGAAGAAAAAGGGTTCGTATAAGAGTTGACGTGTTGGTAGATAGCTGTTGATGAGAGAAGGAGAAAAGGGCCAGGTTCCATGTGTTTTCTATGCGATGTAGGCAGAGGAGAGCAGGGAAAGGCATTGTTTGCGTTCGATAACCTAGGAGAAAGTATTTACCAAACCCTGAGAGACAGCACCTGCGAGACTCATACCTATAGTTAATGATCAAACCAATATGACAAAAGGAAAGAGTAGGTAGTGCTTCCTCTTTGTGAGTTGTCTTGACTGGACAATAAGAAACGTTCGTGAATGCTATGCACTTTTACTTGCCTTCAAACTGAAATCAGGCAAAAGGCCAACTGTGAAATTGCTACTACCTACGCTGCTACGGTCCAGGCTAAGAAGCTCGTCAGCTACATTTAAAAAGAGCGGTTAGAACTAACAGCGGCATCGCCCCTTCCAATTCTGCTTCATTGCCCTTTTAGGACGTGCCCTGGCTGCTCAAAATGCTTGATCCAGCCCCAAGAGAGCTTCTGGCATTGTAACGTTCTTTGAAATGAAATGAAATGCATGGCATGGAGGTCCTCTGTCTCATAGGTCCCTTGATGACTGAAAAACTACGATGTCCCTCAACACATCCGCCCTCCCTCAACGAAACATTGCATAAGGACAGATCATCCTTTCTCGATTCTGTAGCCAAGGTAACCTGCCAACAGTTCCTCTGCATCAGTCCGTTCGGGTACGCCATGTACTGCTTCTGATGCCCACATCAGATCTTACCGGTATGGGCTTCGGCAGTCTACCAGCCGTGATAGATGAAAAGAAAGAGAACCGCCTATCGAGCCGACCGTTAAACGAACAAGATCTCCGAGTGACGGGTTCCGATAGCTACCTGAGAGCTCAAGAGATTATATCAAGATTAGTGACCAGTTACCCCAGACCCAAATAGGCCATTAGCCTCATGTTCAGAAGTTAAGAACTGGGCAAGCGACAAGAGACAAGGGTTCAGCCCCAGGGCATTCTCCATTTCTTTCGGGAGGGGACACCCTCCACGATGAACCCTTGAGCATTACAGTGCTGTTTAGTGCCCCACGACGCAGATTTGCCCCAGGCATCCTTGAACAGCTCGACCAACCCTGATCCCGATTCCGGCGGGAAACTCCACTCTGCAGCGACTACGTCACTCGGCCCCCGGACTCAATCTACGCGCTGCAGCCATTTCCCCTTCATTTTGCCCCATCTTTTCTAGCAAAGGTCTCATCCGTCACTGAAAACCCCCATCACAAAACAACCTTGAAGCTAGCCGCGACTGCATGTACCGGCGTCAGCTCGACAAACGAACATGCCTACCTACCAACCTGCCTACCAAGGTGGTCCACGAACCAAAGGCCCCTGGTCAATTCTTGAATGCCACCATCCGCCTTAGATCCTGGGCTTGGCTCTTCACTGACGGACGACCCTCGATTCTGGCCTACGTAGACTAACACTGGTTGATACCTTGGGTATGGTGTTGCGCCGGTCTCGCTCGATTCTCAAGTTGCCGCTGACTGCCGATTTCCCCTCCAACGTTGACCTAAAGGTTGCCTTTTACCCAAACCGGCAACGGCGATCTCTCATCGCTAACCAGCTGTCTCTTCTCCCCTGTTTTAGAGTTGATTGACCCCCATTTCGTCCTCTTCACCAACCCATCACTGTCCGTCCTTATCAACCCTCGGTCCCCCCCCGTTCCCATCTCGGTTTTCTAAACTCTTTCTTCTTCTCTCTCTTCCCCCCTTTACTCCATCTATCGCGGCTTCTTTGTTCTCATTTTTAGGATTGTTCGCCTCATAGAAAACGCTCTCGGCAGCCCACAACTATCTAAGCACCATCCCACCATCAAATTCACGTGAAACGCTGTTGCTGCCATTCTCGAACCACTCTGGCGCCATTACCTCGCATATCTCCCCATATCACAACATTTTCAAAACTATAACTACCGACGGCAGCCGTCGTCTTTAGTCGCCCATCATGTCTACAGACACAGCACCCCCCAACAATAACACCAACGCCGAAATGTACACACGCAACAGACGAGGATCAATCACCCAGGCCGCATTGACCAATCTCTTTCAAAGAGGGAACTCAGTTCCCAACGGCAACGGCTTTCCAAATCAGTCCTCGGGTCCAGTTGACACTGGTCGTCGACGTCTCTCCGTTACCACACTTGGTCTTTCGGGCACTTCGCCCACCAACACCTCTTTCATTCGTCGAGGCAGCATGTCGACAAACTCCAACAACTCAGACTCTATTGATGAGAATGCCATCGACGATGACGACATGTACTCCAAGACTGCACCCACAACACCATTCGTTCGACGAATGAGCTTTGGCACTTCGAACATGCGCAACATTCGCCCAAATGGAAGCCCTGGCAATGGTAATAACCCATCCTCTCCTCCTACTTCTCAAAACGGGCGCCCCGTCCCAAGTGGTCGGAAGGCGTCGCTCGTTGGCTCCCCCAGCCAAGGGTCAAGCCTCGCGGCAGCTTTGTCTGCCGGACGTCGCCCCAGCCTCGCTTCTTCTGTCACACAGGCAAGCAACACCAAAAACCCAAGAGCCACATCTGACAATTATATTTCGCGCCCAGACCAGCAAGGTTTCAACTGGTCCGAGCAGCTTAGGTCTCGTGCCGAGAGTTCCGTCATCGGTGCTCCTCGGGCTTCCTTCTCGCTCGCCTCCTCCTCCCCACCCCGGGGCTCCATTCACGACCGGGCGAAATCTGTTTCTGAGATGCCGCAGCCTCCTGCCCAGGCTTCTTCTGTCAAGCAGCCGCCCAGACAGCCTGAAAGACCAAAGCCTGATGCCTTTCAGGAGAGAATTTTGAAGGGTGACTTCTACATGGACTGAAAGCATCCACGCCTCAGATACATGTTCACTTGAAGATGATAACGACGACGATGATGACACCAACAATGACGATTCGCCCACCTTGCCACAATTGTCCGGCGCTCCCAATAGCCGTATGCTTCCTTTTAAATTCCAGCTGCACTGCGCAATGTTGTTCCTGACATGGTTTGCCATTTTCAGCAAATATCCCTTGAAGGAGATCTGCCGCTGAAAACGTGGCTTTCTAATTTGTTTTATGCTTTTGGTGTTTTGCAACGAACTTTTTCTAGCGGGATCTACGGAAAATGCGAAATTGGCCACAAAACATGCAAAGCTGTATCAAACACTCAAAAGGCGTATAAGGAGCGGTAACAGGTTATTTTGAAACAAGACATTGAAGGACGGTGGGAGGGGAACTTCGAATTATAAATCACGACAAGAGCGAGCATAGGGAATATTTGAACTTGATCAGTTGTTGGCGTTATGGCTTCGTTTTATGAGCACAGGTATGCCAATATTTGTAACTAGGAACCTGGTGGAAATGGTGCACGAAGAGGATAGGGGCTGTCGACGCTTCCGAGCCTGGGAACATCGAGGGACACGGTGATGCTTTTACCACCACGGGCGGGGACCTAAGAACATAGGATTATGGAACTGGAAGCAGATGACAGCCGGGGCGTTCAGTGTCAATGATGTGATAGACCACAGCTAGAATGAATGGAATTGGTCTTATCATAATTAAAGCGTCCTTCCGAAGGACTCGTGACTTGAGCAAGCTTATTAAACCGCAAGATCATGTAGTATCAGGATTTCGTAAAAGGGGCCATACGGTCAAATCAATGTATCGAATACAAAATCCTCCATCCGGTAGAACTTATGTCTCCAGCTTCATAAGAAGTGTGTAATTGATAGTCCATAATCTCATTAATACATAGTCCAGACTCCCGGCTAAAAAGCATATGAATAATGTTTTAGTAAATTCGTTCTTCTCTCAGAGAACTGACAAGTAATGCTCACACCGCTTCGAGTACATGCAAATCTATAATGGCGCCAATGCACCTAAAACATACATTTGAAGCTGCAGCCCATGTGCAGATCGGGGGGTGCGTTCCGTGAGCCGACTGTTCGAGACGCAAGCATCCAGGCTTGGGGCATCTTGATTGAGTACCGAAGTGAGGCAAGAAAACTCAAGACGTCTATCATGAGTGACAAAAAGACTAGGGTAAGCTTAGTGTAGGTTCAGTGGACCTTAGGCTGGTTAATTTTGGTACCTAGCCTCTAGGTCAGACGCTTTCTTGCTCCCTGAGGGGTACTTATGCAGAAAGCCAAGCGATGTCTGACGTGGCTGCTTAGATATACAGTCAAAGTCTAAATTGACAATGTAAAAGATAAGCCACCAATATCTATTTTTGTCAGCAGGGATGGCTTATGGGAGGGTATCAGAAGTTCATGGCGTTGTTGCCAACTGGGGGGTTGCCTTGGAACATCGTGTTAAACCAGGGCTCCTCGAGGAAAATACGCATCCCATCTTCCCACATCCCCTGCGACCCCATGCCCATGCCCATGCCTTCCAGATCCCAGCCTGCAAAGTCAAGAAGATCTCCAGAGTTATAGCCGCCCATCCCATCCGCTGTGGGGGGTAGTGATGGCATTGCGGGCGCCATTGCAGCAGCCAAATCTGCGGGAAATGGCTCGTTGTGGTAGGGCATGGAGGCGGTAGAGCTTGAATTGTTGTCGGGGGTGTCATGGAAGAAGGGCTGCGGAGGCTGCGGCATGTTTGAGCCCCATCCAACCATCGATGGCCTGCTAGCTGAAGAGTCACGGGTTCGGGAGCCCGCTCCGGTAGCAACTTCCGAAAGGAGTTGAAGTGGAGTGTTGGCCGTAGATGCGTGGTCAGAAGGTTGTGGCGCCGAAGTATTGGCAGGTTGCGGAGGCTGTTGTTGTGCCTGCGAAGGAGATTGTGTTATCGCAGAAGCTGTTGGACCAGGCTTCGATTCTTTGGCCTCCGACTCAGCTTGTCTATAAAACCAGCTACGAAGCATAACAAGTACCACGAGGAACTTGGCTGCTGGACGACAACTATCCTCCGCTGCAGTTGCGCGGAACTTGTCAAGCAGGTTGTCAAGATATTTTCCGACTTGCATATCTTCCTTATCAATAACGCGGCCTAGCTCTGAGCCTGCTGCTGAGGCTGAGAAGTAGAGCTTGATGAGCATAACGACGGCATATGCAACCCGGACAAAGTTGAACACAGGTAAGCAGCGTATACTGAAAACATCCATGGCCAGAAATGTGCCAAGCATTTCTTTGATAGAACCGAGGCATACGGATATAGCACTGATGTGTGCTGGGGATAGTCTATCCCCCCCTACAAGCCCTTCCTGTAGAGAGCTTGTTGAGAATGGAGGTCGCAGAGGTTCACTTGTACGAGCCTGCAACGCCATCTCATGCATGTACAAGTTGAGGACGCCGAAACTTATCAGAAGCGTTGCTACTTTGGTCAGTGAACGATTCCAGCGGTTGATTTATTGAGTACATACGTTGCAGCAACTCAGGGGGGACCTTCTCTCTGTACCGTTTTAGGTCTTTTTCAAGGCCTTTGAGAATATATTGTGTTCTCGTTTCTGAGATATGGACGTCAAATGTTGGGTCGTCGAGAGAAAACTGCACATTAACTTGCTCAGAAAGGTGATGTGTCCAGACCAGATGGCAGAAGTAAGCATCTGTTGGCGCAGCGTTTGGCGACGACTGCAAAAGATGAAGACTCTCTTCCATAAAGGGGGTCCATCGGATGAGATTCGGTCGATGAAGCGCCATGGAAGTGTTGGTTGCCAGGAAATAGCATGTCAGCCATGTACGGCGACTCTCTATGCTTGTTGGATCAGGGGGTGCCCATCGACGGCTCTGGCCACCTGGTCCGGTACTTGGGTTAGGACGCCAGGTATCAGGCACGACTATTCCACGGCGCTGCTTCATTTTCTGGCCGAGTCCAATATCGATGGCCATAACAGCCGCCGTGTGGACCAACTGATAAAACTTCAGCTCCTCAAAATGTTCTGGTGGCCAATACCAGATCACAGCTACATTGAGTGCTTGCACTAGCTCTAAGCCTTTCTCGCCCGAAAGCATCACCTTTTCGGCGAATGTGAGCTTCATCTCTTTTTGAAGCACCTTCTGAAGGATGGGCGACTCAGCAGAGGCTACTGCCATGATAGCCAGAAACAGTATAGGTTTTGTTTTTCTGAGCTCGGATGCCGTGAAACCAGGTTGGAAGATAATAGCCGGCAGGTGTGAAATCATATGGTCATTGTAGCGAGCAAATAACTCAGCAGCTTTCTCCATCGTGATAACACCACGGTCAACGATATCACCACCCTTTGCCCTTGTGAGATAAGCCGCCAGAGCTTCGGCTGGTGTTTCCTCAGTAGCAAGCTGTTCAGACGAGCCTTCGCGGCCATCTGTAAACTTCCTCTTTTGCCCAGTGACTGCTGTAGCTAGTGCTGCCGTGGACTGGGCTGGGGATGCGCGGTCTGTTGTTTGTTCCGCGGTCGGCATCGACGGCATTGGGGATTGTGTCGATGAAAACGATCCCCATGCAGGGGTTTGCGCGGGATTTCGCCATTTCATGTTATTGTAAGAAGAAACGGCTGTGTTGGATTCGTTGGGTGGTTTCGGCGCAACATTTCCAGGAGACTCTCCCAAGCCGTGACCTTGGCTTTGCGTATGCGCTTGGCCTCCTCCAGGTGCCGCTCTTGCTTGCAAGCTCGCTGTCAAGGCATCAATTTTCTTTTCCAGCTCAGCCACTCTGCTGTCCGTCTTCTTCTGGCGCTTTCGCGTGGGCATTGTCACGACGCAATTCCTTCCAGCCTTCCGGCACCTCTTACAAGGCCCCTCGTCATTGGGATCCGGTTCGCAGCGCACCTTGAGCCCACGACATGCCTCACAGGCCCTCGGTCGCTTCGGATCGATTCCATCTCCATCGTGTTCGGCATCTTGAAGCTGTTGATTTTGATGTTGTGGCGTATCTCGGTTTTCGGTCGATGCGCTGGGGGTGTTCTCGGCACTGTTGTGATCATCCTGTACGTCGTGGACTGGTATCAGAGCACTATTGCCATGAGGGACATGATGGACCGGCGATGGTCTGGAGGTTGCCTCCGCGCCGAAATTTGCTAATGCTGAGGCTCTATCGCCAGTTGCGCCAAGCCGAGGATCGAGCTCCATCGGAGCTTGTTACTTTAGTAGGCCGGTCTTGATGATGTGATGGAAGAGGACGGCGAAGGTTATCGCCGACTCCGACGCTTCCGAGAAGTGGTTGTGAATGAGTCAGCAAAAGTCGGAGCATTTTGTCCATATCTCCGGGCCATCGGTGCGATTGCTTTCATCATATTCCCTTCAACTATATCAAATTTTATAGAAGGTTACAACTATCTGCTCTCAATTGGGTTCATTCTTTAATCACAACGGTTGCGCATATATTGCATGGCTAGAATAAGACTCTTTGATAAGCTCTAAACGACAGCATAAAGGGGCAAAGATGTACCTTGTCCAAGGTCCTACCAGCATAAGACCAAGAATTGGATGACCAACGAGATCATTCAATGGCAGACCTTTTTGAGCATAGATATAAGTCATGAGGTGTAAGGCCAAACAGCAATATGTAGGTGGTCAAATTGTCATCTCAGTTACTTCAGGTTATCCCGCATCTATTGCATCTTCACAATATACTCGCCTACAAAAGGCATGATGAAATCCTTCTTTCCCAAAGGCACACCCTCCTTCCTCAGAATAGCATAAGCCATTGACAGGTGAAAGTTGATATTAGGGACAGCCGCTCCCATGGCAAATGCTTTCCCGGGCAGGTCCATTGTTCCCGCCGATGGCAATGCTGTCGGGGCAACCTCCTCTCCCTGCTGATTCACGACGTCTTTATCAGCCTTTCCAAGCAACTCCTGGGCCTTTTGAATGCGCGAGTGCATATCCTGAAATGTGACGAGTTTGTCTTCAAACTCGACAGACTCCCTTCCAGAAAGCCTGGCGACTAACTTCTCCGCGAATCGAGTGGCTGCATGGACCTGGAAGCTCAACGGGTTCATGTCTTCGTGGAGTCGCGCATCTGGGAAGCTGGCTGCATTGCTATGCTTCTCTGCTTCAGTGAGAATATGGTCCAGCGATGCCAGGGCCAGTTTAGCCTCGACGATAGTCGCATCGTAAAGCGTGAAAGTCATGGTTAAAGCCGTAGAAGAAGAGTGTTGAATATTTGAGAGGTGAGTCAAGGACAGGCAAACCGCGAAAGGGGAAGCGGAAACGAATGAGGATCTACAAAAACAAAAAACAGGTATAAATGCCTCGATCTTCCTTTCTAGGATTTACGGTGAATTGTTAATCCAATAGACAGGCTAATGGGCCGGCAGGCAAGTGGATTACCTACCTACCTACCTACCTTATATAGAGTACTAGGTACTAGGTAACCATTGAACTCATAGGTAAAGGGCCCGAAAGGAATACTAAGGCATAAGATTATATTAGAAGAGTCTTAGGACCATCAATACCCTGAAATTACCTGAATTATCCTTAGTTATCACAAGATTAGAAAAGTCTCCCCCAAGCCAGGTGGGTAGCACATCTATTGGAACATAGCATTGTCTGCATAATAGCCCACGGGCGATGAGACAGATCACGCATGGGCCTCGACTTGAAATCGGCAGTGCATTAGCAAGGGGTGTGTTGCAAAAGCCGAAAACCCCATTTAAATAGACAGTTGGGCAACAAAATCGCAGAATGAATTAGAGTATTTCTCGCAAGACAAGAAGAACTATGACAAGCCGATTCTTTCAGATCTGGACTATGTCGGCATCTTCTTGACTCAAAAACTATCCACAACGCCATGCTAAGTAGAAAGCGGCACCGCCCATCATCAAGATCAGATCAACGACATTCGCTCCAGTTACAGTCATTGAAGTTCTTCACTGACGTTTCCATATGGGTTATATCAGCATATGTCCCTAACCTTGATCTTCTCTTGGGCAATTCGTGGCAACGCTCAATCTCCTCATCGTATCAGTAAACCCAAAACAAGAGTATTCCTCCTCAAATCACCATTGATCAAACTCCGAGATGCAAGGTATTAATAGTGTAAGTCGTTATGAAATAATATGGTATGGTATGTATGGTATCATCGCATGTTGAAACGAGTGGGTATGTAGCAATAGCAAAACACATAGAAAACCAAGCACATATACAGTTCAGAATCGCGTTTCTTCTCGCAAGCGACTCTTGGATCCCTGGTGGTGGGGACCCATCATGCCACCCATGAAGATGGCACTCTCACGGCGTCTGTTGCTGGGTACGAAGCTTTGGTCGTATGCTGCGGAGGCGCTGGCGAGATCCTCGTGTGAAGCTTGCAAGAAACGTCGGTCGTAGGCACCGCGTCCTTCGTTGGCTGAAGGTGGTCGGTACCCAATGTCATAAGCACCAGCTGGAGATTCGTAACCAGGCCTGGTAGCACTTGAAGGGGGTGAGGCTCGCACTGGGGCATTGTTAACGAGGAGCGGAGGAGTCGGAGTAGATCGCTGCAGTTCTCGAACATTATCCTTCCGCATCTGCCCGTGGGGAGATGAACTTCCAGACGTTGATGGGCGAGCAGGTAGATCGAATCGCGGCGGTGCTTCAAAGCGCTGCAATTCGGGTTCAGAAATGGGTGAAGGAAGCTCGTAAACCTCAGGATCGACACCGAAGATTCCCTCGTAATTTTGGAGGAACATTGCGAAGACTGGTGCAGGTATGTTTAGGGTTGGCGAAAAGACAATGCCAACGTTGCGAACAGTCATCTTATTCATGTCCGCATTGTTGATGATCTTGATCAGGAAGCCAATCAGATACTTGAGGAGAGTGGCATTGGCTTGAGGAAGCCGATGAACCAGCTCACCCAAAGCAGTCATCTTTTCGGCATGGTCCGCAATCTCCATCGTTGTCAAGAACTCCATGTGCAAGTCCCTTGTCAGTATTGTTGTTGGTAGTTCTCGCAAGTACAGTTTCAGCAGCGAGGCCACAGCATGAATGTCGTAGTATTGACGGTCAGTCAACAAGTTAATATCCCCTTCGACATTGAACCGTTCTCGAAGTTGCTTAATAACCACGTTGGATCCACTCAGTCGAAAGATTCCTTCCTCAAGCACAGCATTCTTGGAATCCAAATACTGGATGCATCTGTAAACGACGGCAGGGAGCGGTACATTGACATCCGTAGGAGAACAAAATCGAACAGCTTCCGCCAGCGGTGCTCCAAAGGCTTGTCGCACAGGACCCTGGTAAGAGTTCTGTGGTGGGGTTGCATTCGCACCGACCTCGCTACCACCAAACAAGGAATCTTGACCCTCTGATGAAGACCTAGTCTTGGGTCCAAAACCAAAGAAACTTCGCTTCCTCTGTTTCTTTTCATCAGGCGTCGGGCCATAGTTCGGTTTGTTTCCCCAGGCGCCCAAGTCGGATATAGGCTGTGGATCCTTGGGTCCCGAAATGATCTTGCTCTGAGATGAGGAAAAGCTCTCAAATCCATGGCTGTGATGTTGGTCAGGCATGCCACCTGAAGTCTTGGGTCGAGCGGGTCCTGAAACTTGGGGGGCATCTCCTGCTTGGGTGGAATCGTACCGGACGCCAACCAATGTATCCGAATCTGACGGATGATGGTATGGCTTGCCAGGGGGTTTTCGAACTTTGCCTGCAGAGGGACGCTCTGTGCCTGTGGCTGTACCTTGTGTTTGGCGATCCTGAACAGGTCCACCCCGGGATGGTGGAGGTTCAGAATCTTCAGGATCACGATAATCAACCCATTGGAGGAGAGCATCCACCCAAAGATCCCGTTCCTTATCACTTTCGGCACAAAGAACATGTCTGAAGTGGCTGCTCGTGTCCTTCTTCTTCGGTTCCAGGATGAGGAAAGCATGACGGAATTGGTTGTCCAGGTCATCACCGTTTGTTACACGCGCTGGTGACTGGTTGTCGTTATTCTGATTCTGCTTGCCAATCTGCGCCCCCTGTAGCTTGATTGTGCCTAAGTGTGCACCTCCAGGCACTTCAAAGTACTTGAGTAGAGGCCCATTGAGAACGAAGTACCTTGCTTTCCAGCCACCGAAATTCTTGCCTTTCTTTGTTAGGTAACCACTGCGACAAGGTCGCCCGTCGGGCCCTATCTTATTGCCATTCATCTCAGAGCTCGAATCACCAATTGATACCGAGTCGTCTAGATTTGGTGGGAGAACATGAGTTGACAAATATTTGCAAAGTTCGACAGCTGTTTTTGTGTCAAAAGGTATATCTAAAATGTCATCCATGAACTGCTCCAGGACCGTCCTACGGGCATCGAGCTTGGCCGGCGCATGACCACTGAACAGCGAACGTTCTGGAGCTCTGACTGTGTAGGATGTACATTGCTTGAGCCTTTGATCAAGTTTTGTCAACGAAGCCAAGTCTTTCTCCACTCTCCAAAGCTCGCCATTGTCCGATCGCGAGATGATAGCGAGAGTAAACACTGGATCTTCTTCGAGTTGTGTGAGAGACATCATACTTGCTCGAGATGGTTTCATGCGTGATGATGCAACTGCAATTCTGATGGAGGGCAGAGCATTTGGCGGGAGCAGAAGATCCGGATATTCTTCTGTGACCAGGCCTTTGAAGACTTCTGTACGCTCGCTAGGGCTAGACATTCTGATGGATGGTTGATCCGCGTGGCTGATGGGTTCTTGCTGTACGGTGCGACTTTTCTGCGATACCGAAGTTTCCTCAGAGACGATACTTTTGCCAGTCGCTCTAGCTGGTGTTGGGGCCGGAGTTGCTAAAGGGGTGTTTGGTGGTAGTGGAATTGGTTGACGAGGTGGTCGCGGGGACAATGGCGCAGCCTGAAAATTCATCGACCTTGGAGACAAAGGCGGCGAGCTGAAGTTTGAAGGCCGAGGGCTTGCGGGGAGACCGGGACTTAACAATGGCGCAGGGATTTCCCTTGTTTTTGTTGCGCTGAGCATTTCACCGAGTGAGGCTGTAGCGAGCTCCTGCGCAGGGGCCTGGGGCATTTGAATCGGAGATCCAGGTTGACTGGACTTGCTTGACTTGCTCTTCTTGGATGCACTACGCGCAGCCGCCTCCTTCAAAGCAATAATCTCTCGGTCTCGATCGTCTTCTTCTCGTGTTCTTCGCCGACCTCGTCGATCGTGAACAATTTCATCAACTTCCAGTATATCATCAAAATCGGACTCAGTCTCTCCATCCTCCGGAGATGGGCTCAGCTGCGTCCTCATTTCTTGCTTCAACTTCAGGGGTGCTGGAGGTGGCTTCCTCGGTGGTGGCACCGGAAACTTGGATAGTCCTTCGTCAGGTTGGGGAGTAGCCTCGAGGACCGCGACTGTAGGAAGGTGGTTTACCGGTGGCTTGGGCGGTGGCATTTTGGGCGGTTCACTGGGGAGGCTACGCGATGGAGGGATGGCGACATTGTAGGGAATCTCTTTCAGAGGCTCCTCAATCTTCTCTTTCCTTGCCTCCTCAGCGGCCCGTTCTTCAGCCTCGTGATCGTACTTGTCTAAAGCATGGTCTTGCGGTTTGGGCATAGCATGTGCAGGGTTCAAGAGTTCGCCCACAGCTGAATGTGGTGCGCTGGGCTGATCTGCTGGAGGAGTAATGGGATAAGGCGCTATGGTAATATCGATCGGTGAATTTCTCGGACTTTCGGCTTCGAGGACTGGTGACTCTGGTGTGGTTTGTTCCTTAGCTCGTTCAATATCAACTCGTGGAAGCGAAAGCACAGGCGCTTCAACAGCTTCTTTGGTATTCTCTTGAGGTGACACCGAAGCAGAGGAAAGTGAAATGACTTCTTTTAGCTTCTTCCTATACTTTTCCTTATCCTTCAAAGCCCTTTCCAAGTCCTTGTTAAGGCCGAGAATCATGGCCCGTTGCTTGTCCACTAGACGCCATAACTGGCTGTTCTGCTGTGACTGGGAGTGCTTCTCTTTCAGCAAGTACTGGATAAGGGTCTCGGGGCTGCCTGCTGTCTTAATAAGATGAGCAATCTCTGAAGGTCCATGGGGACCATCTTGACTCCCAGTTGTGCCTGATTTGGTCGATATTGCTGAAATCGCCGAGTCGATAGACGAATTCCGGGCGACTCCTTTCGAAGCTTCAGCCTGGGCCGCAGATACGGGACCCGCCATGGCCGGTTGTTTAGTTGAGTCGGAGCCTGGAGCAGGCTTTGAAGTTATGGGCTCGGAGACGGTTCGTAAAACATTCGTACTGCCTGCATAGCCCTGTCTGATTAGAATGTTAGCCTACAGCGGTAATGCCTGGGTAGTCGTGGTGATTGCGCCGAATATCCACTTATAATAGACCAACCTAGGGCTGCGAGGTTCTGGGGATCCTTCGTCTGAGGAATCGCTGTAGAATGAGGTCTGCTTAACAAGACTCGATTTGTTCTCAAGTTCTTGATTAGCTCGATATGTCGGCGTTGGAGTAGACCGAGTCGGGAAAGTGGCGGTTCGCGGACTGGGACTTGCTTGTCCGTAAGGGAAGTTGGCGGAGGTCGCGAGCGGACTTGAGATAGCTGGTCGTGGGGATCTAGAGATCGCAGTGTGTTAGAGGTGGCGCATCGAAAGGTTCCACAGCAGAACGCAATATGGTCCCGCGTTGGAGGGGAAAGGAATGGTGATAGCACGAAGTACAATGGAGACCTCGCACAACGTTCAACCCGGGGCGAGTAAGAAAGATAATCGCTGGTTAAGAACGGCAAAGGAGTAAAGAAGTGTGGAGGGGAGAGATTGTGAGAGACAGAAGGGGGCCAAGAAGAAGCCCGGGTCAGATGGCCGGGGGGGTGTGTGGAGAGGACCCAAGAAGAGCAAGCAACCAGAGATAGCTTGGAGTTGGGATGAACCTGCTGAAGACATGTACATTATGTATGCTTACCGTGGACTTGACAAGGACAATGGACCAAGGGATGGGACACTTGGACTCGGACGAATGATGCGACCAACCGTAGGACTATCGTCAACGGGGACTTCGGAGGGAGATCGAGCCCTATTAAGGAGGTTTTGATCGGATGATGAAGTAGCTTCTACTGGAGTGGTGATGGAGTTGGATCTCGAGGCAGTAGGAGCTTCTGCGCTCTGGAGCGCAAGCTGTGGCATGGTGCACTGGGCTCCCTTGCGGTGTCATGCACCGGAAGGCATCAGCCAATGGGTCGCAGATATCGCAGCGTACTGTACAAGGCGCGAGGTGCTGATGTGAGGTAAGTGAGGCGTTTCGAGATGCCGGTTGCTGCGGTGGGAACAGTCCGAGCCCCAACGTTACATGCAGCTGTAACCGCGTTACAGCGGAGTACAAGCCAGAGTGAGACGGTACAGTAGCGTCTAGTATGAAGGACAGGACAAGAAAACGGCAGCAGAGGATGGGTACGGGTATAATACAGCTGGTAGTAAGAGAGTTTTCGGTAGGTGTGGAGTGTCGTTTAACTGGGGAGACGTGGTAGAGATTTGAAGCGAACGACTGGGAAACCTGGGAAGCTGTCGCAAAAGCTGCAAAAAAAGGTGGATGCCAGGCTGCCCTGTACGACAAGACAATATACCTTGCCTTGGGAATGGAGCGATGGCGGCTGCCGGCAGGGAATGTCGTTTGCGGAGGAGACTGGTCAAGCAAGCAAATTGACAAGCGAATGCGGCACGTGCTCGAACGTGTATGCGCCGGCGCGTTCCAATAATTACTATCAACGAGAAAGAAAGCAAGGGAACCAAGTGATGCGAAGAGGTAAAAGGAGGTACGGGTACTAATGAATATTGAGAAATGATTTGAGGGGGAGATTTGCTGATTTGATGGCCGACTATCGACGAAAAGTGAGGTGCCGCCCCTCGTAAATCCTAATATGGAAAGGGGGGCGGGAAAAACGGCGGGAAACGGTCGCGATTGTCGGCTTACTTGAATCAGTGACCTGAGAGTTTTAACTATAACAGGCACCTAACAAAACTTAGCACCAGCTACACGACGTTCACTCTAGCTTGACATATTTTGTTCAATATGAGTAACTACTCTTGTTTCTACACACAAAATCGAGTCAGGTAAATCAACGTTCGGCGCCACTGAGACTGACACGATGGAGTCGTTTGCCCACTTCTAAAGGCTTTGGCCTGGTGCACGGAGGTGCCTCCGACCCTGAGGACTACATATCCTTGGAGAAGCTTACAAGGATCAAGGGACCCCTTTACCTTAACACAAGATGTCCTTGCACCTTGCACAGACTGTACGTACACAAAGCTCAAGGCGCTTATCCTACATATCATACCAAGATGCTGGATATGTCAGGTAACTAACTGTATCTGCAGTACGAATACAAGCAGATGTTGCCACCATATCTACAAATGGATGTTTCGATGCATGCCGGATAAAGACAATCAGTATGAATAAGGGGTGACTCGCCGGCTCTCCCACTAAAGGCCACTAATAGCAACCGAAGCACGCGAGGCTTCCGCCCTGCCCACTCGAAATCGTCAATCATACCTCACTAGAAGACGCCACCCAAGCGTCCACTTTATGGCTGTGGATAATGCCAGTCCAGTTGATTGTGTCAGGGTTCAATCACTGGACTGACTCGGTTCCATTGATAAAGAACGGCGGCTGCTGCGGGGAATAATTTCGATATTTGTTTTTCCATCGTCATGGTGGTCATGATGCTTCAGAGCAGAGAGTCTGGTGGAGGTCAAGATAGGTCTAAAACTAAACAAGTCCAACAAAAGCCCAGAGGAACATTCGTCGTTTCATTTGAAACGGAGGCTTGGAAGATCTAGAATCCGAATTAGCCACCTTCCATATCAAATGCTCAAAATAGTTGGTTCAGACTGCAACACGACTGGAACGCAAGCTGACACGGACGTCGGGACGTTGTGAGATTTTACTCTCCCGTCCCGTGGACAATAACGTTACGATTTAGTGCCAAAGCTTAGGTTCACGCGGCAGTTCAGCCAGGGGTTTCTTATTATAAGCTTTTCTCAAGGGATTAGGGTCCAGAGTCCCGGATGCGAGGGAGCTCTGGAGGTTTGCCCTATTCAAAGTTCAAACCTACCTAGACTCAGCATTATAGCCCCAAGTTCTTGGTGGAATCTCAGGGCCTAGGGTCGCTCTTCAACTTGAAATCCTTTAGTTAGTTTAATCTTGTGACACTTTATGGTCTCAACTAGCGTGGCTGCTATATTTGTTCACCTACTTGACATCACCTCTTAATCTCTCTGTTGACGTGTTTTATTCTGGAAATCATTACAGACCTGTCCCTCAAAAGACCATTACAGTCTGTAAGTGGCCTTAAGTTAAGTGGGCTCTTTTCTAAAGCAATCACAAGGGCAAGGGCCCCTAGAAGCCTCAGTGAAGGGTGTTCCAATCAGAGCCGCAGTGACTATTGTCACTTCTGATCCTAGCTCCCAATGATTCGCAGCACTTTGCCGGATCCAGCACGGTCAAACAAACCACTCCAGGGATTCCAGCGTGCAAGGGCAGTTGAGCCTAACCATTCTTGTCTGGTCATGAACGTGGGTGGCCGGAAGATTTCTGAGATGCATTGGGTCCTCGGTAAAAGACACACAACCTGGACAAGCTAGGAAATGAAAAGACGGGACCGTGTTCTGGATGGAATTGAATGAATGAGCTGAGAACCACCAGGTTCCACCTCAGAATGTTGATACCAATACGAATGGCAAATATTGTTGTTGATTGTTATCGTCAAATTCTCGTAAGTGATTGCCCTGCACGTTTCACAACTTGTCGTCAATCACTACATGTCTCGCTTATGCTCTGATATGTCCAAAAACAGAAGGTATGGTCAATAAAAAGCACAGATGCACGTGTCCCACCCTCAGTCGATATCCATTCTATCTGCTGTATGCAGGTACAATCTGGCCATCTCAAGTGGTCCGGACTCCGAAGATCCATCTGTATCACTCGCCCGTCTTATTAGAACCCTGTCAGCATCACCAGCGTTAACCGCCCGCCAAATAATCAAGAAGCACTGACCAAACTGCTTGGCGGGTGACACAAAGCAAGCCTCGGATCGATCTCTTCGACTCTTACCAAGGAGTGAATCATGTCGGCTCTGTTTGGGATCTCAAGGAGAAACACAAGGCGCCTCGGGCTAGCATAGCTTGTAACAATGGAGACTCGAAATTATTCTTAGCAATATGTGCCTTCATTTGTCCAATGTTTGGTATGACAACCCACACTTCAGCGCGTATTCGAGGCAAACACAACAGCCATCTGACAGATTTGCTGCAAGCCACCCCAAAGGTATCACATCCAAGACGAACGAGGTGCATATGGGAGAGGAAGGACAGTTCGTCCTTGCTTTCGGCTTGCTTCTTTATCTTGATCCATGAACTAAACAAGGGGCCATTCCATAAGATATATCTTCAACTCATGCCAGTACAACACTCCTTGCAGCTTTAGGGACTGAGACAGTCCATCAGCCCTCGCCACAGGGGATGTCTCTCAACACGAAAACTCAGAATCATTCCGTGCGGCTGGTTTATCGCGCAATGATCGTGTACGGTAAGACAGCCAGATGAGGCTTGGAAGTATCCATATGTCGCAGCCCCTGGACCGTATCGTTGGTACCAGTTCGATCTACCAAGCAGGGCACGGTTGCAATTTGGGCCAAGATTCATCCCGAATAATGGCTTTTCTCACGAAAAAACACCGACTTCATAAATCCGGTTCCTCGCCTGGCTCAATTCCCCGAAACCCACGTGCAGATAGCCCCCATTGCATGAAATGACAAGGTTGGTCACTGGAGGATGTGAGAGAATGATGAATTATTAGGTTGTCAGAAGTGTCTAAGTACATAGAAAGGGATAAAACATTCGAATAAACTAATAATATGCAGGGCCTAAAAGTCATACATTCCTTCTGTATGGGCCGTACAAATTTGTGCAAAGAGTTACCATATTTTGAGGAAGAGAGGAAGATAGTATGTAGATACGTAGTACCTAAAACTGGGCAGTGTGGGTAAAAGCGGTGTGATTTGAAAATGTGATAAGAGTCCTCATTTGCTCATTGCGGAGTAGACAGCTCCGGACTTCCATGGATCTAAAAAGTGTGTTACCAGTGCCGAGCTCCTTTAATTATGCATACTACGTATGCTTCGGATACCATGGCAGCATGGTACATAGGTGATGGATACTCCCCACTACTCTCATACCTTCTAAACCGGTGATTTCGATCATCATGATTCCGCCCGCAACGCATGAGACAGTTTGTTGTGCCAATTCTCTGCACTGCATTTCCTTGGTGTCTTTTTTCTGGAACTGTCTGCTGTGTTTTATGCCCAGCCTACACATATCCTTATTGATTCCCAAGCTCGACTGGTCCTATCGTTACAGGGTAGGGTTGAGGAAATATACCTCGACTCCGCTAGGAACTAGGAACTTATTCATCTATGTGGGATATTTCGGTGGCGACGATGGATGTTGTATTACTCTTTTGTCTTTTGCAGATGCATATTTGGGCACCTATGGTTGGCGTATATTAACTTTGAGATATCCTTAATTGGGAGATGTTGTAACTATTCGGTTTTAAATTCAGACACCATAGATCAGCCGATCATCAGGGGTACAGTACGTCCCGGTATATTCAGAACGATACCACGCATGAATGTTTGAAGAACATATTTCCCACTCAGATCATCCGAGTAGCCCATAAGCTCGTGTCTGGCATTGAATCCAGACCGTCTTGACCTTTCAGCCTTCCCTGGAGCTAGAACAATGACCACAACATGGGATTGTGAGACTGTTTCAACCCCAGACAGCTTGTTTCAATATGAGACTTGCTATTCACGGAGTCTCGCATTGGTAGATTATTAAGCTACCACAAATAGGTGCAAATTGTTTCGGATATTCGGCTCCCATAGTTCAATCGACATCACACGAAAGAGAAGCATGAACTCCATTGAGGACAGAAATGGGTCAACTTGTAGCGGCAAACGACCAAGTCAGGTGCTAAATAGAAGACAATAATTGTTTCGGATTTCTCGCCCTAAGCATGAGCCTAACAGCCGACAAGACGGAAGTTCTGACACCGGATGTGTTGGCTCAGGTATTTGTCGGAAGCTTGTTTACATTTTCGGATAAGTAATGACGGTTCTTGTAGATGGCCCAACCGAGTATATCAACGAGGTGCAGATTTCCAGTAAATAATGCCCAGAACCTACCTTCAACCAGTTCAGTGCTGCTGGGTATACTCTTGGATAAACTCGAATGTTGGGACTACCTGATTCGACTGCTACTAGGTAAAGCCTTGAATATTGATCTATCTCAGTAATATTATTTCCGTCCTGCTATTGTTTGAATTCTTCCGCTCAACCACGCTATAATGATATATATCCACTTTGTGCCATCATATTTAAACGTACTGTTGAATCGTTTCCGCACTGGCTGATAATTTATACCGATTCGCGATAAGTATCAAAATAACAGGGCCCACGATAGAACGGAGTGGCGGAGTCCTGGGGGAATAGGGTATCGTCACTATCATGTAGACTAGTTTCCTGCAGGATTCTGCCACCAATCCCAGCAAATGGTTTACCTTGGGGAATGCAAGAAAGCTTAGGACCTTGATCCTAAGCGACGAAAAGATTTAGGTAATTTAGTCTAAGTTTAAGGGACTTTTTACTAAGTTTATTTTGGTATCCTCTTCTAACGTGTGAAGTTTTCCTGCTCCCCGAGGGTCACCCTACTTAGATCCTGGAGAATTTGAACTAACGATCGCCAACTCTCGACCCTGGCGATCAGAATAATCCTATCATGTCAGAATGCACCCCTGATGACTTGCCGAAGTTCAGGGGTTTCTAGGTAGTGCACATGTTGGTTTCAGGAGGCGGTGGAGGTGGTGATTGCCAGGATGAGTACCTAACTAAAATTCTACGTAAGATTAGAACACGAATTTGTTAAGCGAGACGTTGAAGAAACCTACCGGAAGTGTTGTGACTCCGAAACTGTACCGGTGCTTTTATGACCGTGAGTCGGCGTTTCGGGACCCACTCGCTCCGAGTCTCTAGCATCCGATCCGGGCCTTGGCACCGGCCTCTGAAAGTTTGAACTGCCGTAGACAACTTTGTCTCTTGAAACCACTCTAATGTTTCATTGATTAAAATATGATATCCGTTGCCAAAAGCCAATGAAGCTCAGCTGCGAGTCACGCTACCTCGTTAATGTACTCGACACACACACACCCCGAGTGGAATATCTTTGTTCGTTGACACAAACACAATGGCATTCCCCGTTGCCAATCTACCGCCAAGGTTCTATGGGGGTTTTCCGGAACCCAACCAGAACAACTCAGCCCTGCCGTATGGCACCAAGGTTTTCTCTTTATCTTTTCCATTTATTCAGGGTCCAGGGGTCCAGAGCGTAGGCTATGCCGAAAAATACACACATGACTGGTTGGATTCTTGGCCTACTCAACATGCACCTTTCAGCCCCTGCCCATCACAATCGCGAAATCTGGTTTCTTGTAGATGACCGAATGTTGGAGGTGGGGGCTGACGTGCATACGCATGTGCGACGTCATGATCCGGTGACCTCGCGTTTTACCGGTAGTTAGAGCCTTTTGTGTTCCCAAGTTCGGAGTTGCTAGAGCCATCCATCCATTAGATTGGTCTGGGCTTTTGGCTTGGGCATTGGTTGGGTTGGGTTGGAACAAATCATGGAAGCTTAATAGCCTTTTCTCACATGCCATGCCTTCCATTGCAGCCTGATCATTCGAATCTACAATTAGAACATAAAAGATCGCCGTTCCCTTTCCCACCCGCCTATCGCCACTGTTAACTGTCAACCATCCATCACTGTCCAAAGCATCCCACTTCACCATCGTGACCTGAGTACCCCACTTGATCATCCTCGGGTCTTCCCCGTCAACCGCCCTTTGGCTGTTTGTATACCGCGTCGCGGGTAACTGCTTGCATCTCATTATTGTTGTCGCTGAAGCTATATCTGTCTTCGCCGACAAGATGGGTATGTCTTCTCTTGCTGCACATTGCCGTGTGCCATATCGCAAACTCAACCGTCACTGACGTCATCGCAACAGTCACCAAACCTTACGAGAAGAAACGACTCTATCTCCAGCACCCGGAGCAGGACTATGGCATCGTCAGCCATCGCGTAACTCGAATAATTCCTCCTCCTGAACCTTCTCCTCCTCCTCCTCCACCACCTCCGGTCATTGTCAGACCTCCGCTGCCACCACCCCCACCTCCGCAACCTCAACCACCACCGCCGCCTCCCGTGGTCGAGAAACCACCGCCCCCTCCACCTTGCCCTCCAGTTGAGAAACCCAAGCCGCCGCCTCCTCCGGTTGTGAAGCCCAGACCCCCTTCACCTCCACCAGAGGAGCCTATCGAGGTCATTGCGGTCGACGTTGAGCCACACAAGAAGAAGAAGAAGCCCAAGTCTCGATCCCGAAGCAGGCACAGCCACCACTCATCATATGATCACGATCGAGAGCGTGTCATCGAGCGTGAGAGGATCGTCCCTGTTCCTGTCCCGGTTCAAGTCGAGCCTCGCTATGAAACCTTCCGGTACGTTGAGGGAACTCGACGTCGAGAGTATTCACCTCCATCACCGCCCAGGCGGATGATTGAGGATGATAGAGTACGGCTCCGTATTACGGACCGTGAGCGTGAGTACTACCGATGATTAGCGAGTACTTGAATGACCGAGAATGGACCGTTCTGTAACGGCCTTATCTGTATTACGATTGATGATTTTGGTTCTTCTTAACTGGTGTTTCTCCAGGAGTTGGGGAAATTTGAGTATCTTTAGGGCAAACTTTGATAAATATATCCTATTATCCCGAAACTCACTTGTAATCCTAAGACTATTATCCATCGCAAAACATCCTCATTTTAGACTTATTATCCTAACACATCCCAGGACAAAGTACAATATTTATGAAGCAACCCTCAACTGAGCACTTCTCCCCATGTGCGCTAACTATTCGCCTCCAGGTCACTTATCGTGATCGATAAATGCGACTCTGGCGTGCAGGGTAATTTGCCTGAGCTTGAACCCTTCTACGCCTCGGCTCATATGGTGGCGATGAATACTCTGCCGGTTGGGCAGCTAGCTGCGTGGTTGGAGGAGCCGCCCAATATGCCGGTTCGACTGTTTGTGATATGACTGTCGGCTCGCCGTAGATCCCCTTTCCTGGACGCCCAAATAACCATCGAGCCAGGTTTCCTAACTCTCCCATGAACCAGAGTCCTAGGACAATGACGAGAACCGTCACTGGTATAGCAACCACCCAATACAACCACTGTGAGTAGTTCATATCGCGGACATCAGTCGTGTTCATGCCAAATATACTCGAAACCGCGCTGATGGGCAAGAAAATGATAGTAACAAGGGTGAAGGCATAGATGGCGCGCTCCTGTCGGTCTCTTGTGAAGTCCATCTTATATGCAATCGCCCGTTCGAGGTCTTTAGAAAAATCGCTGAAGCGTCGAAACTCAAACTCGCGTTGCTCGATGAGACGTGAGCATTCGAGGAAGAAGAGACCGCGTAAACCTCCCGCATCTGTAGGAGACAGTTTTGAAGATGAAGCCAAATCGAACAGGAAGTCATCATCCAGTCCCATATAGTCGTTCGCAGTTGTAACCTCCTGAGCATAAGAAACAGGGACAATTCGATTATAGTCCTCATCCTGACGTTGTGAGTGAGGCGGCGGCAAGGTCTCCGAGTAGTGCCGTTTGTTGCTGTACTGCTTCTCTGCCTCTTTTAACACGATTTCATGCTCAATCTGACTCATGACAATGTCTTCTGTATCAATAGCGGTGAGTGACTTTCGTAGTCGATAGATAAGCGACCTTTGCTTCCAGAGTGTTCGCTTGACGGCCACGAGCTCTTGTTGTACTAGATCGAGCTGATGTTGAAAGGACCTGTCGGAGGGTTTCGACGTGATTGCATGATCCTAAGCATGTTAATAGCCGACCCGGGTTATGGCGTTATCTGTATCGAAACATACTAGAGAGTCAAGATACTGAGAGTAAGTATCGCATATGTCATCAGATTTGCCGACCTGATCTTGCAGCAGGCCCATTGTGATTAGTGAAAGCACTTCAAGCGGCAATACAATAGCCTTTTCTAGCAAATTGTTGTCACCGAATCCTTGGGCCAGCTTTTTGGAACCCGTACCGATGAGCTCTTCGGCCCTCCTCATCCGATCATCCCACTTAGGGTCGTCATTGGAGCCATAGACTATGGCCATGGTGATGTAAAGCCATGCTTTGGAGAACTCGGGCGGCATTTCAACTTCAGCTCGCTCTTGATCGGATGAATACACGACGAGATTTTGGAGGGCGAGGAGATTTCGCGTCAAGTCTCTGAGAGAGACCCGGAGGCTACCGGCGATGTCAGAAACAGGCCTACCATCTAGCATTGTTAACTTCATGTTGAGGTTAGCACGCCCACTATAGAGAATCTCTGCCTATCACCTACCTCAGTTATGGATCTGACCGCGCCCCAGAACTTTCCGACCATGGGGCCTTGGAAATTTGTGGGTAAAAAGAAGCTGTAAACAATATCGGCAGCGTTGAAGACATCCACCTTTTCCTCGTATGCACGTCGTAAAGAATCACTCTCAACTTCCTCGATTCGACCAGATAACTCGACTAAATAGTCATAGCACTCCTTTCTCGTGGCTTCTTTGCAGGTCTTATATGCCTTCCGATCCGTATAGGTTGTATCACATGTTAAAAAAGTCTCAGCCGCATCCAGCTGAGCTTCAAGGAGCTTGAAACCAGTCCCCTGGATTTGAGGACCTCTGGAGTCCCCTGTCGCCAAGGCAAGCATATGAGCAAATTCCTGTGTCCCGGGTTTACCCTTTCCACCATGCGTACTTGGAAGGACTTGAGGATCTGGCCGTAGAATGGCTCGTGGGGGAGGGTCAGGCAGGGAACCTAGCTTCATGGTGATCTTAAGTGACATCGCCTTGACGGCCGAGGCCAATTTGAGTATTCTGGGCCATGTGTGTGCTGTGACGGCTTGATCCTTGTGCCAGAACTCTGGAACTTTAGGCCAGAATGCTTGGAACTTAGACAGGAATCCCTGGTATAAAGTGTCAGATCTGTCATTGGACAAGGAAGCTTGACTTACAAACCACGTCCGGCACTCATCGGCATCAAACGACCAAACAACCGAATCGCCGTATGCCACCAATATTCGCCCTTTGCGTTCATTGACTACAGCACGAGATGGGCGTTCTTTAATCTCAAGCCCTTGGCCGAGCAGATCGTCTCTAGTCATCGTCCCACATGTTACTATTAAGCCTTTTTTTATCGTCAGTGAGTTTCCTATTGTATCGGTGAAGGAGTCGTTACTGTTATCAATGACAAGGCACCACAGTTGAGATATATGGAAACACTCTCCGCGTTCTGCATTTCCCAGCTGAACCACCGCTTGCTCCATGTCCCTTGCCACAGTGTTTCGGGAGTACTGGACTTGCAGCAAGGTCTGAGCTGGAAAAAGAGATGCGCTGGCAGCTGCGAGTAGACCAGAGTACTGCTCGAGTGAGAAGAAGGGAATACAAATCCACCGTGCTGAGCCAGTCACTGAACCGGACGACATTGCCTCGGCTTTTAGTGGTTTCAATGGTACCTCGATGCATTTCGGGTCCAAGTATCCAACCTTGGCACCTTTAGGATTGGTCCTAGACTTCACACAGGTCTTTTTGACATCAGCACGAAGCCTCGTTACGGCCTTCTTCTCCAGCTCTGTCAATCCGGAGATCCGGCTAATCTCAACCTGATACGAATCGTCAGCTTTAAAGCGTGTGCACATGAAGAAGCTGGCTTACCCAGAAATCTTCAAAATTCATCACGTCCTGTGGAACGTGGCTGTTCAAAGTTAGTACAACTACATTTTCTCCCCCTGAATAGTTAAAGAAGCTTACAGCCAGCGGAATAGAGAATTTTTCTGTCCTTTAGGATCATGAACAAGATTTAAGACTGCTGCATGAGAACCACCCATTTCAGCACTCCCAGTATAAGCCGAAGAATGAACAAGTGTCATCTGAGAGCGTGAATTAGATACTGTATCGTCCTTCATGAGGTTGGAACGCTCCATAACAATGGTTGTCTCTTCAGACTCAGGAGATTCGGCATCAGAATCGTCTGCCTTTGAGGAATCTATGATCGACTGGGCCCGGGATGAGAAATCAAACTTATCGTAAGGGTCATATTCGTTGCTTGAAAGGCTCCCGCCCCTTGTTCTAGAATACCAGTCACTGTTATATCCTGCAGTGCGCGAGAGAGCATCACGAGAAAGATATCCCTCACGTCCTGGGATTTTATAGCGTGGGTTTATGGGTGATCTTGACCGACTTCTGTAGCGACGGCCGTAGTCGCCTCTGTCATAAGAGAATTGTCTCTGTCTAGGGCTTTCTTCTTCATCCTCGCCATAAGTTTCAATCGGGCGCGGAGACTCAGTATAGTCTCCATCAGGTGTAGCTGAAGCCTGGATTGGGAGCTCAGTAAAGGTTTCCCACTCAGTGTAGGTCTGTACCGGAACGTCATCTGTAGACCGCCGAGAAGACGTCCTGGCTACCCTTCTAGTATCGTTAGGAACACGAGCCCCGTCAGTAGGAACATCGGCTCTCTCAAATGTACTTCGCCTAGCGGGATACCTGATCTCTCGCCTGCGAGGCCGCGGAGGATCCTGCTGGTTGTGAGTCAAGTACCGATAGTGAAATAGCTGTTATACACACCAGGTAATGCTCTTCTATGCGCCCCCAACGAACATGACCACGACCCTCACCTGGGTGAGAAGACTCAGCCATGAAACAGTCTCACCGAGTCAACAAGACTGAGTGCGTGTACGCTGCCCTCAAGCAAAGACGAGTAAAAAAAGGAATACGAAGAGTTCTCCACATGTGGTCGTCCTACAGAAGGAGCTTCGATTCCGCAAAATAGGAGCTTTCACTCAAGAATGTGCCAACAACCTTAGGGACCTCACAGTTGCAGGTACCTCAGCTAAGGCCGGTAAGAAAACTTAGGACATACACCTACTATAAGTGAAAAAAGCTTAGGTAAGTTTAGGATAGACTTAAACAAGTTTAGTAGTACCTTGCCTAGCGTTAGTAGGTCTTTAGATTAGTTATTTGGGCTGGCACCTTTATTAATTACTAGAAGCCTTCTTGCTCCTTGAGGCCCCAATTAGCATATGGATGCTAAGAATAAGCACTAGCTGCCACTCCTGGCCACTAACATGGATTCAATACAATAGTGGCTAGGGGATGCAGATCATGTAGAGGTATAATCTGAAGTGAAAAGAATACTCAAATAACGTGGGACATTTTAAAGCCAAACCTGTCGGCTCTCTAGTTAAGGATAATTTATATTTGACACCTGATGTAAGAGGTCTTTGGAAACCTCAGTGGTATTACAAGATGGCGACCCTATCCCTTAAGCAAAAGATCGTCGATCGTGAGACAATAATCATGTCGTCACTGGCCTGGCTATAGTGGTTTGTGACAAGAAATTGCTGAAAGCTTCCACGGTGCTTGAATTCTGCAAGCCGAAGATTACATTGGACGACTCATTGTATAAAACAACTTCTTTGAATAGGTATGGGTCTAGCATAACCAGAGCGATTGACGATCAGCATTCAGACGCTGTGACCATGTTGTAAGAGACGATTCTAATCCGGAGGCAATATTATCAGTATGATGGGGTTTAGCATAAGGAAATAGTAAATCGACAGAACATCTCATGGTCTCGTTACGAAATACTGTTCTAGGTAAACATAGTGAAAATGATCGCTCGCTAAATGCTTCCCCTTCATGTTGTGCGCCGAAACGTCAGCAAAATTGCAAGTCTACCCGTACTCCATCCAGCTGTTAATCGTGTGCTGTTTCTCTTGATATCGTCCTCTCTTCCACATTGGTTATTGCGTTTTGTAACGCGCTTGTTAGGTCTACATGAAATAATGGTTTGTCCAGGCCATGAACAACAGCACCTCTCCGCTTCTGCTTCTCGAGGTCTCCTGATGACATTGAGCCATAGGATTTTACCGAGGAAAATCCTCCAATCAAGGGCTCTTCGTCTGTGTTATCCGTATGTTTTGGTGTCAGTTCGTGGAGGTCTGTCTCCTGAGCGATTGCTGCAGCAGAGTCCTTGCCTCCGATTTCCGCTACGCTGAAAATTGATTTCCATCTTCGATGTGCTGTGCCTTCGTTGGGTTTGTATGGGACTCCAAACCCTGCTGACACCAATGCTCTCTTGGACCATCGGTTATTTATGCAAGCAAAATGCCAATCTACACCGTCAGGAGAGGCATATGAATCGAGCTGATTACGAATATCGATGAGTCGTTGAATCGAGGTGATGTCGACGTTGTTGACAGAACTGAAATCCAAAATGACCGCCTTCAATGTCGGAAGTGCAGAGTCTGGATCTGAATTAACAGGACGTTTTGCAGATTTCCTCGGCCCTGGGTTATTCCACGGTCTGTCGCCTGGTCGTTCAAAAGCTTCGGGACTGCTGCGTTGCGTGTTGGACTGAATGAAGTCGGTCAGATAGTCCAGAGAGGAGTTGGCATTGGGGTAATTGAAGCCTTCAGAGAAGCGGTAGATGAAAATTCCGGGATATGGATGATCAACTTCAACTTCGGGGTTCGAGCCATCGCCATGACCAAGGGGGAGAAAAACATTTCTTGCAGAAACATCAGAATCCTCGATTGTGCCGTACTCTCCAACAACTTTTCGGTGATCATCACCAATAACATGGTCGCCAATGACCGAATGAACTTTTACTTTGCCAAGAAACCTGCCTTTGGCCTTGAGGATACGATAGATAAACACAGCTCCTGAAAGGAGGACGGTAGCATATAGCCCATCTTCTATTTGAGCGAAGACACTAACGGTGACACCAGTGAAGAAGATGAAAACCTCGATAGGTGAAACTCTCCAGAACTGGTAAATGGTGTTGGGAGGTGTGACGAGATCTCCTACAGCGTGAATGATGACAGCCGCAAGAGCGGCACTTGGTATGTAAAAGAAGACAGCGGTCAATAGGTACGTTGCAAGTAAAACCACCAGTCCAGTGATTATCCCAGCAGCGGGGGTCCGTACGCCAGCTTTCGACTGAATCGCAGTACGACTGAATGAGCCTGTAGCTGGATATGCCCCAAGGAATGGCCCAACAAGGTTAGCCATCCCAATGGCAACCATTTCTTGAGATGGATCGATGGTGTAGTTGTTGACACGCCCAAACGACTTGGAAATCGCCATATGCTCAACAAGCAAGACGATGACGGTAGCTGGGAGATATGGAACAAAGTCCGAAATGAGCTCCGTCGTTAGCTTTGGAACCCCAATATTCTGGAATCCTTTTACGTTGTTAGCTTTTTGACTCAAGTAGATGGATTGTGCTGAGATACCTTTTGGGATTGCCCCTAGAACCTTAAATAGGGGATCGTCTCTTCTATGCATGTTGAGGACCCAGCTCATTACTGTATACACTAAAATAACAAAAACCGTACGCATTGTGTTGGTGAAGAACAATAGTCTTCTATGTTTTGGATATCGTTCTGCCGCAGCGGTGAAACCTTGACGGATAAGGTACAAAATCGATAGGGCTGAGACTCCGACGATAGCATCGTAACCCGCCTCTCCGAGATGTTCGATCGTATTAGCAAGGACTTTGTATGGCGGGTCTCGGTTCGAAAATACTGACAGACCGAGAAGTGCTGGTAGTTGGCCGACACAAATTGTGATGGCGGAGCCCGTCATAAAAGCTGAGAGAGAGGTAATGGAAATGAGGTCAACTATCCATCCGCATCTGAGTAGTCCAATAATGAGGACAATGAAGCCTGCGATGACTGATAACGCTGACGCAACAATATGGGCCGGGACGTTTTGTCCCGAATCTTGGACATCCTGAACAACATTCCCAACGACGGTCGAAAGAACTGCAACGGGACCGATAGATATATCCTTTGAGGTACCGAATATCCAGTAGATCAAGGCCCCTATAAACGACGAGTAGAGACCAAACTGGGGTTCCAGGTTTGCGAGAATAGCATAGGCCATGCCTTGTGGAACAACTACAGCACCTATGGTGATACCAGCGACCAAATCACCCGCAAACCATTGCAGGTTGTAGTGGCTGATCCAAGTAGCGAACGGGAATAATGAAGCTGCATATGCAACAACCTCCTCCTTCGACGGGACCTGTTCTTTAATCCATTCCGACGATGTGGGTTCAGTTTCGTAGAATGAATTGTGTCTTTGTTCTGAAAAAATGGATGAACTGCTTGGTATCTCAGCTTGTAGGTCTTGGTTTTTGTCTTCGAGTTTGATGCCCAGAATGTTAGCCACCCCCCTGCCCAACGGGTTTGTGTGGCCTAGCATCATGTGTATCGGTTGGTGTCAAAAACTATTTCCTTTGAAGAGAAGATCCAGACTACGGTAGCCAAGGATGACCTCACCCTTTAGCTTCTTTTCAATATAAAACGGTCGCTAACTCAGGCAGAACCATCGCTCGTATGTGTCTGTCAGCTCTGATCCTAATGATGGGAAACCTGCTCTGAAGTAAAGCAGTGATCACCGGACCAGCTGTAGCTAACCGATTTCATATAGAGGCGTGGAGGTCTGAGCTGCTCAAGAAGGGGTAAGGTGGACAGTAGCTGGCTTAGGACTGTTCTTCTTGCAAATAGGATAATAGCAAATGTGTTGATCTTTGATCTTGTGGTCTGGGGTCTTAGTTCAGGCCGATGACGAATATCGTGGGGTGTAAGGCGACATAATCGTTGGAGGTTGCAACGTGGGATATGAGATGAGTTCTCAAAATTGGAAGACAGTAAAACAGGAATCTGACAATGCGTTCTAGCTGGGATAACTGCGTAACCTTAGTTCTTCAAAAGGTAAAGTAAGGAGGCCATAAATCGAAGAAGACCAGTGCTATGGTGTGGCAAGAGGTTCAATCTTGTATTTAAAGAGTGGTAAAACTCATGATGAGCCCCGGAGAAACTAGTGATCCCCGAGCCATCGGTAATCGGCATTGTGTGGAGAGGAGATATGGAGGGGCAGGATGTGTTGTCATGGCTTCTATTCAGCGGCTTCTCCATCTTTTTCTGAATAAATGACAAAGTCGTGTGGCGCTTGGTCAGCTTGTGAGCATTCAGCATGATATAAAAATGGGTGTTTTTCGATGTCGCAATCGCCACTTTTCCCTTCATGGCAATAGCGTAACAAGATCAGGAAAATAAGTGTATCAAACCCCACGTCTGAGATCCTGTAGTCCCAAGTCAGAAAACCAAGAATGTGACATGATTAGCGATATCCCGAGATTTGCGATAATAGTCAGCAAATTTTCTAGATGATAGATGAGCATATGGCAATGACAGTTTCTCGTTGACGTGATACCTAAGGTAGGTAATAGAGCAAGAATACTTCAGACCTAAACCTGAGTACGGTGCTGATGTTTACTAATTAAAAGTTCTACTAAATATATCCTAAACTTACCTATATCTACCTAAATCTTCTTATCACTTTAGAAGAGAGCTCCTAAGTTTTCTTGCCATATGGCTTATAAGCCAAGTTTAACAAGTTGCAGGGATTATTGCTACCTACTTCCACAACTACCTTCCTACCCAGGTATCCAATACCATAGACTTTCAAGATATCTTCTCAATTGGCGAGCATTAATAACTAAGGTACAACTAACATAGTAAAAGGAAAGAGAACCCGAGGTCGTGCTATTGAAAAAGCAGGAAACAGACCAAGAAGCCTGAGGTTATCAAACTTTGAGATTTTTTACTTAGAAGTAGTTTATGTGAATTACCTAAATATTGTCTTTCTTTAATTTCCGGAGTTTATTGCAATCTGAAAAAAAAAAAAAAATATAACAATCAACATATGGATGCCTAGATGACTAGGTACGTTCAATATTTCACTGCCTGCTAAAGGTGGTATCTAAGTACTAACCTACTTATCCAATACTTGCTTGCATGAATATCCGCCTATAGGTGTTTGATAAGTCGGCGAATCGGTCCATCCAGCTCCGACCCGACCTCAAAATAGCACACCTGAAACCCAACCTCTTGATAAATGATGTGCATTCCTCAATGTCGTGGGCAGGCAAACACCAAGACATCCAAAGTAAGGGGCCAAACAGCCTTCGCGAGTTATCGAATTAATAACAATGTGTCGACTGACTGTTGAGAGGATCTGCTATAAGAACAATTGGTGGTAGTGGTCAGCCTGAGCAAGATAGGTTTCAATAGGTCTTACTTAGTGTAGAGGTTAATTTGAAGAACGCGAAACCAACACGATTCATCATTGTCCCTGCATCCACATCACGTCCCTTTCACACTTCAACTCAGCCTCCAGCCTCCCCGCTAATGGAATACTGCGCTCCGAACGACTAAAGCCCGTTCTCAGCGTCATCAGCCCTAATTAGTATCCCCATCAATTCGGTTATCTGGCTCTTTTTCGCATATATTGTCGTTTAACACCCATGCCTACCCCTATCGTCGTGGTTTGACAAACTGTCCTCAAGCATCGCAACCATGGAGCCGCCTTCGAACTCCAATTCTAGCATCAAATCGGCGATCCCCTCACTCCCCGCCCCAGTTACCACACAACTCCAGGCCCCGCCATCGCCGCGGACTCATCGCGCCCTTCGACGCCTTCAATCTGCGCACACTCTTGGAGCCCGCGCTCGCGAGCAAGGCACGCCCTCACTCATCTCTCAGCAGCGCCACCGCGACACCCAGCGCAATGCTTCACCTACAAGACCGTCACAAGCACCTCCTGCTGCTTCAGGCACACCCAGCTTCTCCCAGAATATCAATCGCTCACCTCAGCGCGGGCGCGCTAATAGCGATGCCACCCCGCCACTTATTCACCAGATGAATGTTGTCACAGCCAGCAAGCGTGCTGGGAGTAAGAAACCCGTATTCTCGCATGGCCATCTGCCTCTTCATCAGATTATCCGCGAAGGCCCAACGGATGGTGATTTCTTGGGCGCTTTGGAGAGCGCACGGTGGAAGGTTATTGATGAAGGTGTCAAGAGTGCTGAGGATGGCATGGTAAGAGGACTGTTCAGGTGCTCCCAGCATGATGTACTAACAGCGGTCTTGGGTAGTCAACATTGAGAATATACGTCTGGCTCGTCCTCCTGGACGCTCCTATCCTGTCGACCGATGACTACCTCGCCCTCATCCACCGAGGAGCCTCTCCGGCTTACTCCAAGATCCGCAACGACACTTTCCGCACACTTACGACCGACCCTCTCTTCCGCCGCCGTGTCAGCGAGGCTAGTCTGATTCGCTTACTTAACGCCATTGCATGGAAGTTACACGATGCGCGTGAGGAACAACGCCAAAGCCGCCCTAGTAGCAGCCGAGCTTCACTCCCTGGCGGTAGTAGCGTCTCCGGTCGTTCTCAGTCAGGCACGAGCACGTCATCACCAACTGCTCGCAGTCGCGCGCGGGCCTTAACACTTACGACTGAGGGTTCTGAATCCGGCGCAGGCGCTGCGACTCTAGAACCCGGCACCTACGTTCAGGGCATGAACGTTCTGGCAGCACCATTTCTTTACGCAGCTCGCAGCGAGGCGGAAGCATTCGTTGCGTTCCACTCCCTGCTGACTCGAGAATGCCCGGGGTATATTCGCGGTGCCATGGACGGCGTTCATCGTGGCCTTGCTCTGGTTGATAAGGTCCTTGCCATTGTTGATCCCAAGCTAAGCATGTACCTTACTGCGAAGGGTCTTTCGGCTGAGATCTATGCTTTCCCTTCCGTTTTGACGCTGTGTGCATGTACACCACCGCTTCCCGAGGTTTTACGGCTTTGGGACTTCTTGTTCGCCTATGGTCCTCATCTCAATATCGTCTGCATTGTCGCGCAGCTTACAATTATGCGGACTCAAATTCTTCAGTCACCCAGGTAAGGATTATGCGACAGCCTGACTCAAATAATTGCTGATTTCCAAATAGCCCAAATAAGGTCCTAAGATCTTTCCCCCAGCTTAACGCTGATCTCGTCAAATCCGTCACCATTGGCATTATCAAGAAGATACCCGACGATGTTTATGCTGAGATCGTTTCTCACGCTCTTTAAATATGGGGCATCCTTTGTATTTCTGGATTGACTTACAAGCGCTGTGGCCACTCCGGGTGATACAGGGGCACAACATGACTGAGCAGGGGTCTGGTCGCGAAACTCCTAAACTGACGTGCATACTGCCACGCAGATGGAAAGTTTATTTCGAACCACTCGTCCGTTACCCAGCCGCCTATAAAGATGTTTCAGGGTCTCGCAACAAACACACTAATCCTGGCCGATATTGCCAAACTCAATTGTAAACAACCGGCAAGCGGGAAAGGGCATTGTACCCAAAAGTGGGTTTTGGTTTATGTTTTTTATGATTATTGAAACGCGTTATGATGGGACGATGGATGGTACTTTAATGATGCTCGGTATGAGCTTGAGCGGGTTTCAACGGGTACTAGAGGGTTCCGACAGAGACGGATGCTCTAGGATGAATGAATGAATATACGATTGATTATCTATTGTCTATTTACATGTGACTCGTATCATATTGCGAACTTACTGCATCGTCCACGCATGCCTGTTGGGTCATATTCGACCCTTTACCAATCAAACTCAGCGCCGGCTTACATGCATATGCTTTTCATCAGACGACATTCAAGCTTCTAGCTTCATCAAGAAGATCCGAGTGTATAGCTTTTGTCTATCATCACTCAAGTATGCCTGCCATGGTTGGGAAGTTTTCGTATCATGGACGAACGACACGTCTTAACAGGATTGCTAACTTGTTTCAACCCAAGTCTCCGGCGCAATACCCCTCGTATAGGCAGTGCCATTGGACTCACGTTGCACCCAAGGCACGCATAGGTACTTGATTAGAGTCTTGCCATAGGGGTCACGCTGAGATCAACTCTAGTAGAGCATGCAACTAACCATAGCAAGATCCAAACGGCGCGGGCCAAGCCGAGCAAGACTTAGCAGAATCAGCCAAACATTTGACACGCTTCGAGGGGGCTGAGAAACTTGTTGGCCCGTTCTGGGTTGGTCACTGAAGGCCCATCCAGCACCCCCTAATGATTTAGTATGAAGGGCAGCCAGCTTCTGCTCGGTGGAAGGCGTTGGCAAAGAAGGTTTGCATGGCCGAGTAATGGAAGAGGATGCCTCCGAGAACTGCGGCATGCCAGAGGTTATGGCTTCCACCAACATAGTCAAAGCAGCCAGGAAACCACCTTTCGGGGATCTTACTGGCGTAAACAACGGCGCCCGTAAAGTACACGAGCATCGACTTGGAGATTGGCGAGTAGAAGTTGTACACGAAGTCGAGTCCGTGAGTCCACCCAAGCTGAACCATAGGCATAAACCCGGTCAAGGCAAGGCCAACAAAAAAAGCGACTCGCGCCCATGCCATGTCAGCACCATTAAAGCGAGGATGCCACGGGAGAATGACGCCTCCAATTCCGAGGAAAGCTGTTAAGCCCATATAGACGTATCGACTGACAGGGTCGCAGTAGAAGGCTGTGTATTCAGTCGTCATGATTGAGGCAGCAATCAACAGAGAAATGCCGGTATAGTCCACGCAGGCAAATATTGAAATGGCATCGACATCTGCAACAGCATTCATAGTGTGCCAAACCGTTGAGCAAACCAAAGTGAGGCAAGCCATAACAAAAAAAACGCCCGCGACGAACACATCGGACTTAGTACTGAGTGTAAAGTTGGCAGTATTTGGGTAGAAATAGAGCGCGATCGCGAGGACCAAAATAAGACCCAGTGCATGGGACCAGATGTTGACTAGCTCATTGGAAAGATTAAAGGCTGAGCGTACGCATTCGAGTTTGGATTCAGTGAAACGGTAACCCTTGTGGATGTGAGGGTTGTTTCGCCAAGGTGAGGGGAGGTCATCGTAGGAGAGGAGGCGCCCTTCCTTGGCCAGAACGATAGCTTGTTGAATGTGCTCCTCCAGTGAAAGAGCGGCTTGAATGGCACGCTCGATTCCTTCGTTGGCAACTCGGCGTCCCTCATCCATGAAAGCCTCGGCAGCGTTGGCGGCGTTTGCGAAGCCCTGCTCACGCAATTTGTAGGCTCTAGTTTCGAAATCAGAGAGCATGCTTTCAAGTAAATCGACTCCAACGTGAGCCTTCTCATTCAGCGACTCGGCGGCCTCTAAGGTCTCCTTATATCTTGCCTCTAGAGTATCGACCATGATATGTAAACGGCGTCGTCCTGCACCAAGGACTTCCTCAGAAGCGTGGGAACATCTCGAACGAACAGCCTGGAGTGTAGAGAAGGTACGGGAGATGCTGGAGTCCTTACTCAAATCAACATAGTTCTCAATAAAATCAAGCCGACGCTCGAGTTCCGAGAGGAAAAGGTCGACTTTGAGAAGAAGACCCTCTTCGCCATCCATGATATGGCCAACAATGGATCGTCTCCTGGGAATGAAGAAGGAGTGTCGTCGTCTTCGGGGTTCGACGTCAGGTCGAATGTCGGATCCGGATGTACTTGCTATATTATCCCCGTCCCGAGCCTTATAGGCACAGGCTGTTGTGATGGCGGTGGTAACGTCTGACATGATGGCAGCTGCGACTTGAGACGAATATTGTGGTGATTATGCCGCGACAATTGGGCTAAGCTGAACCGGCATGCGCTGTGACGCTGCAACGATGGTGGCGACGAGTTAAACTCTCTGCATCTGGTGATGCTGGTAAACGGTGGATGGTGTCGTTCGAACTTCTGTGCGACTTGGCTAACGTGAGGCTTTGTCGAGACCACGAGCAAAAAATGAAGAGCACAATTGGTTATTATTGAATGATTAGGAGTCTCGGAACAAGTTGGGCGCAGCAAAGAGAAGCACCCTTGCGGACCCTGCGGGTATTTTACACGCGGGGACAACGATTGCCGAGTCTGGTTGGCGGAAATAGTCCTGTCCTGTTCCTATTCTTGCTGAGTTGGATAAGGATCTGCGTGTAAGGAAGCAGCCAAGGCCTGGAAATGGGGAAATGATGTGATGTTGGGGAATATGAAGACTTAAAAGGAGAGTATAGTTCGTGGGGATATGAAAATACAAGCAAAGAAGGGTCAGAGGGCGAAGGAATGAACAGAGCGAGACCGCATGATGAATGAGAGGTTGAGAAATTGGGCAGTCAAATCAAAGAAAAAAGGACTGGAACAATCCCAGTAGCTGAAATGACGGTACCAGGGGCGGTCTTGGCGTCCTTGTTGGGTTACTAACGAACGCCACTTGAAAAACGATTAGGTCGTTCAAACAAGGCAAAGACATGGCATACCGGTAGAATCGGGAGACAAGTTCGGTCCCTTTCCATGACCAGCAAAGTATCCACGACTCCGAAGGGTATTTGGAGGGACATCCGGATTCCTTGATGAGCGCAGATGACCTTTCCGTCAATACAGCGCCCCTGACTTTCACGAGATAGATAGCTCGGTAACTCAGCTCGCCACGGCCCGCTTATGGACTTTGATTGCGCAAGAAAGACGCATTCTCGAACCAATAGGGTGCCAACCTTGAAAACACCTCCGATGCACCCTCCGACCACTTGCATTGAGGTGTCGCTCTCGTTTGGTCTTTGTTCCTGGACGACGGAGTACGTAGAGGTTGATGTTAAGGGTAGCAGAATAGTGGTTAACAAGTCTTGAAATATTTCGATTATTAAGGCAGTCAGGCGCCAAGTTTCTTTCACAACCCAGCAGTCGTTGTTCTTGGTTCCAAGGCCTCTCATGGATCCCATCCATATCAGAGCTGTTCTGGTGATCCCATAGCCGACAGAAGCCAGAAGAGTCATTTGTTTTGCATTAACATAGCACTGTCAATAGCCTGCTTATTAGTCTCAGAATCAATCCTAACTATTATCCCCGACATGAATGCAAATTGAGACTATGTCTGAGCGTAACTGTATTGTCACGCCGCCGAGGAACGGTGCAACCGCTGAAGTCAATCCTGGAAAGTCACTTGGTTTGCGACAGGGGCCTAAAAAGACGACAATCCATTGAGCAAGCAGGTGAGAGAGAAAATACTGGCTTATATCCAATAAGCAGTAGGCACTCAAACGAATCGACAAAGAGATTCAGTGGATGAGTGAGTATTGACTGAAGATATGAATGAGAGGTTAATTGACAAGATCAGAGATCTATGATCAACATATCCTAAGCTTAAGGTTGGCTACTAAGAATAACATGAACTCGCAAGAGGAGGCAATAAAACTTAGGACCTCTATCCTAAGTGACAAAAAGCTTTAGGTAAACTTAGCATAACTTGGTATAGATTTAGTAGACCCTAGACTAAATATTTTTGGCACCTTGATGTCAGAGGTTTTCTTGCGCCATGGGGACTCGTCATTAGGAAGACATCCCAATTTCGCATTTTTCTGCAACCCAAAGCTACTTAGGTAGGTGACGGGGCGGCTGCAATCGCCCTCTTCATGTGATATGACCGGCATACCGGTGATTTTTAGAGAAGGGAGCTAATCAACAGCTACGTCACCAATGTGTATTTTGAACCAGGACACATAGTTAAAGAGGCCATGCAGACAAGGGATGTCTCTATACTCAGACTGCTTTTGGGAGAATATTCGCGTAAAGGGTTTGCTGTGCAAAATAGGCCGTTCTCTTAAAAGTAAGTAGAAGGTTGCCTATCTTTTTTGGGTACCTAGCCCACGCAGCATGGTAGATCATGTTCATGAAACCCTTTCAATGGTTTGCCGTTGCCCAGCCCCACCTTTCCGTTAGCCCAGGAACAAACAAAAGCCTGGGGTCGAGTTCGTGACTCCTCGAATTCATCCAGCTATTCTTCTCCACACCTTGCACTTACATCTTTCGCATCAAAAAGTACGACCCACGGATACAGAACATGGCGATCGATAAAATTATTACCGACCCAAGGCTTTGCGCAGTCTTGCAGATTTCAGACCAGGCACGCGACCAGGCTGGCGCACTCCTTAGTCTGGGTGAACAATCATGCAGCGAAGGACCTCCATCAGCAGAAGCGCAAGCTGAAATCGCCAAGCAGCAAAAACTCCTTTTCACAACCATGGCGCATCTGAAAGGACTGCACCGAAACGTCTGTTTCTCCGCCCGTGAGACCAAGTCCCAGACTGCCGAGTCGCGTCAAGAAGTCGACCGCCTGCATCTCCAGCTTCAGAATCTGTATTACGAACAACGACACCTCCAAGGAGAGATTACCGCATGCGAATCATACGAGTAAGCCCTTGTACACTGACTCCAGCTGCAGCTGGGGGTCGAGTTCAGTGCTTCATTAACAAATCATAGCCACAAATACCAACAATTGCCTCTTATCCCTGTCGAGGAATTCCTTGCCCAACACCCCGAACACGAGAATGACGACGAGAATACATTGATGGTTGCGCGCATAGATCACGAACGGTCTGAGCGTGAAGCTCTGGAGCAACAGCGACAGGAGCTGCTTAAGCGAAAGCAGAAGCTGATTGCGGACAACAAAAGAAGGAAGGATGACCTTGCCAACTTGGATAATGATTTGGAAAAATTCATTGATGTAAGTTTCTTGATGCCGGTTGACCTAATCACGATCTGGCTTTTGTCCTAACCTTTTTCTAGGCTGCCAAACCGATTCAGAAGCTGTTTGAAAAGGCGCCCTAAACAGCGACTTTCTTGGAGGACATGCAGAACTACCTTATGGTGGTTTTCGCCGAGTATACGCTTCTGAGCCAGTCTTGAGCTGACATCACGACGTTAGGGGAAACGCGTGAGTGTTGGATATTGAAGCTCAGGTTGCAAACTTAATCGAAATCACCTGCAGAATTACAGGCTGGCATAAGGCGTTTATGGAACTGAACGAAACCGCAAGGGAAGGCTTTACCACGAAGGGTAACGTTATAAGACTTCCTAAACATAAGACACCCATTAAAAGAGAAGTCGGCAAAAATCGGCAAGTATTCCCATCGAATCTCGACCTGCGTTAGTCCGAGGGTTCTGCTTTTCGCGAAAAGGGCTACTGGGCAGTTGGCATGCTTTGATCTTTTATGGGAACCCTTGGTCTTTCAGTTACAGGTTCAAGCGAAGACTGTTTTCAGTATCCAAGTGTGATATGGCCGCCCTGACCTGCGTTTGCTACAAGCGCGACATATGTCTCAGAATTGATAGCCAACTTGATTAGAACAACAAAAACAACAGCACCACGACTGCGATTTTGATCCTACACCGATACAGAACTTAATGTTCATTTTCCGTTCATACCACAAGCAAACTATGCCCTATGTCTCATCTCAGTTGAGTAGGAGCCCAGGGAACAAGACACCTCGGACGTCAAAGTAAGGTGCCAAACATACCTAATATAAGGTCCACTAAATATATACTAAGTTATACTAAATTTACCTAAGTTTTTTGTCATTTAGGATAGAGGTCTAAGCTAGCTTCTGGCTATCCGAAAATTCACATGGGTGGGCTTCCGAAAATGCAAGGGATCCAATCACTTAACCCCGTGGGCCAATGATGGTCATGCACAACCACGTCGACTAACAAGTTCGTCGAATTGGATGCCTGCTACAACCAATAGATCACAAACCGCTCGGGTAGATCTTCAAACCACAATCACCAGCCGTGGTCGAACTCCTACCCGTGACCGGACTTCGACCCATAGGTATCTGGCGGGATCCTCAACCACTGGTAACGGCGCGTGTTGGGGTTACGGCTTGCGATTGACACGGGTTTCTCAGGCTATCATTCAAGACCAAGGAAATGTCACAATGGTCACACAACCACTAGAAAGTTGAGCGAGCCTCGTGGACACAGCCTCGAGCCAGTCAAAATTGCCGCATATCAACGTTGTCGGACAGGCATCAACCAAAGGGCGAAGCGTCTTGCATCTAGCCCGTCACTCTTCATCTCAGTTTCCATTGAGACCTTGAGCAAGCAACAATCGATGCCCAAGCCGATCAGTGGTCTTCGATGTAGAACTGACACAGTACGTGGTTTCTGAGACAAATCGAGGGTGCCAAATCTTGTCATGGGGTATACATATCGCCATGACACCGACCAAGAGCAACTAGACCTTACGACGGTCAACTTTGGGTTGGTGAGAAGCAGCAGGACTCTCATCTGACCACAGTGACCTGAGCCCTTGCGTGCAGGTCAGGTTTTGATTCGTGTCAACAGAGTCTTTGGATTTCGGGCAGAGCATTGCCATGAAACCGCATAGAGATGAATGAACAAGTACATGGATTAGAGACGAGAACTTGCCAGGGGCTCTGGATCCAGAAGTGTCACACTTTCTAAATAATGTCATTTCTGATCCCAGTGCTTGCTCCGTGTTAACGTCAAGTACCTGGGTTTGAGATGTTGAAGTCGGTCATTGAGCTTCATGGGTGGCTTGAATCATATGAGTCTACATGGTCGAAAACGACTGAGTGCAATACATCTCAGCACCGAAGATATCTCTGGCTTGGAGCCTTTGAGGTCCATGACTTCTGTATCTGCATCACGGTGATTGGGAACAGGAAGTATGGTATCTTCATTATGTCATGGGCATTTGTTCGCTTGTGAGTGGCTAAAGATAATCCTGAGCCAAAGTCTAGGGTCCGATTTGGATCCACTTGCCATGATTCATTAATGCTTAGCAGAAGTATAGTTAATGGGCTTGTTTGCTAAGTCTCATTAGCTTAGTATTGGACTAAAGCAACCACGTTGACGCTATCACCCCCAGTTTCAACCCGAGAGATACCTCAAGATACTGCTAGTTAAGTTGCCTGGTATCTAGTTGGTGGTTAGTTCGCAAGCAGCATGGCGATCAAGCCTGAAGGCAACATGTCCCATGTTGCCCACCCCATATTTCGGCACATGGGTCGTGGAGCTTCAAGAAGATGTTATCTTGTTCTTCTGGCCGAATCAGAAAAGCTAGAAGATGGCGCGTGCCATAAGGGTTGGTAACCATATCTTTAGATCTGGAGGCTGGCGAATATCCTTTGTCTTGTGCCCTTGACTTGACCAACATGGCCATTCCGATGTTTTTTGTTCTCTGGTCTCTCAGAGCTAGCTCCTTTTAGATTTCATGTTAATTTTCGCTTTGTGAAATCGGGTGGGCATGGTTTACTTTGCCTAGCCTACCTCAAATCTATCAGGTCGAATATCTCTCCGTAGCCTCGCACTTACACATGCATTTTCAACGTCATCCCGCCCGCTTTGCCTTTCTCTCCTATCTTGCTGCTTTCCAGTTAACAGCTTCTTGCTCTGGTCGACCTGGTCTATGCAACCTATTCTTGCTTTGCATTTTCTCATCGTACTTGAGCCAACCGCCTCTGGGCTGCTCGGGCTCTCTTGAACCACATCGCAGCTTCAAATATCCAAGAAACCTTATTTTTTTTATCTTACACGACATGTCTTTGTTCACATGGTTTGCGCAACGCGCAGGGGGATTAAGTATGATTGCGCTAAGTGCTCTCTGCTATTGGGTCATATACCACGATGCCTCTCTTGAACAATACCGATATGAAGGCAAGCAGCCTGCCTCCCAATACCCTACCGATTCTGCTATAGGTGCTGGTGTTTGGAGCTACGTCTTCGCATATTACTGCCTTTTTGTTCATATACTGGTTTGCATTTTCCCCCTCCGAGCCTGCTGGACTATCTGGACTCTCACCCAATCCATGAAAAGAGCAGCGCGTAGCGATTCATTACTTGATCTGAAGAAACTCGCTTCACGTCGGGACTCCTATACTTCAGTATCGAGCTCCGAGACTCTCATATCCAGTCCAAACAGTCCGTCTTCCTCCACTACCAGTGAAGCCGGCGATTACGATCCTGAATACTATACGGACGGTGTGCCAGGGGCTTGTGACAACGTCGTCCATGTCATCATCATTCCAAACTACAAGGAAGAGGTTGATACGCTCAGAGAGACCCTTGACGTTCTGGCATCCCATCCTCAGGCTCATTATTCATATGATGTAAGATTTTCCTATTCTTGAAAGTCGAGGCGTAACCCTGTACCAGTATCCAATAAACATACCAGACTCGTCTATTAAAGTCGCTCACTGATATTTCTCACTAGGTCTTTCTTGGAATGGAACACAGAGAGAGTAGCGCCGAAACGAAGGCCCTTGGACTGATACAGGAATTTGCGAAGAAGTTCAGATTCCTTGACTTCACACTTCACCCATCAGAAATCCCTGGTGAGGCCGCTGGCAAAGGCAGCAATCTCGCATGGGCTGCTCGCAGGCTGAGCGAGAGGTACTCAGCAGCCGTGAGGAAGAACGTGATAGTCACCGGTATTGATGGTACGCCTATTTGGAAACCAATCCTTCATCCTCGCCCGCTCATTGCTGACTGTCGTGGATTCTCTAGCCGATAGCCATCTTTCATCGAACTACTTTACACTTCTGACAAATATGCACTTATCCTATTCTGAAACCGCATTGACTACCATCTACTCGGCTCCTATTATTTTCGACAGGAACGCGCATTGTGTTCCATCTCTTGTCCGTGTTGCTGATATACTCTGGGGCGCCGCTGGTATGTCTGGCTTGTACCCTGGCTCCTCTATTTCTCCGCCTACATCCGTTTATTCTCTTCCTCTGGATTTGATTGACCGGGTTGGTGGATGGGATTGTGGCAGCGAAGCCATCGGTGAAGACCTGCATATGTATATCAAGTGTTTTTTTGCCCTCAATGGTAACTTAACCAGTCGAGTCATCTATAGCCCTGTCAGCCAAAGTAACGTCACGGGAGGTGGCGGGCTACTGAAAGACACTCGCGCGCGTTATAAACAGGCTCTGCGTCACATGTGGGGTGCTCTTGATACTGGCTTTGCGCTTCGTAAACTGGTTCAGCTATGGCAAGATCGCAAGCAAACTTGTCGTTCCTATCAACCCCTTCACTACACCATCTCAGATGCCGATCATCTTGCCATTCCCGAAAGCTTCCCAGGCGATGAGCACAGCGGACAGACCTATGACAACGGTATCTTCTCAAGCATCCACAGGGAAGCTGTCCAACATCCACACTGGGAAAATGTTTTCTATATGCTGCACCGCCTTTTCGAAGCTCACTTTCTTCCCGTTCATATGGCTATACTGGTACTTTCTTCGGCACTTTATGTCAAGCTCACAGAAGGCAATGAGGACCCACGAAACCTGGCTTGGATTTTTAGCTGGTGTAATCTTGTTCGCATTTACGGTTTCTTTCAAATTGGAGTTTACGTGTCTCTATACGAAAGTTTTCACCAGACGGGAGTCGCCAGCCGGGAGAGGGAAATGGTCAAGGCTGGGCTGGCCAACGGGATGGACTTTTCCCGACGATCTCTCAAAAACAACTGGTATGACTACTTTGCGATTCCCGTTGTCGCTCCTCTATATGGCACCATACCCAGTGCTCAAGCTTTGATTTGCCAGCTTTGGGGCCAAGACCTTGTTTATACTGTGAGCAAGAAGGCAACGCGGCGTCAGATACCCGTCGTGAAGGTTGACAACATGGCCTTAGACCAGGAATACTGTCATCGTGGCCACTAGGATCTTGAAGTGTTAAGCGAGGGTTTATGATGACGATGATGGGTATAGATGGTTAGTTTCGGAACTAATTTGGGGAAGAATATATACCAATAACTTGGCTATTCAGGAAAGTTTACATGCATTTGGCAAGGGTAATTTATACTTAGGATAAGGGTTGGCGTCTTCAAAAGATCATCTTGAAGCGTGTTCAGAATGATATACATAATGTTACTGATGCGAGGAGAGGCAGATGGGTCTATGGTGCATTGCTTTGTGTATATAGATTCATACTTGCTCTTCACTACCTACTTACAGATATCATACAGTCCTAAATAATACATGAGGTCTGTAAAAGATTCGGGACCAAACATATTGCTTTGATACTATAAGCTTATGCCACGCCTATCTAGATGGAAAGCTACAGACCTTGAGTTTAAATCCTTCTTAGACTCATAGATATAATACTGTATTATTACTGATAGGTTTTACTTCCTGGCAAGTTAAATAACACCAAGATGCACAAGGGAGAACGTTGAATATCCGGTCGGAGTGGGGCCTTCTGGTGCCGAACCACGTCGGATATTAAAGTTAGTTGAACCAATGAGAGGAAGGCTGAGTGACGGATTCAGCATTTGGAACCAATGCTTGTTAACCACTGCATGCCATTATTCTTAGATAATGCCTAGCTCATACGGGCTGTAAGTCGAAGGGGTTATCGACAGAGATACCTTTTAAAAACTATTTAAGATAAGCGTACACTTAACGAGCAAAGAACATAGAGTACCTTTGTTTATTATCCGAAACCTACAAGTATTACCTCAATATCTACCGCTTAATTTAGCAGAATTCATCATTATCGTTTATACCAATGTCTTCGAAGCAGCTACACATTGGCGTTTTCATGCCCTCAAGCGTGCAACTACTCGATCTGGCAACTGTCGATGTTCTCGCCTCAATGTCCAAGGAATACCTTCGCCTCCTTCCTCTCCCCGCACACATTAGTGAAATAGCACCCAGCACAAAGATTACCTATATCACATCACCCAAGTTGTTTCCAACCGTAAACTTAACTGCGGATCTATCCGTCCGTGCATCACACACGTACGAAGATGATGACGTTGGTCCCGGCAAACTTGACATTATCGTCGTGCCTGGTACAGATCCAGCGGACGAATTTGAAGAGGCATCGACAAAGTGGCTAAGAGACCATTTCAACACCGTGGGTGTTGATGTATTATGCGTTTGTACTGGTGTTTATCTATGCGGTGCTGCAGGTATTCTCGACGGCCGCCGGGTAAGTGGCCCTAGAGGGCTTCAAGATGAATTAATCCAAAAATACCCAAACACGCATTTCGTGGGAGAGGAGTATCGGTGGATTCAGGACGGCAACCTTTGGTCAAGCGGTATGTCTACGCCAGGTCAAGTTTGAGCCAGTTGCTTACAGAAACATCAGGCGGGATAACCAACGGCAATGATCTCATGGCTGCGTATGCTCAGGCACAAAACAAATATTGGCCAAACTCGATCTCTAAGCTGGGTGCGATGCTGGTCGATGTAGGTGATCGACCCCAGATTTACCATCAGAGCCAGCGCAAGTTTTTTATAGTATTCGCATGGCAAGTTGTCCAGGGCTGGCTTTTCAGCATGGTACCATTTGGGAAAGGTATGTCCAAGGCCAAGAAGGATTCCTAAATACCTACCTAGGTAGTGGCGAAGATACATCTATTTAGGAATCTCAAGTAACTCGCCTTAACTCATAATACAACATTCAACTCTCAGATACCCACTGAGCATAGAATCAAGCTGTTGAAATTAATATGGAACGACGGTATTCGATGTTATTCATTGCTTAATCATCGGATTCTCTGAACAGGGTTATATATAAACATGAGAGTATAAGAAGGCTTAACATATTTAGTATAGATTTAAAGATATATATATAAATAATTAAAAATCAACCTATTAAAAGAGTCTATATATATATACTCTATACTAAGCTATCCAGAAAGTAGGATTCAGGTCTTAAGTTTTTCATGTCTAGCCCACTTAGGAAGTACCCAGGCCCTGTAAAGTAAGAAAACCTCTGGTATTAAACCAAGGTACGGAAAATACCTAATCTGACGTTGAATAAATCTATATTACTTAAGTCTTTTTATTATTTAGAATAGAGATTCTAACTTTTCTTGCCTCCCCTGGCTAGGTTACCTACCCTCCTACAGTATTCAAAAAGCGTTAAGATCTTCTGTCATAGTACTCAGAACTGCGAGAACCAACTAATGTTGCCTACCAAGGGGAGGCAAGAAAACTTAGGACCTAAATCCTATATGACATTAAGACTTAGGTTAACTTAGGTGAGACTTCACTAACCTTTAGGCTAGTTATTTTTGACATTTAAACCTAGGGTCTGAAGTTTACTTGCTCCCTGAGGCCTACCAACCCAGGTATGTACTTTTGTCAGTCCAGAATTTTCTGACCTTCCCCAGCCATCCTGCCAGCCTTCAGGCGGCTCTGTTCACAACTTCTTAGCGGAGCTTGCGGCGGGAAAATCTGCACCAAAGCGGAGACAAGGTAACTCGTGTTGCTGTGACAGCGAACACCCCACCGCGATAAGAGCCTTTATCGCAGAATTCTATTGGTTGCGCCTGTGGGGCCATTGTTGAGCCCCGAAAAAAATTTCGAAGCTCTGGAGTTGCTTCTCGATTCTTAGTTTTCTTCTTTTGCAGTGAACAAGAGTCTCAGGAAAACCTCACTCTATCACCATTCTTCATCCTTTCTCTCACTTTTCTGTTTTTCTTGTTTCTTTCCGGCATACGCTTTACATTTCATCCTACGTTTGAAACAAAAGTAATCACATAACCGCCACAATGTCTGCTGTTCCTGGTCCCGTTTACGGCCTCGAGGTCCCTCCTGGAGAGATCTTAATTCCAGCCACCATGGAATTCCCTGCCTCTGTAAGTTCTTCTCTGGTGCGCCGAATCGTTATTGATGCGATGCAATGCGCTGCCTTGCGCTGGCTCGCTTCCAGTTGGCGGCGCATCATTTGCGATAGCAGTTCGGTATGGTCTTGACCTCATAGTTCTAACCGTGAAATCCTACAGTTCCGCATTACCATGGCTGCTGTTGACCCTACCGAAGAGCCTGAAGCCGATGGTGAGGGCAACATTCCTACTGTTCCTCGATCCACCCTGCGCCTCGTCAAGCGTGCTCTCCCTGGTCTCGATGAGGATGAGGATGATGAGATCGATGATGAATACATGAAGGCTCTCCTCGCCGGCTCCGACGATGAGGAGGACTCTGATGAGGAGGCTAACGGTGGCCCTAGCGACCCCGTCAAGGCCAAGAAGCAGAGGCAGGCTGCTGCCATCAAGAAACTTCTTGAGTCTGCCCAGGAGGAATCTGATGAGGAGATGGAGGATGCTAAGCCCAACGGCAAGGCCAAGGGCAAGGCGAAGGCTACCGAGGAGGATGAGGATGAGGATGACGACTCCGATGATGACAGCGAGGAGGGTGCCGATCTTGAGAACTTTGTCATCTGCACTCTCGATACTGAAAGAGTGAGTCTACGAAAGCAGAATCCCGAAATTGTCTGCTAACTTTAGTGTAAGAACTACCAGCAACCCCTCGATATCACTGTCAACCATGGCGAGAAGGTTTTCTTTGTCGTTACTGGTACTCATACCATCTACCTCACCGGAAACTACATCATGGACGATGATGAGGATGAGGACGATGAGGACGAGGATGACTACGATCTTTCTCCCGATGAGCTTGAATACGCCCTCGAGGGTGAGGAGAGCGACGAGAGTGACGAGCTTGATGGTGTCCAGGACCCCCGTGTTCAGGAGATTGAGTCTGACGAGGAGGCCCCTAAGCTCGTTTCCGTCCAAAAGGGCAAGAACAAGCGCGCCGCTGAAGAGGCCACCGAGGGTCTTGACGAGCTCATCTCTAAGGATGATGCCAAGCTGTCCAAGAAGCAACAGAAGAAGCTCAAGAACAACAAGGGCGAGGCTGTTGCTACCGAGGAGAAGAAGGACGCTAAGAAGGTTCAATTCGCAAAGAACCTCGAACAGGGCCCTACTGGCTCTGCTGAGAAGGCCAAGCAGGGCAAGGCCACCACCGGTGTCAAGGTTGTTCAGGGCGTGACCATCGACGACCGAACTATTGGCAACGGCCGCACTGTTAAGAACGGCGACACTGTTGGTGTCCGATACATCGGCAAGCTCCAGAACGGAAAGCAGTTCGATGGTAAGTAACTAGCTCACGTGGTATCTTCAACTTGATTAACATTTTGATAGCCAACAAGAAGGGTAAGCCTTTCTCCTTCAAGGCCGGCAAGGGACAAGTGATCAAGGGCTGGGACATTGGTGTTATTGGCATGGCTATTGGTGGTGAGCGCCGTCTCACTATCCCCGCTCATCTTGCCTACGGCTCCCGTGGCCTTCCTGGCATTCCCGCCAATAGCACATTGATCTTCGATGTCAAACTTCTTGAGATCAAGTGAGTGTAGTATATGCCTCCTCTCACTCGACACCAAGCCGACTTGCCACCGACCTCGTGACATAATACCCCCCAAACAGAGGCGGCAGAGTCTGGCGACAAGTTGATGACGTCGTGACGCCTGTGTTCCCCAGGCTTCATATATCATATCTGCTGTTCACCCGGTGTTGTTGTTTTGCATGCGAGGATAAGAGAGCCCGGACTTGTACATTCTGCCGAGGGCCTTCAATGTTTAGAACAGAGACAAGGTGGCCATTTAGAAAGGCAAAACAGGAATGATGTGGCGAGGACCGTCCCCGTTGCATGACATGAATTGGCGTACGATAAAAAGGGTTATGCTTGCGCTTTGCTATTGATGGCGGGATAATTTTCCCTGTGCCTGAAAGGATTTTGTAAGGTTATGCAGATAAAATACTATTTCTTTCCTTTTCATTTGATGTTTCCTACCTGTCGATTCTTCTCCGTGTTGGTTTCCTTATGAGATTCAGGAAGTCGTGATGTCGAACCTTCCCAGCACCGACTTCCTTACCTGAGGTAGGTTGATCTCCTTCTGGACTCAACGGCCTCCGACTCTGCTCCGCAACAACATTGCCGAGAGAAAAGCTCGAGCGCCATTCTCTCCGCATCTGGCTACTGCATTATCTTATTAAACGCGGCCTGCCCTCAGATATTCATCGATGCAGTGCTAACTTTCTCTTTATTGACTACCCTTGAGCATCATGGCACCAACCCTGCTCAAGAAAGCTAGTCAACAATTCGTTCGTCTTTCGTCCTGCGATTCGAAGAATATATTTGAAGCGTCTCCAGGATCTAAATTGAATATTACAGACGGCTCAGAGGTGCAAAATTCGCGGAAGTTTCGCAATGGTGGTTCCAAAAGATGGGCACCTTTTCGAGGTGCCTTCAAGAACATGAGAAAAAGCGCACGCAGTCGTAAGCTATCCTATCTGTCTTGTTCTTATCCCATTGACATGCAGTAGGTGCTGAAGTATCCAAAGATGCTCATGACCTCCCCGAAGACCAAGCCAAACCCCATTTACTTTTCAGATCTGTCCCAAGACTTGAACGTGGAACGAGAAGTCCAGATGTAAAGGAAGTAATGATACGAAAGTTGGGGTTGCATCCCACGGCTATGACATCCAACTCTACTTTGGTGATCCGAAATTCCCCAAAACGAGCACGAAGTTCTCTGCAGCTGGTCAATCCTACTCCCTCCAGTGGACTGATCACTCCGCCCTCTTCTGAGGCATGCGATACACTCACAACAGCCGATGAAAAGTCCACAGGGGAAACTTCGATGGAATCATCTACGTTGCCGAACTGGGAAATCATGGATAGGCGATACAATAGGCGAAATCCATGGACCCGCTCAAGCCCTGAAGGCCGCGCTCTCAGTACTATTCCCGAGGCCGGTGTTGTACATGCTCGACCTACCATTGCAACTGTAGAGAGGGCATCCGCCGCCAAGATTTTCCTCGAGACTTACTTCAATGAACTTCTCTATAAACCAAATGCAAGAGCTTTGCGGGGCCAGTGCCTTGAGTCTCAGTTGTGCAACTATTTGCTAATAACACCAGAGGAGAAGGAGAAGATTCGGGTGCAATATAGAAGGCAGGAAACATGCCATCTCAGAGAGTCCAGGGCAATGAGGGCAGGTTCTTTGGCTTACCATGGAAACCAGGACTCCTCCCCCTTGGTCAACAACTACGAGCCACTTCAAATTCTAGGCAAAGGCAGTTTCGGAGTAGTCAGACTGGTGCGTGAAAAACCTGCTCCAGGACACGCTTTCCCCGGCCAAGTCTATGCTATGAAAGTCATTCGAAAGACAGAAATGCTGCGGAACAGCCAAGAAGGCCATTTGCGGGCTGAGAGGGATTTTCTTGTGGCTTCTGAAGGATCACAGTGGTTAGTACCAAAGCTGACCAACACTACAAGGTGACTGACTGACTGAAGCACCTTCTCAGGGCTGTTCCACTGATTGCCAGCTTTCAAGACACAACGAACCTCTACCTGGTGATGGAGTACATGCCTGGTGGCGATTTCCTCGGATTACTCATTCGGCAAAACATTCTGCAGGAACCCATTGCACAGTTTTACATCGCAGAGATGATCCTTGCTATTGAAGAGGCCCATCGCTTGAACTTTATTCACCGTGACATAAAACCAGACAACTTCCTCATATCCGCGACTGGTCACTTAAAAATATCCGACTTTGGGCTAGCATTTAATGATCACTGGTCCCACGACGCAGCATACTATAATACCCACCGGTATTCCTTGGTCCGAAGACTAAATATGAACATCAATGGTGACGAGACGGATCAAAAAGGCAGTAAGGATCTCCTGAAGCATCTTGAGTGGTACCAGTCCCTTGTTTCCGGACTTGACAGGCATGGGAAACATCCATTGGCGAGTAACGAGGACTTGCGAAGTCTTATCGGTTGGAGAAATCGACACGGTAATCGCACTGCTGCGTGTTCCGTCGTTGGTACCAGTCAGTATATGGCTCCTGAAGTCGTTCTTAGTCAGAAATATGACGGGAGGTGTGACTAGTAGAGCATCGGCATCATCCTGTATGAATGCCTGTACGGGCAGACGCCGTTTCTAGCAGAAGAAGGACGCAAGCAGACGAAACAAAACATCGTTGTGAGTATGTCCGTATCAACTTGAACAAGGTAAATGACTGACAGTGGCCGCAGGACTTCAAGAAGAACTTTCAGTTTCCACCCAGGCCATTCGTAAGCGACAAGTGCAAAGATCTCATCTGCCGCCTGATCCAAGAGAAGGATATTCGGCTGTGTTCAAGGAGGTACCAGGTCAAATATCGGTATTCGTCCAAAAGCTACGTGTTTCCCGATGACGCGGAAGATATCAAAGCGCACAGGTGGTTCAGAAACATGCCCTGGGATCGCCTGCAATCAATGCCTCCTCCATTCACCCCGAATCTGAAGAGCGACGACGATGCACACTACTTTGATGAATCCGAACTATTGGAAGACTGGTCTGAGTCGATACCGTCGGGCGTCTGTCTCAAATCGGAAGATGTCAAGGAGTTACTTTTTGGATTTGATACCCATGTGCAAGCAAAGGCTATGGAGCTTATCAAAGTCCCGTTCGACGCGGCCAAGCTTCGAAGTATAGACCGTGATATTGATTCATCAAAGGAACTTCAGCCGAGTGAGAAGGCTACACTGAAGCAGTTTGTTAGATTTTATGGTCATAAAGAGCGCAAACGACCAAGAGACATGTTGCTCCGGGACAAGGATACCAAAAAGACTTCATTAAGAATTCGAAAAGAGACGGCTTTCATGGGCTATACCTGGCGTCGGATGAGACCCGGTGGATATATCGATCCAAAAGTAACAGAGATGCCCAACATGGACGAAAGCCAGGCTTTGACACCGAACATTGAGTGTTGAAAAAAAAGAAAAGGAAGCCGGTATGAGATACGAAGGTGTTCAGCCCTCAAAATCATCGAGAGCAGTATTACGAATAGACATTAAGCGCTAGGCCTTATTGGCATGTGTACCTTCATCCTGATCCTCATTTCATCATCCTAGCCCTATGCAGAAACATCAAATCATTACCATAATATTAAGCGTGCATCCTTCATTGCGATTTGGACCTTTGGTTGGTATTGCTGTACGAACCAGACTCTGTTAAAGCAGCTGGGTCACCAGATGCAACGGCTTTGGCATTGCGAATCTCCCACTCAAATTCCTTGAGGGCCCGGATTTCCCAAGAGAAGAAGAGTAGCGAGAGCAGACCATCGATAACACCAGCGACCAAGCTAAGACTGCTGGCCAGCATGAGGACAAATGCGACGTAATTTCCAGGACTGAACCAGACAGCGACAAGACATGCTAGCCAGACAAGCAATGCGCCAAAGAAGTGCACACCCCGCCAGTAGCGCTGGCGAATCTCGCGAGCATGGTATTTTTGTATCATTCCCAGAATCTCATCATAGGTGGACGCGTGAAATAAATCGCGATTAAAGAAGCGACCTCGCCTCAGCTGGGTATCGGGATCCGCAGTCTGCGCTGCGTCACCTGAGTGAATGCTGCTAGCCGGGCTACTGGGGGCCAAGTATGCGCCAGTCTGGAGAGCAGCAGATGGTGTTTCGGAGCGGGGATCAGCTCTAATAGGCAATGGGGAAGGGGTATGCCGGACGAGCGTGGCTTGAACAGCAAAGTGGTCGGAGAGGGAACAAAGGAGATCAGGATGCCGCTCAGTCATTGAAACATGAGCCGACTTGACGATCCAACCAGGAGCGGTAGCAGGAGCATCGGGGTCGATACCTGTCGAGGCAAAGATGTAGTCGAGTCGCTGACCTTGAGGATCAATCGTATCGGGTGGGACCTCGCAGAGATCGCCTCCCTTGAGCCGGTTCTGCTGATTTTTGTTCCAGCGCCATGTATTATAGACGGAATTGCTAGTTGCGCCATTCTCGAGAAGATTGAAGTCGGCTGTCGGTAATGGCCGATGACGATCCTTCTCAGATGGATGGTAGGCAGGACCAAGAGCGCTGTCAGGGTGTAATTTGCGCCAGACGTCATGAACAGGCGCATGTGCTGTTATTACACGGTGAAATATGGACAAGGGTAACATGTTGAAATCACCCATTCCGATAACGAGATGCCCACGTTCAGCAGCGCCGCGCAAAAGCTTTGAAATCTCCCATGACTGCGCAACTCGATGGCAATCGTATGTACTCACGGGCTCGGGCTCGTATGGGGAGTGAGTCTAAGAATTCAAGTCAATTAACAGGCTGAAAAGCGGCATAACAAATTCAGACTCACATGTGTGTTGAAGACCTCGATAATGTCCTTTCTCCTTGGCCCGAAGCGAATTTTGGCGCAAGCAACACCCTTGCCTACATACCAGTCTCCTCTCCAAAATGCAGTTGGCCGTCCATTGAGGGGATACTTGAACATGGTACTCTCCTCGATCGGCCAGTGACTCAAGATGGCCAGACCGCCACCAAAAGCACCGCTGTGGTAGAACTTTCCATAGGGGAGAACCTGGCGAGTGTGATGCCGAATGGCTTGGTAGTCCTCCTGTGTGAAACATTCCTGCAAGGAAACGATATGCGGTGTAGGGACAGCATGTGCAATTCTATGACCTATCTCGTCAAGTCTTGCAACTCGCTGGGTCGATATGTAGCGAAGACCCCAGCAGTTGAGGGTCAAGAGGTTGATCTCAGAGGGGAGATTATGAACATCATCATTGTTGACGGCAATGGTGGAAGGCGTTGTGACATGCTCAGCAGCGTCACTTGCCATGACCATGGCGCCGGTGGAGTATGCGGAAGTAATGGTGACTGATGTGTCTCGTAAATATCAGACCGTCGGAGAAAGAGGGTGAGACAAGGGACCGGGCATGGGACAAGTTTTGGATCTCAGGTCGGAGAGTGGAAATATTGAACGTGGCGCGATGCCTCGGCTGCTGGATATTAGTTAATTAGATGAGGGCACCGGCCAGGTGTCACTGCTATTAGCGGTAGAGCCTAAGAGGCGTAAAAACGACAATAGTACAAATTAGTTACGATCGAAAGCAAAATTCTAAAATGAGGGAGATGCGATGGACGGTCACCGCCAAGGAAAAGGAGTGAGAACACGCGACGCGAAGGAGTCTAATGTGATAATTTACAGAACTCCAATTGAACCAATACCACGCCTCCTTCTTGTTTGGGGACACTGCCGGTACTTGTGGTCACCCGGACCATCCGCTCCAAGGAGGGGCCGATATACCTGTGGGGCTGATTACCGAACTGGAGGTCTACATACTAAGGTACTCCGTAAGTTAGTAGGTATAGATGCGGCAGGGGTCGAGGAAAGCCGAGTGATAGAGCAATGATTGGTGATGAACTACTAAAGTCATAGGGGTGTTCCTCTTGTTGCTGGCGCCGCGCCCTTCTGTCTCATGCAATTTTGTTCTATGAGAAGTTAGCGTCATGATAACTATTAGTATATTTATTAGAGACAGACTATTCTCGTTGCGTCCCTTTGCTAAGGTATTATTCATGCCTGAGGTCAAGATGCCAAAACGAATTCATCATATTGCCTCCTGACTTTGGACTAACTGACCTAAGTCTTTTCTCTCTTAGGATCAAGGCCCTAAGTTTTCTTGCCCCCTCTAGTTTAGGTAGGCACTTTAAACGGTTTCAGCTCTCGTTTTGAACTAACATAGAAGCTTCCAGGAACCCTGCAATCCCACCGGTAAAATAAAGTTACCATACTATCAGATTCAGAGCTTCATCCTTCTCCTCACTCTTATCCTCACACTCAATCTCAGCTGCCACATGGCGAGCTTCATCATTGGTTCGATACCCCTCATCGAACTTGAGAGGCGTCATGCGTCATTCTTGGGTACCCATCATAGAACCATCTGGTAAAGTCCAGGTATGTACGGAACTCTTCACTTGTAGCCACTACTGCCCGGATCTATATGACATCCTCATGTCTGGTTCACCCAACGCCTATAAGTTTAATTAAGAATACTATTCTCTTGAGAGTCACAACCTTCAACTTATAACTGTCCATCCACATTCGCAATGTCTGTAGTCTTTGAATCTCTTCTCATCAAGTTCAAACCCATCCTGGTTGAACACCCCGAATCCCCTCCGGCTTCTTTCTCATCTGTGACCGATCACCTCAAGTCGATTCCTGGGGTCGAGTCCGTTTACCTTGGCAGGCCCCTCGAGAAGCCTGATTACTGGGTTCTGGGTATCCGTTGGGCCTCGCGCCCTGCCTATGGTGCCTTCGTTTCCGGCTCTGCTGCCACCGATTGGTATGCCTCTTTGCGCGCCCTGCTGACTGAGCACCCTATCGTCAGCCCGATCGCAGAGTATACAGGCCGTGCCGAGCTCGCCCTCCATGCACCCATTACAGAGTTTTGTACCTGTTGGGGTGCTGATGAAACCTTCACGGAGGATAACATGAAGCCATTCGCCGTTGCTTGTGAGGAGGGTGGGTTGGCTGGGCTTCATGGCTTGGCTTATGGCGAATTTGTACAAGGAGAACATGAGAACCCTTCAGTTATTCCTGGTCGAGCATCCAGGCTACTGATGGGTTGGGATAGCAAAGAGGCCCATTTGCAACACAAAAACAATGGAAGTGGTAAGTCTCATTTCTTGATGTTGCGCCATTAGTACTGACTGGATTGCACCAAAGTAATTGATGATAACGTATACTATTTGCTTGCTCGGAATAAGAGCCTTGAAATAGTGAGCCATCTAGGAAGTTAATAGTGAGAGCCTGAGTAACTAACATCTCATGTAGTATCATGTCCCTTTCAAAAAGCTCTGAGAGACTCAGCTTCACGCCCAAAGCTTGCAGATAATATCAGATTGTTATTGGATTAAGTAGAGAACAAAATAACACTGAGTCAATGCGCCGTCGAAAATCAGATACCTTGAAAGCTGTCACTTGTCAATGTGAGGCTCTCTCTTCCTGCCAATAAGCACCGTCTTGTTTCCGTATTCGTCCCGATGAAATGCGATCCCGTCCTTGACACCATTTCTATACCATTCAATCATCCTGCGACTTTTCTTACCCACCCTTGAAACTTCATCTCAGGTGGGTGGAATGGTCTTCTCAAACTTCTGAACTGTACCCGGTGGCCTGATATCGCCCTCATTTTGAACCTCCAAAACACACTGCATCCTCCTTTTAGCCTCTCGATGTCCCCTGCAAATAGCTTTCTGTTCGTCCTATTCCGCTGATCGCTCGAACGTCGTCGTACCGGTATCAAAAAGTTAGATACGATGTTTCTCCGATTCTGTATTAGGATTTCAAGGTTAGAAATTTAATTCTTGCTGGATCTGTTTTGCACCTCACCAAGTCGAGAGTAGAGCATGTACAATGCCATACGGTTACATTCCTCCGTTCCGGTAATAGTCACCAGTCGCTCGTTACTATTGTCCTGCGGCTCGTTGATCTTGATCACGCTGTTGCTCATTTGGCGGATCTCGTTGATCTTTTGTCCACCCTTGCCGATGATAGCACCGACCATATCGTTCGGGATGTAAATCTGCTGTGTGATGGGCCCGCCGGGGATGGCACCGCCCATGGGCTGAGCTTGGGGAGCACCACCATGAGGTTGAGGACCAGCATGAGGGGCCATGTGCGGTTGGGCGTGAGGAGCTGCGCCATAGGCACCTCCCCCCTGAGCACCGCCATAATGCATAGGCATGGCAGGGTTGGCCTGAGCAGCTGCGTGGGGGTATTGCTGAGGATAAGGCGCGGGTGGCATATGGTGAGATCGCCGGTCGTTGTGGCGGCCGTAATTTTCACTTCGTCCGTAGTGGCCCGAGGCAGGTTGGGGTGAATAGGGAACAACTTGCATGCCGCCTGGGATCGAGCCAGCAGGGGCGCCGCTACGGGTTGCGTAGGCAGACGCAGCAGGACCTCCAAACCTATCGTTAAGCTGTTCGAGAAGGGTGCTGCCAACGTAGTAAGTTGCGATATGGACGGCATCAGCGACACCCATCACTACCAGCGATCTCTCGCTTGACATAGGTAAACATGAGTCAGAAGCGTTCAACCGAGCACCAGATGCCTCTTGGATCTCACGAATACGGGCACCACCCTTACCAATGATGGAGCCAATCAAAATGTGCGGAATGAGTAGCCGTAAGGGATATGTTTTTGAAGATGCGGTTGAGGATTCGTTGAGGGGTTCGTTGTTCAGTGTTCGGATGATCAAGCCAAAAGCCTGAATTGACGTTAATTTGTAAACCATGCGTCAGGAGAATCACCATACCTTAGCTACAGCGTCCACTATACCGCTAACAGTAAGAATACGTTCAACGGCCCCCTTTTGGTAGTCGCTGACTGTGCACTTAGCGTTGGAAAGCTTCCTGATGTTGGAAACATTCTCGCCCCCCTTTCCAATGACGGTAGCTGCCTCCGGGCTCGAGATAACAGCGCGAATGTGAATCCATGAGGTCTCGTCATGAGCAGCAGCAGACGTTACAGCGTTGGATGCAGAGGCAGCAACTGTGGCGGCAGCGGCGGCCTTAGTGTCAGACGCATGGTCCAAAGCGGCATCGTCATCATCTTCAGACTTATGGGCTCCGTTGACCTTATCATCGTGGTCCTCTGCAGGGACCTCGGTGGGAGCTTCAGGGACCTCAACATCGTCGTCGTGCTTGTTCTTGTCGAGAGCAGGTCGTTTGGCGTCGGGCTGATCACCAGCGCGTGAGGGCGAAGAAGCTTCTTCCAAAGGGCGTTTGGCCGACTGGGTTGGTTGTGTTGGGGAAGCAGACATATTGGAATCGTTATTGTTCACGCGAGTTTAATCTTTCTGACAATCGACAATTTGAAAACGTCTCGTTCTTTCTATTGTTCGTCTTATATACACTCAGGGGTTTTCGAAGGAAAACGTGCTGGTGTAGTGACTCTCGCTGGGTGTGCTTCGGTGAAATACTCGTGAAGTGACTTATGTCGCGTAAAGACGATGCGTGTTGCGGGCTGAATGGAAGGAAGAGGGATTCGAGATTCGGGCTCAAGGGCGGGTTCCAGAACTCTTTCAGCGGGCGTCGAGTAATTACCCGGGAAGATCTCCTAGATATAGGCGGGAGAGGAAGGGCGGAATGATTGTCTTGTGATGCAAATGTTGAATGGTGGTGAGGATAGGTGAAGCGATCGATACTGGGACGGACTTCTTAAAAAGCAAAAAGAGGCAGTGCTCAGCTCAAACCTTCTGACCCGGACTCGAGGTTTATTGATCGCAAAAGTCGCCAGAGTTCTGAGCTCAAGCGCAGAATCTGGAGCACGAAGTATCTCGTCGCGAAGCGTCGGAGGATGAGAAGCTGAGACGAGAGAAGCAGGTTCTCAAATGGATCGGCGCGCGGTGTTTTAGAACTTTCGCTGTCGCAATGGATCCCAATACCAGGGAAGGACCAATCCAAATCAATCAGAAGAAAGAAAAAGAAAAACAGAAAATCTCAGAAACGATTACGAGGAATCGCTGAGAATGGAAAAGCGAGGATCTCACGAGAGCAATGGCAGGTGAAAAAGGGGGAGAATGAATATGACACGACAAAAGGTCGATGGTTTGGGGTGAGGAGATGGGAGAAAGCCGGAGAAGTAGCCCTGCGAGAATCCATCCTGGGTAAGGTAGGTGCTAGGCATGGAGCGCTGTGAGATGTCACGTGCACCACCTCAATCTGGACTTGAAGCTTGGGCCACAAGAGCTCAGGCGCTCCACCCGCCTGGCGATGATACTACCTTAGTAAAGGTAGGTAGTAGACAATCACAACCCACGATATAACTAGTACCTACCTCTGGCACTGGAACCTTCTTTTTGATAGCCGAACAAATTTCAAATATCTCATAGATACAAGTGCGATGACTACGCTTGTCTCGCTATATTTGAAGACCTCCGATTAGTTGCATTTGAACAACAATCGCCTGTCTTGAACAGCTCCTTGGAAGGCGCGAAGTGACATATCTTGATCACCCAAATCCGTACATACGTTGGGTCCCTCCATCCTCACAATTCTCAATTCTCAATTCTGCCCATGCTCCAGCAAAGTCAAAACCCTTGCCCATTACTTGAGCCAGTTGCGTGAACTTTACGACAATGGACTACAGGTCGCAACCTACAGCAAAAGAGGAGTACACAGCCAATGTTGATCAGACATTAAGAGAACTTCAAGAGAGAGTCCAACAACATGAAAATGAGCTGGAGAAGGTATGCACGCGCCAAAAACCAACATTATACCAATGGCTAATTTCTTGCAGCTTCGTTCGGAGCAAAGCCAACCCCCAGAGTCAGCGGCTGGACAGGCGCGTCTCATACAGGTGGCTCTCAAAGAGGTGACAGAGTCGGATCCCTTTCTCCCCTCGCCAGGGTCGCTGTTACCGACGCTGTTGGCGTTCCGCAAGACTCACCAGACCATTCAAGAGTCCAAATCCTATCTTGCCTCTCAGCGTGTAAGCCATGAACAACTGTCGCGTCAGCTTGAGGCGGATGAAGCGCGTCTCAAAGATCAAAAGCTCCTTGGCGATGCTCTGACTGCACGTATCTTGTCGCTACGCGATGAAGTGGATGCGGGTACTCACGTCACCCCAGGAGAAGGGGCAGAGGAACTATTGCAAGAACTCAGAGCTAAGAAGAAGTCTTATGACAGAGAGACGTCGAAACTTATGAAGGTTCTCCTTCGATTCATCGATAATCATCTGGCGCCCATGCTTGCGGCAGAAGAGCTAGGAGGGCCTGTGGTTGGGGATCTTATAGGTATTGATGGAGACGATTTGGCCGCCGGATTTAATGCACAAGGGAAACTAAGGAAACCAAAGGACAGCGATGATAAAGAAGATAAACGGCAACGCAGAATCGATGAGATTTGGGGACAGGCTACTAATGGAGGCACGGGGCGCCAGGACGAGATTGCAGCTGCAGCTGCAGAGATGAAGCAACTCACAGAGGAGCTTCTCAACACGCTTGCTGAAGCACAAGGTAATAACTCAGCATCATATGTGCAATTGTCGCGTGAATCTGCGGCTGCACGGTTTTTGGTGAGATCTAAGGTTGCACAATTCCATCCTAGAGATGCAACAAGGCTCAGACTGGTGGATTTCGGACGAGATCTGGAACCCTGAGTAATAATAGATATAATGAAAGCCTCGAGAACAACCCCATATGTCTTATAGTTATGTTTCTGTAAAGTCACACAAGTGAATATTCCCACCATTGACAGAAGTTAATATCCCGATGGTGATTGTAGAGTTTGGAGTACATTATAATAATTCAGGATAGCTCATCATGAATTATAATTGTATACAAACATAGGCCTAAGACTTCCGCAATGATATCTGCGCGGAATAAGGTCCGGCGCAGCATACAAGCAACCTCTTAAAAATAGGTTCTGCTGATTGGTCAATTCTGTAAGTGATTAACGCGCTAGATATGGAACGCCAGAAACAGCAGAGATGCTGGATTATCTCTCTGATATACAAAAAAAGTAGGTGTCTTGACACTTGTAATGAATTATAATTATGATCTTAAGCTTAAGAATACCGTGGCAACATTGTTATTAGCTAAGGAAGACTACTACAAACCCCAGGCTATGTTAACATGATGGGAGAGAATCGATATTCCTCGTGTTCTTGAAGTCCAAGGAGCGTTACCCACCCAACCGCGTCGCGTCTGTCGTGGCCCAAGCTGGCTGGCCCTTAAACTCCAGCTTCGAATGCAGTATCCACGACAATTGCTTCTCCATTCTCCCTCCTCATATTCAACAATGACCTCTGAAACTCTCGTCCCTGATAACTCTGCCGTTTCTTCACCTCCCGCCAAACGTGCCAAGACCGCCGCTACAATGGAAGGTCCCCCACCACTGCAGATTAAGAAGCTTTCCGACAAGGGTCGTTTGCCCACTCGTGGGAGTGCCTTTGCTGCCGGCTACGATATCTACGCTGCTCGCGACACAACAATTCCCGCTCGTGGCAAGGCGCTAGTTGACACTGATATCAGCATGGCTGTGCCTGCCGGAACCTGTAAGTACATAGCCAGTTGAAGCCCTGATCAACCAGCTTAAGGCCAGCTACCTGACAAAATGATGAATACAGATGGACGCATTGCTCCTCGATCGGGTCTCGCTTCCAAGCATTTCATTGACACAGGCGCTGGTGTCATCGATGCCGATTACCGCGGCCAGGTCAAGGTCCTGCTCTTCAACCATAACGAATCCGACTTTGAGGTGAAGGAGGGCGACCGCATTGCTCAGCTTGTTCTGGAGCGCATCTACACTCCCGAGGTTGTCGAGGTCCAAGAACTCGAGGAGAGTGTCCGAGGCGCTGGTGGCTTCGGCAGCACTGGTTAGATCGTCGTGGAGGATATGCCGACTTCTCTTCTGCCGAGTTTCATGAATTAATGAATTGGGTTTTGGGCCAATGCAATAGACCTACTGTACACAGTTAAAGAAGGTTGATTATGGAAGAGAAGCTATCCGAGTGATTATTTAACCCTGGACGATAGATGTGAAAACCTTGAATGGATTCATGATCAGGCGTCTATTCCACAACCTTTCTACCCATTTCTATTTAATCTTTGCTGGTTTCTACTATAGTGGTCATTGTAACCTTGGACAATCCCCCTCCCCTTAGATCTAAATGGCCTTCGCAAGGTATTGCGTCGCGGGGGAGCGTAGGCAGTCCAGATTCCTCACAAGTTGAAGCTCTGCCGCCTTGCTCTTTACGAGGTGCGCCTTAGTTTGGTCAATTCGATCCTCATCTTTCATGTCGTCCGTTGTTCGTTCAACCACCCCCTTCATGCCCTCGCAGGTCTTGGATAGAACCTCATGCATACTGCCTAGGACCTTTTCTGCAGCGCGCGCAAGGGGTAGCTCAACAGCCGATACCGAATCGTCGCTAAGCCAGCTGGCGGTATGCCGCAGCCGCTCGTCAGCATTGAAGACAGCCTCACGCATGCGGATTACCATAAGAGCGCCAAACATGTCGCCTGTACCACTGAAATAACAATCGATTGATGGGAAGACAATCTTGAAAAAGCGAGCTTTGCCAGTAGATGTCATGGTTGAACCAACAACAGAGAGATGCGAAGGCGGATGGTCTGGCGCCTCAAGGTTGACTGAAGTAATGACGACATGAGGAATCTTGTACTTGTCGTGGAGCACTTGGATAGCCTTTCGGAGACTGTCCATGTCATGGATTTTGACTTCCGAAAGCAGCCTTTTCGTAAGAATTATTAGTTGGAATCTCTAAAATCTCGACAAATGCTCTTAAACATACTCGGCCTCGAATTGGTTTGGAAGAATCAGATCCGCGTCGTGGATGAGCCTCTTGTATGCTGGCACCACTTCCTCGGAGACGTAGATCTTTCCATTGTCACCCATGACGGGATCGAGAGCCCAGAAGAACTTGCCAGGTGCTTTAATTGACTTTTCCTTAAGTTCCCGGCCTATCTTACCGACCGTATCGACGGCTTCAGCGCCTGGGATATATCCAGAAAGCATAACATCAAAATCATCCAGGTACGACTGTTTCAGTCCTTCCCAGAGATCCATGATCTCCTGTGCTGAGACTCTCGTTCCCTTCCATTGCTTATATCCGGTATGGTTGCCTTTACAGGTGAAGTCCGCGAGTTAGAAACCTGGTTTATTATTGCACTCCATCGATCGAGATGACATGAATACTCACTGAACTGTACAGTGTTGAGAGCTGCGACATCACATCCCAAAGACTGTAGCACAAAGACGGCAATCTTGTTACCGACATACCTAGTGCATGTAAGTCACTGCGACCCCGAGGGGGAAAAGATAGTTACCCAGAGACAACCTACAGCAACGACCTATCAGCCTCGGCTCAAGATGTTTGAAAGTGACAGGATATTTGATGGCATACATACATGGCTTGCCACAGCGAGAACCCGCGTATCGGGTATTGTTGGGGTGATGGACATGTTACCAAAAGCACCAGTTCAATTCCTCGATCTCTTCTTGATGTTCTGCAAGCGTTCTGAATAGAAGTCTACGCAAGCCTAGGCAACCCAGGATTTTGCTTGTGTGAGAGACGTCACTGAACAAAACCTCTCAGTCGGCGTCAGCGGACGATTCTGCGGTAGAATCCTAAGACACCGGAGCTTAGATGAAATGGGAAGCCTGAGCGTTATTTGTGAAGATCGAAGGAACAGAAGAGAAAATCCGTCGCTGACTCAAGGAAGTAAATCAGTTCTAGAACTCGGTTGCAGCGTCTTTTGAGCTGTATATCGCTCGATATTAGTCACGAGTTAACTTGAAGAAATCGGGTTAAGCCTGGAGCATCAACAAGCTACCTGTATGTACAAATGTTGGAAACACAAACTTCAGAATACCTACCTACTTGCCCAATATCGGTCTGAATAATGAAACGAGCAATTGGCTCAATTGCAGCGAGGATAGACAGTATTTTCTCTACCCTTTTGAGCTGATAGCGAAAGGCTACCAGTGACTTCCATTTGGTCGTGTGCCCCGCCAGCCTCTGCTACGATCCATTGTAATCATTGCCCCGCAGCAGGCTTCTTTCCTAGACCAATTAATAACTCTGGGTAATGAGTAGTAAGGAATGGCTTCAGGTATACAGTTGTTGTCCCTCCAGGAGCAAGAAAACTTCTAATCTTGAGGTATAGTGCCAAAAATAATTAGTCTGAGTTTACCTAAGTCTTGCCACTGAGGATAGAGACCCTAAGTTCTCTTGCCTCCCTTTGGCTGTAAATAAGATAGCTTCAACTTGCAACTTGGACTTGCTTCGAATATACGATACAACACCGTGCGAACTGACTAGCAACGTGGAACAATCAGGTTGCTTAGTATCGGAATGTGACGCTAGGTAACCTGGCGAATGGCACAGTAGAATCATGCAGGCATAATTTGTGCCAAGTCAATATCAACTTTGATAAACACGATCTCATATTATCATTTATCGTCATGGTCAACAAGGGACTAAAGCTCCTGACTTGGCATCCTTGTATTCCCTATCTAACCTGTTCGTTTACATTCCTTTCCCTTCGCACACGCCTTTGATGCCTAAAGTAAGGCTTCCAAGAAGCAGGCAAACTTCTTGGTATCCGTATTTTTTGCATTGCCCTCTTTGACATGTGCTCCGTCGGAATCGCTGGATGGTATCATTGCAACCGCAAGCGCCGAGCTTCTGCCATGTAGCAGGATGGTGTCGTATTGCATCATGGCACTCTTCTACTCCTCATCACCAATCTTAGGCGCAAGATAGAAACGCAGATGGCTTTGACCCTGAAGATCGTATTCAACCAAGAGGGGCACTTCATTAGAGAGCTTGATCTTGACCTGCTCGGAGAGGCCAGCAGCCTTGCAGAAGTTGACCAGGTACTTAAGGGAGAAGGTGAGGGCGACAGGCTCGGTCAACTCAATCGAGACACTTTGTTTGGGTTTCTCGACATCCTCATGGCTTCGAAGAGTCACTGAGCCGTTACCAATATCGCCATTGCATGCGAACTTGACACCGTCCTTGGAGGCCTCGATCATCACTGCCGAGTCAAGTGTTAGATAACAATCCAGTAGCCGAACATGACGCGAGCCTTGCAAGAACTAACCTGATTCTGACATAGCCATCAAGTCGGTACAGATGCGACGAAACTCGCCAGAAGGCATCGCAATTGTAGCAGCATACTCGGTGTCGGGAATGCCCAGGTGCTCCTGGTCAATGTCCATGAGCTTGAGGTCATACTCGCTGATGCGGTCGTTCTCAGGGCTCTCGAATTGCATATTCAGCACATCAGGGCCATCCTCAGCCTTGAGCGTGAGCACGTCGTTACTCTGAGCAGCGCGTAGGACCTTGGTCAGGGATGTGAGGTTGACACCGAGGGAGATGTTGCGGTCGCAGCGGAATGGCTCGAAGGATTCAGCAGTAAGCATCATGGAAACCAAGGCAACATGGGAGTTGTCCATGGCCTGCAGCTGAATGCCACTGTCATTGCAGTCGAAGTTGCAATCTTGGACCAGATCCTTGATTGCATCGACGACTTTCTTCAGAAGATCAGCTTGAGCGAGTCGTGCTTCCAACATATCTGTTTATCGGTTAGCATACCACTGATACATCTCCTCACGAGACGTGAAGCTGCCACGCATATATAAAAAGGGCGGGGTGTTCGTTGCTCGGGGTGACTGACTGATTGAAAGGTTTGTTGGCAAATTGTGGCTAGATACGGACAGGGAATATGAGCAAAGGATAAGTGAGCGGAATAGCTCGCAAAGTAAGGTGTGTTATGGCTATGGAAGGAGTATGGGAGGTTGTCTGGTGGATGAAATGCAAGATGCAGATAGCAATGTGCTTTTGTCGCGAAATTGCTAGGCTGCTTTACGCTAGCTGGCAGGTGGGGAGCCACTTAACGCGCGACCATCAAACAACCGACGCGTCGCGTTTTAGGCGGACGCTTGTCATCGGTAGAAAATTGGAAAGCACCACTATTCACTAACTCTATATAGTCTCAGGGAGAAAGAAAACTGAAAAATTATCCTGAGTGATGAGCAGCTTTAGGTGAATTTAGTGTAGACTAAGCAAGTCTTTAGACTAGGTAGGTAGGTAGTTATTCTAATCACTTATTCTAGAGATCCTAAGTTCCAATACCGAGATTATGTTTTCTATATCTCGATACGTATATATAAGATCATAGCTTGAGAGGGATATGTTATTCCAAAATATGGATGGATGCCCACCTTAGTACCTAACTGAGAGGTCCTCGATCCTTTGGTCCTCGATCCTTTGGCCCTCTATCCGACAGGTGCGAGTCGCAGAAGTGTCTTTGTACCCAGGTAGACTCTCAGGCTCTTTCCAGTTCTTCAAGCCACTAGGTACTTACCTACTAGGTGAGTAGGTACCGGTACCTAATTATTGTTACCTCAAGGCACCAATGACCGATAGAGAGAAATGGTGCCAAAGTTGTCCATAAGGATTGTCCAATGACCTGTTATGTGTACGGTAATTAAGTACCTACTTAGGTAGCTATCATACATATGTTACCAAGAATAAGTTCTCCCTTCATCATTTACATTGAACGAAATAGATCGGTAAACAAGACCGAATGATTTCCCAGAAGACCGGCTTGTAGCGCATATGTCTTGCGGCTATCTTCCATAAGGGCACATTGGTGTGTGATTCTATGTCGTCCAAAACCTGATCGCCTAGAATGATGATAGTGGGCAAATAATACAAAACCAAGATCCCCAACCCTGAACCTGAAACGCCGCAGCCATCCATGGCTTGTCTATAGAATAGTGTCGTTTATAGAGAATTGTGCGTGTCGTCGTGACGCTACCTGTGCTTGACATATTTATCTGTCTGTGGAGCTCGAATGTGAATTTTTCATAAGTCGATAGCAAGAATAAAAAAACGGTTCGGTGTCGATTCAGACGATTGTTTTGTACTTGGTGAAGGCGGGAGAAGGCGATTGAAAAGTGTTGAAGATAATGATCGTGATGTTTGTTTCATAAAACCGATATCCCTACATTGACACAATCCGACCTGCTGGTGCGCTGGCACGAGTTCGAGGTCGTAGGTTAATAACTGTCTCTAGCTCCCGAAGCATACCCTTGGTTGCATCAACGTGCTGTCGGGCAAGAGCCTTTTGTTCTCGTTCCTCCCGAACCTTGACTATTCTTTCTTCTCGAGTGAGCATGCTTCGTGGTCGCGGGAGAGCAACGGCTTCAAAAACTTCGGGTGCCTCCTGTTCCGTGGAACCAGCATACTCAGAACTAGGCGGAGACTCGCCTGTCAATGCTTTGAGAGCTGCAGCAGCCCCACCGTTCTCGTCTACAGTAGTAAGTCCACTAAGAGAACTAACAGGCGACAGCAGAGTACTCATGGATGAAAGCCTCTTCTCGTTTCTATCGATGCCGAGTGCCAAAGCAGCCCTGCCCTCTTCCCACGCGGCCATCAGGTCTTTCAGATCCATGCCGATGGACTCATATTGCGCCATTAGATTCGGTCCGAGCTCCGAGATGTCGTTCGAGTCGTTCAGAGTTCTGTCAGATTCTTCACGAAGCAGTTGCAGCTTCGCCTGTAGGCCCCTGATTCCGCTCGATAGTGAGTTAAGTTTCCGAAGTTGAGCTCTCCAGCGCTCCCGTCCAGGCGTAAGGGCATTCTTTGGCGTAGGGGAAGATGGAAAAGCTAGGGAAGCGTGAGCATGTGACTAATCGATGAGAACTTGCATCATATTCTTACTATCTTGCTCGCTGAGAATGCTCTGTAGCCTAGCATGAGCAGTTTGAGTTGAGCTGTTGACGCTCAAAAGAGACTCTACGGCCGTTGTCCAACGAAGCAAATCATTTGCATCACTGTTGGCATCCAGAGCAAGTAGGGCGCAAAGGAATAGTTTCCGTATGGTGGAGAATCGAGCAGCCAGAATTTTGAGGGTCCTCAAGGATTCAGGATCGTCCAAATCCTCATCGCTTAGTCCTTGACGGGCGTCTGACATGTCGAAGTCGGTAATGTCGTATATATCGTAATATTTTTCCAGGTCTGTTTGCTCCGCAAATCCGTTGACAACTGTACAAACCTGGTTGTAAGAATCAAGAACCTCTTGAAAAGAATGTCTCAGGGCTTTGCGCAGTCTGACACAACGCCGGGTTTGGGTACGGTCTTCTATACGGCTGATTGGTGGCAGGGGAGCGCTGCTGTAAATTGTTCAGTGCATGTGGTGGCAAGAAAATGAAAGACCTACAGTCTGTAACCTCGAGACACCAACTCGACTTCTTGTATGAGAGAGATAGCTGCACCTGACGCACTGTCAAAGTTGTGTGAGTTTTCGACGAAAGAAGTGATTTCAGACAGCGATTGCGATCTTCGATACCGGAGCCATTGTCGTTTCATGTAAACCTGGCCAAGCAGGACGGCCGCTGCGCAAAGCATGAGAAGAAAGACCAGCCTCTTCTTGGTAACACCACTGCCAAGAACCCAACTCAGAACAACCGCAACCGCAAGAGCGGCAAGAACTGATGCCAGAATTCCTTCCGTGGACAATAGGGATTCATCTTCGTTCATTGGCGGGCTAGGTCCCCTGTTATCTAGCTGCGACTGCCCCAGGCCCGAATGGCCACTTAAAAGCTGAGACGCAATGATGGTATATCGGAATTGTTCGAGAAATTTGGCGTTGTCAGCTCGGTCGATACTCGCTGCGACCGCGGCCTATGGCAAGTGGTTTTAGCAATCGTTGATAGGCTACACCAGTTCGAGGTGACGTACTGAATATTTCCTGCTAGCAGATCGCAATGAGGAGGGCTTCGGAACTTGTAAATGAAGCCCATTCGGAGCCTTATTCCGGAATCTTGGTTTAACCAAAGGTCGACCAGTGGGTGCGAAAGGGGATGGACTGGATGGTGGTGATGGGCTTGATCGACCAGCGGATGAATCGAGTTCGGGCGTTACTGCACCGGGCGCCCAGTCAGCCTGGGGCTCATCTCCCCCATCTTGGAGTATGTTAGTCCACATAAGGGAAGAGCGATATCGCGCGCAAGGGAGAATGATGCTCGCTCACCTCTGAGGTAGTCGGCGAACGGAGTCTCCTCATACACCACGGGCTCCATCTAGCTTCTCTGTGACGTCGTCGGGGTCGATAAGCAGTCACACAGAGCCATCGAGCGGTGCTGATCGATGCAGAGTGAAAGTGTCGTATGTGATATCTTGTTGCGATGTTGATTAAACCAGTACGAGTGTCGTGTTCAGGAGAAGGCGACAAACAGTATGGACGGATTACGGAGTATTAGACGAGCGCGAGCAGGGACAGGCTGGTTCGTTGATGTTGCCAATTTAGGGGAGCTCCACGCTCACCGTAGTGGCCAGCCGGAGCCGCGGCAGGGATCGTGTGGCTATCAAGGGCCTGTCAAAAGCGCCGCAACCTTGACGGAAAGTATACAGACCCCGGAAGCTTGAAGTTTAGCCTTGTTAGGTGTAATTTCGAGCCGAACTGATACTATTTATGCAGTCAACCGTGGAAGACGTAATAAGGTGCAGGGAGACGCAGGGACGAACCAAGACACAGCGTATCAGCATACAGCAAAAGGGGGCTCTGGAGCTTTTGAACACATGTTAGCCCCTAGAGGAAGTGAGAAAACCCCAAGGACCCAAGCCCTGAAGTGACAAAATTAGTTGGGTAAGTCGAAGATGAACTCTAGGTGCCTTTATCAGTTTATTTTTAGACGTCCCTGAGAGCAAGAAAACTTCAAACATTAAGCTAGAATCAAATATTCTGAAGGCCTGCTAAGATATGCTAAACTTATTTAAGTCTTTTTGTAACCTGCCTTAGAATAGAGATCCTTAGTTTTCTTGCCTCCTCTAGGCACCCTATTCAAAGTCTCGAGTCTTGTTGCTCCCCTCCCCTCGAGACTTTATGACAGAGGCAGGAGACGCTAGATGCCGCCAGGGACTCGTTTGTGGAGCATGGTAGATTATGATTGATAACGCCTGAGGCATTCACTTAGTTACCTTAGCTTATGGAACTCAAAGAACCTGGGGTAATATCATTTTTCTCATTGGCCACTTGTGTGTGGGCCAAATGCTCCAAATTGAAAGTTCTCTCACCCACCACCTTTTCCTACCAGTACCTAGGTGCCTTACCTTCCAAGAAACCAGCTCTAACGTGAATTTCGCGCAGAGCATAAGGTACCCACGATGCTGACATGAACCGAATTCCGATATTGTGTCCCGCGATTCGAGGAATTCCAATGCTTCGACGATGCACTATCCCTCACTGTACCGGCGCTCGGGTGTGTGCCCTGCCGCAAGCTCACCAAGTGGCATCTGGATCGCCAATACCCTATTAGCCCGAGCCATTCAGCGATTCCAACGCTTCGATCCGATTCCTAGCCGATGCTTGAGCTCATATGCCGGGCCTCTCGAGAGCCGACGTCGTTTGGGCAAGCGACATATGGTTGTCGTTGTTCCCAATTCTCATGCTTCACCCTTTCCTTGGAGGATCGAAGTGCCCGTTAATCTCGGCGAGTGGACCTGGGAGGCTCCTGTTGCACCGAATGACCGTCATAAAAAAAGGATTGGTCTGTTCGAGCGCTTTCTCAGGAACCTCGAGGACATGGGACACGAAAAAAATACCAACCTTGCAGCTGCTACACCACCACCGGTGGAGGCGGATCTGGTGCCCGCGGCAGTAACTCTCACATCAATAGAACAGGCCCGGGGTGATATGAACGAGCGACTCGCCAAATTTTACAAGTTCGAAGACGAAAAAGCACTGAAGAAGATATGCGAGCCTTATGTTCTTCAAATCTTGAAGATGGTCGAGGAAAGGACGATTTCCAACGACGACCTTATCCGGGCTCTCGATCCATTCGACGACCATCTCAGGCAACGAGCGCCGGCCAAAGTCCTTGATAATAGGGTTGCCAAACAATGGGTCTACATAATCCACGCTATGTATCGTACCCGGACCACCTCAACTGGAGATTTGTATGGGAGCCATATTTGGCACCAGTGCCTCAAAACAATATTGCAAATGGCACCCCAGCCCTCTACGTTCCATTGCCTTGAGGAGCTACTGAGATTGATTGCCCTATACGAAAAAATACAACTAGATACATGTGACTACCTCGACCTAATGCATAACCATAACCGACTGGAAATGGCACAGGGCGAACAATATCCTACACGACCTATATCATTCCGCCTCTTGCGCCGCAGTATGCAATTGACTCGATTAATTTCTGCCCGAGGTCTGACGCGAATGGAGACATTTGAAGCTTTGACCAAACATTGCTTCCAGTTCGTCGATGAGACCACAGACCAACGTACGTTAGCTTTTCAGCTATTGTTGAAATTGGCGGCAGTTCCAGGTCTCAAGGCAGATGAATTCTCTACCCTCGCAGGCAATGTTCACAACATGCAAGATTGGGCAGAATCAGAAGTTTGGCAATTCATGGCTATTCGTCTTATGAGCACGACGCAGGGAGGAATACGGCCTGAGCAATTATACAAATGGATTACCGGGCCTACACAGTTACACTGCTGGGCAGCAATGCTTCAGGACTCTCGTCATAGAGAAACCAAGAAACGCATAGCGAACTTGAGGGCGCTTACACATACCAGTGAAACCTTTGGACGCCTTGATACATTGATCAAGTCGATTCGACTGGTGAGCGATCATCATGGGATTATAAAAGATATGATGAAGATGGAGAAAGACCCGTATTGTGCCGTCATGCTTTGGGAATCATATAACGCAGGAGCGTCAGTTAAGCATAAATTCCCTTGGTACATGTGGGCACGACATGCAGAAGCCATAGTAACGCATCCGGACCTACCACCGGACCTCATCTGGCAGATCGCTGAATTTTGCTCATCAAAGACTGCTACCCGGCTGAAAGCCCCCATCGTACGGAATCTTGTGTTTATGATGGACTTCCTGGAAGAGATATGTCAGTTCTACATGAAGAAACCCGGCCTGACAACCCGACAGCGCCTAAGATATATCGAGACCGCAATCAATTGGGGCAAAAGGACTGGACAGCACATGTCACAGCCCGCGATACAAATTCTAGCTGAGATTCTGCTTCAAGATCTCGAGGAGGGTAAGATGGGCCGCAAGACACGGCTTCGATATTTGGTCAAAAAGATTAGGCATTTCTATGGAAAAGAGCAGGCAGCAAAGGTTGCCGTCTCACTTGATGGGTGGAGATGGACCAACAGGCGTAGAAGAGGGGAGATGCCACGAATGCCAGCGCCAACGAGGAAGGCGCATTTCAAATCAGAAGAACCGACCAAGGAGCTCCTAGAAGATTCAATGCAACTAACTCTGGAAGAGAGCCTGAAAAGACCCCTTCGACAAGCATGGGAGCAGACCCTGCCACCCATCGGACGAGTTAGGTACGACATCGAGAGCAAGGAAACACGAGAAGACGAGGACAACAGGGTGGAAGATGACCGTACTTTGGAATCTATCATGAAGGCTCAACGACGAAAGGCAGAGGCCAACTCCGCGATAGGTTCAAGCTTTTAGGTAATGCATGATGTGGTTCTTGTTAACATATAATACCCCAAGGAGAGAAGAAGAAAGAGTATTCCATCAATTTTGATGAGAAAAGTTTAAAAACGCTGAGCGCCTCGTGAACATAGGTCCATGTGGAACTTGGCAGAACCCATAGGCCCGAAGAATAAAGGAACGAATACGAACATAGAATCGCCTATGCGGCAGTAGACAGCTTTTGATACGCATGCCTGACAATCTTTTTAGGGATAATAGATAATTTGGATTGATGTGATGCAAGGCAACTTGCAAGAACAAATCAAAAGACGTATCAGACTATTGACGAAGAAATCATGAGACCGTGTCATTATCAAATCTAATTTACAGCTGGAATTCAATAGATACTGCAAATCTCCGGCGTCCATACATTAAATGTCATTACAGACACAAATAAATAGCACAAGAAAAGCAAGAAAATATCATAAGACGTGTGAAATCGAAGAAGATTGAACCGCCCTTGATCAACCCATACATGACGTGAAAAGGAGATAGGGAGAGCAAAACATAAAACATAAAACTGAGAACGTGAGACCCTTTCCCCTTTCATGCCCAGACCAGAAACAAACAAAGAAAATCCTCGCTAGTATTGCGTTTGTCCCCAGAATTCCAAAGCCCAAAACACCGCCTATATCCTTTTCCCAAGTGGTATCTTCCCATATCCTGTATCCCTTAATCTACATAATCTACCTCAGTTTGACCCATTGTCTCAGTCACAAGACTAATATGACTCCGAGCGCCGATAGAAGTGCTCCCACCATCACTTGCGCCACCGAACAGACCCTTGGAGCGGGGCACAAGAACCTGTGCAGGGCATACCACTATCTCTTCGTCGCCCTTGCCATTATCATCTCCCTTTTTGACGACAAGTGGGAAAAGCACAACCCGAACAATGGCACCTTGTGCCTCAAGGTCTTCATTTGAGGTTGTAATGCTGCCGCTTCGTTCGTTCATCATTGATGCGTTGAATTGAACTGTCGCGGTAAGTTCACCGTCCGCGTCGTATTCAGGGCGCAAAGGCGGCAGCATCATATATTCAGCTTTTTGCGTCCGCATCTCGATCGAGAGACCAACGGCCTCTCTCATGACACGTCGTAGCTGAGATTGAATTTGATCTTCCAAGTTCGACGGTGGTGGGAGGATCTTACACAGTGTTTGGAAGATGGCCTGAACAACAGCCTCTGTATCCAGATCACGTTGACGCTTGAAACTTTCGCGCTTCGCCAGTAAAGTCAAGGTAACGGCGCGCCATTGGCGTACCGCTTCGATAGGGCCGACTTCGGTCAGCAGCTTCTCCAGTGACTTAAGCTTCTGTCTCTGCTCTCTGTCCATGCCAAAAAGATAGCGAGTAAAGACAAATTCCCAAACCATGTTCATGGTCATGGACATGAAGATATCGCGTCTCTTCACACGGTCCCGGAGATAAACGTCGACGTCGGATCCATCAAGTACGGCGTTGTCGAGTCGATCAATTGTCTTCTCATCATTTATCTCGCTTGTTAAGCGGCAGGCGCGCATATCAGAGAATTTGGAGAACCGAAGCACCCATTGCTGAACATGGGAACAAAGTTGCTGGCAACGATGGTCGAAATGATCCTCATCGCGGATGTTGAGAAAATGGTCGTCGCCAGCCTTGGCTTCTAAAATCTGGCGCTGAAGGTCACGGATTTTCTCTTTGGCAGAATCAAGTTTGGCGCGAAGCTCGGCAATTTCTGCGTCCTTTGCTTCAAGAGACTGTTCAGTGTTGCCTTTCTCGCGTCGAGCTTCTTCTAGCTCACGCGCGACAGCGGCATTGCGACTCTCAAGATCAGTTACACGGCCATTGTCTTTGCTTGCAAGCTCGGCGTTGGCGCTTGCAAGACCGTCGTTAACTTCTGTAAGTCTAGAGACTTCGTTCTGAAGAAATTGTAATGACTGCTTGAGATTGTCGATTTCGACATCGCGATCGGCTAAACTGCTGGCAGCTCGTTGACTAAGGCTCGTCTCAGCCATAGCGCGGGCTTCTGTGAGCATTCGGTTCTCGGCCATTAGCTGCTCGACCTTATTCTCGAGTTCGAGAACCTGCATGCTTTGTCGGCGGCGCATGCTGTGTGGCCGGGTTGGTGATCGGGGTGAGCCGATGCGACCCTCACCGAAGCCATCCTTTGTTATTGTTAGTGCCATATTACATTAAGATAAAAATTGGTGATAGACTTACATAGACGTCGGCCATGTCCTTGGCACGGGCGCGACCCTCATTTGCGACAGGCGTGGAACTGATGGGTGCGGCGGCGGTGGTGTTTTGTTGACGTAGAGCCCGCAAATCACTGCTCATTCGCTTGTCAACACGGCGGAGCGGTGGTGTGGGGGTGCCTGACGAGCGGTTGATGCCTGGGCTATCAGGCCTCAACTTAAGCGGCTCCGGGGTCCGACGCCGAGAGAGGCTGGTGTTAGAGACAGTTCGACGTCCGGAACCCTCGAGACGAGGTGTTGACCGACGAGAAGGAGTGGCATTGTCTGAAGCGCTTCTCTGACCAGAAACTGATGATGAAATCGGGTTGGAATTCGTAGTCGGAATTGGAATTGGTGTTGAAGGCTCACGTCCTCGTAGGGCTGCCGCTAAGCCCGCACCCGCTGCAGCGGCGGCGACTGCCGTGCCAGCTGGAGTTAGAGCCCCATATTGTTTCTTCTTTTCTGGCTCCGGTGTTGGTCCAGGTACTGCAGGCTCTCGCAACACCGGTGTGCCTCGCGGAGATCGACGAAGTCTTCGCTCGCTCGGTGGATCGGGAGTTTGCAAGACCGCGCGGTCTGCAACTGGCTGTATCTGACTTTCCCTTTCAGCCCAGTCTTCGGTATGCACTCCACTGTCGCGTGAAGCCTCTTGACTAGCAGGTTTGCTTCGCCTTAGAGTTGCTACCTCCCCTCCAAATCCGCTGTCACGATGTGCCTCTTCACTCAAGCGTCTACTTCGTCTCTGGAAGCTCAATGCTTCACCAACAGGAGCGCTGTCGCGTTTGGCTTTTGGTGTTGAGAATGCATCCTTGGCTGGCTCAACTTCGGCCTCGGGAACCTCTGGGACTGGCTCCAAGAGTCTGCTTGGTGATCGTCGTAGATCACTAATGTCCGATTCCGATCCCACCTGTGGTGTAAATGTCTTGCTGTCCTCTCGTAACAGACCGCTTTTAGGCTCCTCAACGTCAGATCCACGACGAAGAAGAGGCTGGGGGGAGCTTCTCAACAGCTCCAACTCTCCTTTGCCAAGCACCGGACTTTCCATCGTGTCTGACGTTTCTGCATATAACTGCCGCGAAGTTGATTTGCGCTCTTTCTTCGGGTTTGTTGAAGAACCTTCAGATGTGCCACGAACTTCCGATGTTCCCCCGTAGCTCTCCGAGCGCCTACTCTTTCCTGGCGCATCGAACAACATCTCATGAACAGACGATGTGGCATTGTTTGTCTTTCTTGAAGCTTTTGGTTTTCTCTCTGCCAGTTCGCTTTTGTCTTTAGCATCTGTAACAGTGTCACGATGCCTTTCCTTGTGGTCAGCACTACCACTAGCGAAGTTTCTTTCTGGTTTCTTCCTCCTCGCATCCTGGACTTCTCGGTGCGTCGGGGTTTCTCCCTGTGTCCTTTTGTCAATATCTTTCGCAGTTAATTTGGTGTCATTTGAGCCTTTTGTTGCTGCTTCCACATCATTTTGCGGTTCCTTGTTCCTTTCTTCCACTGTCTCATCCCTGCTTTTGGGTTTCTTTTCTTCTTGTCTTGCGCCTTTACTCTTGTCGCCTTCTGTCCAGTCCCCGAACATGGCAGAGCTGAACGTTGCGGCAGTGGCTGCAATCATTCCAGCAAATGTCGATGTACTGGGCTTGCTGGATTTATGCAGGTCTGGTTCATCTTTCGAAACGTCCGAGGTGGCGACTGTAGCCTCTGGAGGCTGACCCGTAGGTTCTTTTACGGCTTGTGGGCTCGCATCAGGAGATCCTTTCGGAAATATGGAAGTCGACTCGGATTCTCTTAGGGTCCTCTTTCCCTCTTTTGCATCGAAGTTTTGTTGTGGTGATGATCTGTCAGTCTCTTTCAGCTGTGTTGCCTCATTTGCAAGTGAAAACTGAGCATCTCGATCAATGGCAGATGCATGTTCCGATGAGACTGATGGTCCAGAGGATCTCGCTTCCAAGCCTAACTTCCGGGCTTTCTTCATTTGTTTCTTCGACAACTTGTCAATAGATTTGATGTCACGCAGCTCTGTCGCTGTCGCAGTCAAACTTGATGGCCCATTGGAGTGACTGCTTCTCTCTTCAGAGGTCATGTCTCTAGAGCGTACATCTCCACTCGATTTTATCTCCTCCGACCAAGCCGTAATGGAATGACTCGTGGAAGCTGGCGTCATCTCCGTATCCTCGTCCACTGTATCATGTACAAGTGTAGTTGCGGGGATATGTCGCAGGGTGGGAGTTGCCACAGGGGATTCTGGGGCTATGTGACCATCTTTTGTCGGAGCGGGAGCGATATCACTTGTTCCAGGACCTGATGCAACTTGAACGGCTGTATCTGGCTGACTTTCGATTACCAATTCGGGCTGAAAAGGCTTGGCATGGATTAGGTCACCGTCCTGTGGCGGCTTGTCTGTTTCTTCTTTATTCCCAGGTTCCGTCTTGACCAGTATTGGCTGTAAATCATCTAACACTTCCGTTGTCGCAAGCTCTTTGGAAACTGGGGCATTCGGTTCTGAGAGAAGGTAGTTATTGACAGGATCGCCAGAAACAACTTGATTAGATAGCATTCCTTGATTCCTTTCTCTTGCTGCTTCGATAGATCCATGATCCGTTTGCTTCTGCTTCTTTTTCTTTTGGGCCAACTTTACGAGCGGATCTTCTGCGGCAGCAGGTGAAGGTTCAGTGAGCTGTCTTGGCGAGGGCCCAACAGATGCATTTGCCTCAACCTGCGCCAGCGACGGCCCGCCTTTGCTAAAAGCAGATGATTCGCCTGTCGATGTTGGGGGACTTTGTGCAGTTTTGACAGTGGAGTTTCCAGTACCAAAATCTTGAAGGAGGACATCCGCTTCTTCCTTCTCGGCGACAGTTAAATCAACAACAGGGTTGTCCCTGTACTTGTTTTCAAGGTGTTGCTTTCCTTCTGTGGCCTGATGCGGTGCCTGATCGGTCCCCGGGACCTCGGGCACAAGTGAGAGGTTTGGCATAACTTCCTGGGCCCTATCAAGTTTTGAATCATCCAGAGTCGACTTGCTGTCAGAAGCTCGGGGGAACTCGGTGCGCGTCCGGCTTGCTAGCTCTGGGGAAGCTTTCTCTTCTGTGGTTAACGTCTCAGAAGCGTAGCCCGTCTTTATGTTCTTGTCATTCTGGAAATGCGGTGTGGTTGAGTCTTCCATCTGAGCAGCTTCCTCAACTTGGTTTGATGGTACATTTGATTCGTCAGGCACAGCGGGGTGACAGTTACTCTCGATCTCAGTTGCGGCTGTCATAGGCTTTACCCCGTATGGTGGTTCTGGCTCCGGGAAGGCATCGCCCGACTTGGCTAGTGCTGCTCTGTTATCAATCCCAACCTGGTCAGTGGTTGGAAGTCCGGTTCCTGGCTGGGTTTCATGAGGATCGTTCAACATTGCATCAGCAGGCGTTGGCTGGTTTTGAATTTCCTGTTGTGTTTGGGCATCGTCCAAGACTGCACAGTTTTTGTTGACATCGCTTAGTACGAGAGGAGCAGTGTTTGAATTCGGCTTCGGCTGCTTCTTCTGTTCTTCCTTCTCTGGGAGTATGGCATTCTCATCGCCTGGCCTGATACCGACAAGATCTTCCTGGAACAGCTCAGCTTGTGCATCAAATGGAGAAACATCTAAGGTGTCGTTTCTTGAATCAGGGATATCTGTCGCTGATCGCGTTGTGGCATCGTGCCGAGGTTCTGTTGACTCAAACTCCAGGTCCTTCAAGGTTGTGAGTGTGCCTGTGTGCATAGATTCATCAGACTCTTTGACAGAAACGACTCGTAGGCCAGAGTTTCCTTCTGTGTCCAGATGGGACCTGGAAACCTCAACTGAGTTATCAGCGTTACTAAGTTCAGCCAAATCAAAGCTCATTGCTTGTTTGGGGGGTTCTTGTGGAACGTCAGGTGCTGGATGGTCGATCATGGTTGGGGAGTGATCTGTTGATGGAGCGAATGTAACCGCACTATACTTGTCCCAGGACCTGCCGTCTATTCGATGCTTTTGAACAAGCTCAGCAGAAAGAAGGCAAGCTTCGTGGTCCGTCTCAGCCCTAGTAGAATTGGCTGGCTCATCGCTGTAGACGAAACTCTCTGCTGGAACAAGGGCAGGCTCATCGTGTTCCCTGGTTTCCTTGGTCTCCTCTGGCAAAAAGTCAGATGCTAGAACTGGTGCCACTTCATCACTGGCTTCACGTGTTTCCTGTTGTGACAGCGTCTCTACGGCACATCTAGCGCTGACAAGACCCGCATCGATCTCTGGAATATCTTTGGACGAGTGCTCCAAATCTGGAGGTGTTTGGCTAGTGAGCTGCTCTGTTTTCACTTCTTGATTCGGCTTGCTCTGCGGCGGTGATTCCCATTTTGACGCGATAGTTGATGGAATTGGCACGCCATCGCTTCCCGGCTCCTGTTTGTTTGCATTCTCAGTCAGCAGAGAGCCATGAACGTCTTCCTGCATATTAGACGCGTGTTGATCCTTTCCAGAAAACACGGGTGTCTCTGCTATGATTTGTGTCTCGGTCAAAGCCTGAACTTCGTCGTCCGTCTTTGTGTCGCTGCTCGGTTCCCTCTTGGTTTGTTGCATCGGAGAAGGTCTAGTATCACCATCCAGCGGCTTTTGTTGATCTAGCTCAGTCTCGCGGATTGATCGTGTCTCAGGTGCAGGTGCTGCGTCTGCGAGAAAGCCCTTGTGGATGCCATCATTGCGAACCTCGAAGGTCGTTTTCTTCCCAACATTGTCTTTACTAGTAGATGTCCTTGGCGCCTCCAGATCTTGCGCAAGTTGTCCACCACTATTGTCACTAACTGATTCGATTTGAGATATAGGAGGGCTAGTTTCGGACACAAGTTCGGGCAGAGGTTTGCTAATTGAGTGAGTCGGTTCAAAAGAAGGCTGAATGATTGGGTCGAGACCCATCTTTCTTAACTTCTTTTTCATCTTCTTCCTGTCCTTAGAAGGAATGGCTGCCCACTCCTCGGCGGTAAACTCATTCTCAGCTTGCCGAGGGCCTGAGGAATGAGGATGCTCATCACCTGTAGTGTCCATCCGCTGGTTTGGAGAATCAGGCGAAATCGACCCTGGTATTTGTCGAGACCGTGGATTCGCCGTCGCGAGACCCTCGGCCACTTGGTTCTCATCGGCCTCATTGACTGGTTCGGAATCTTGGACGCCTACACTATCCAATGATTTGAGTTTGCGATGAGAAATAGCAAGCTCATGAGATGGTGCAGAAGAAGATTCTTCATGTTGAGATTCGGAAGAGGGTTTTGTTGTCCTCTCCTTCGTAAATTGATCTTGTTCCTCATTTTCTATGTCGACAGCAATCTGAAGAGGGATCATTGATTTGGATTCTGCGGCAGATACAGGGGAATCAGAGGCTCCCAAGCCTGCCCTTGGGTCAGACGTGGATGCAGCAGTAATTACGGAGTTTGCTGGAGGATTTGCAGGTGTCATCAATTCATGAACGACTGCGAGGTTTGGAGCGATGTCGACGTCAGCGGGTTTGCTTGGCTCCTCCACCTGATCGACATTTTCATTGAGAGCCTCCTGCTTGTTCTTATTCTTTTTCTTTTTCTTCAACTTCTTTTTCTCTGCTGGAGACAAACTTTCAAAGGCCTCAGTCATGCCGTGGTCAGGGTCTGCTGAATTCTCTAAAAAGAAAGAAGTAGCTGTAGGTGCTCTCTCTGGACTGGAAGCATCGGTAACCTTTTGAACGGTGAGCGGGATAGGTGGAGTATGCGACTGTTCATGAGCCTGTTGAGAGGTTGAGTTCGGCAACTTGGGCTGGGCGGGAATATCTGACGCTTGTTCAGTGGTGTCTGGCGGTGAAGGGTGGTCCTCGAAAGACTCTATGCCCAGGGGGGGTTGTTCAACTGCCTTCGTTGCAATCTGCTGTGGTGAGGAGGTGAAGACATCATAGGCAACGGTATCAGAAGCAGCTGTGTTTGTGACACTGGGTTCCCGGTTATGATCTGGTTTGCCTTCTTTGAGACCATGTAGAACATCAGTGTTTCCACTGACGGAGTCGAGCTCCGAATAGGGGTTTGCAGAAGCTCCAGAAAGCTGCGGAATAGACTCAATATTATCATCAGTCGCTTGTCCAGGGGCAATTTCATCCGCAGATCCGAGAGGTGCGCCTGTCGATATATTCTCATTTAACAAAGAAGACTCGAGCACCGTGGAAGCAGCAGCTTCCTCAGATAGGCTGACATATGTGCTGTCTGTCGTATCATTCTTTATTCCGAAAGAGAGCGAGGGATCTTGAATGAGCTCTTCCGTGAGATTTGGCTTGGCTGCGACATCGGCCTCTTTTCCCGCCTCAAATTTTGAGCCACAGACCTCAATCGTTTCAACATGTTCTTTGAGTGTCTGTCTTGGTAGAGCCCAAGATTCTAATGAAGCATCAATTTCCACCACGCTCTTCTGCTCAATTGCACTATTAGTAATTGGGCCTTTACCAAAATTAGCGACTTGATCCTCAGTATCAACCTCCGGCGCAGGAACAATGATATCCTGTCCAGGGGCTGTCTGTTGCTTAGACTCAAGGTGTGATCCCTGAATGCCGGCATCAGCTTCAGGCTTGGCAATAGCTTGTCCAGTCGGAGAGTGAATATTGGTGTTGTCCAGAGATTGAGTCTCATTTTTGGACTCAGATTCAGCTTCAATGACGGGCTCAATTATAGGTACAATCTCCTCAATCTCCGGGAGTCCTTCTTTCTCATTCTTAAAGTCAGGCTCTGGATCTGCCTCGGTAGAGCTTTGTGCAACAGGTTCGGATTGAACCTGGGGCTTTGGTTCAGATTCCAATCCAGTTTCAGCCGATGGTTCCGATGGTACCTCTTCAGAGGCTCCGGTTTCCTTGGGCGTCTGTGGTTTGGATGAGGAGTCCAAGGCAGCCAGAGCCTTGACTTTCTTCAACTTCTTGATCTGTTTTTTTGACAAGCCTGCAAATTCCTTATTGTCTTCTAGTTCCTGTCCCGGTTCCGATTCCGGCTCCAGCTTCGTCCCGGACCCGACAGAGGCTTCAAGATCGCCAGCTATGCTCGTGTCCTCCTTCCGTTTTGTACCCTCTGTAGATCCTTTGCTCTGGGCCTTATCCACGGCGGCGGCGGCGACGTCCTGCTTTTCCGGATCCGGAATCGTCTCCGGCTCCGTTGGACGGTTGGTCTCGGGGTCCTGCAGGATTTCAAAATCGTTGTCTTTAGCCTTCTTCTTTTGGTCGGTCTGGGATTGACTGAGGCTAAACCCACCCCGCTCGTCTTCAGGACCAGCTGGTTCTTCGCTTGGAAGCTCTCCGGAATTACCGGTATCTGGTACATTGATATGATCGGCTGAAGGAGTTATTTTATCCTCCAAAGGAACCGCTGTGTCAGATGTCTCGTTTTCATCGGTCTGCTTAGGGGTCTCATCGTGCGCGGCTTGAGGATTTTCGGCTGGGGCATTGATTCCAGTATCGACCGAAACGTCAGCATCCTGAGAAGAGGCAGCAAGGCCAGGCTCAGTTTCAGTTTCCTGGGTTTCTTCAAGAGCAGCCTTCTTCTTTTCGGCCTTCTTCTTCTTCTTCTTGTCCTTCTTTGACAGTTTCGCCGGTGAATCGGGTTCCTCGACTTTGGGAGGATTTTCGGAGGGAGGTTCATCGAGTGCTACAATATCAGGCCTGTCGGTGGCTGGTGTTGGTTCCTGGACAGAAGGGGTTTCTACGGTGGTCTTGGCATCAGCTGGCTGTGTCTGCTCATCATCTAATGGGGTAGTCTCGACAGTGTTTATCACTTTCGATTCCATGGGAGGCGACAGCTCATCTTGATGGACAGGCGTTTCTGTAGGCTCAATGCCACTTGACTCTGCAGTCTGGGCAACGTCGGACTCTGCTTCTTGCGAGGCAGAGTTCTTGGCTGTATCAGACTCAGGAGGTTCTTGGAGTGTGGATTCGGCTTCAGGCTGCTTCTCTGGCTCGTCAGAAGAGGCATTCTTCTTCTTTTTCTTCTTTTTCTTGCTCTTCTTATCGGATGAGGTCTCTGGCTCGGCCTCTTCCACAATAGCAGCCGAATTTGCTTCAGGGTGGCTTTCAATGGCCGTTCTCTCGTTTGCAGGCTCCAAGGGATGGCTCACAGCAGGGATGTCAGGCTGTTCGGCATCCTTTGGTGGCACTTCAATTGACGCCTCCTTGGCAACTGGTTCCGCAACCGGTACTTCGTTGACGCTGGCTGTAGACTCATCGAGACGCACGGGCTCGGATACTATAACAGGCGGTTCGCTGTTCTGTGTTGCTGCACCTTGAACTTCCTCGTTCTCAACAAGAGATACCGATTTCTTCTTCTTTTTCTTTGACTTCTTGCTGCTCGCCAGCTCTGAAGTTTCGCCTTCAGGAGCTTCTATAGCATCTTGAGGCTCGGCAGTCACAACCGTGTCAATAACATCAATGTTTTCCTCGGTCCCTTCTACAACCGGCAGGGACATTGCCGCCTCGGTGGTCTCGGTCGGTTGTCCAACATCATGAGTCTCACTTTCAGTCGAAACTTCATTGGCGCGGACTTCACTGACATCCGGAGGCCTGGCGGTAGGCACTTCCTCACTTGGGTGATGTTTGTCATTGTCTAGAGTGCCCTCGGCCTTCTTTGATGTGTCGATTGTTTCAGACTCCTGGGCGGGTCCTTCAGTATTGCTGAGGTCCATCGGTTTCTCAGAAACTTGCTCTTCGACTTCAGGGACAACTGGTGCCGCTAATCTTCGAGCGGCACTCTCTTCAAGGGCAGCAAGACGTATTTGATCCTTCTTCAAAAGACGCCCTTTTCTCCTCTCTCTCTTCTCCAGGAGAGCTTCGATCTCTGCCTTCTCGCTCTCTGCCTCAAAGCTCCCAACTGCGAGTGAGGGTTCTTCCTTGGCGGCTTCCACCTCTAGAGGATCAGCATCTGGTCTCTCTGGAGGCAGGGCTTCATCAAGAGCAAGTTGAGGGGAAACATCATCTGCGGCCGGTGGTAGCTCATCTAGTGAATGTTCGTTCACTGGCTTTTCGCTCTGTGCCTCGCCTCTTATTTCAGGCCCAGCTGACACGTCTGCTGTTTGTGATTCATCCCTGATATCAGGGACAGTTGAGTTGCCAAATGTGGGTGCCTGTTCTTCGGTATCGGGCCCCATTAGGAGATAGGTCTGCGAGCGTTCCTTAGACACAGCCTCGGACGATTCATCACCCATTTGGGGCTGTTCTTCAGCTCCAGGCTGAGATGACTGGCCATCGGCTTGAAGCTGTTCCTTCAGCTCAGATTTAGGTGGTTCGTCATTGATGTGCGCCAGTTCTTCGACCTTAGGCTTCACTGGCTCTTTTCCGATCCCAGATTGATCCGGAACGTGATGCTCCGCTGAGTGGTCATCAATCTGTGATCGTTCTTTGATTTCAGGTTCAGTCGGCTCAGCGTCACTCGGCAGCCGTTCCTTATGCCCATGCTCAGACACCTGATCATCAGTCTGCAACCGTTCACTGGTTTGCGGTGCCACTGAAGCAGTATCCAACGGTGACTGCTCTTGAGGTTCGTTCTCAACTGGCCTATCATCAGACGGTGGTTGGTCCTTGGCTTCTGGTTCGTCTAGTACGCCATGTGTCGACTCGTCATCAGGCTTCTGGTCGAGGAGAGCATTCTCAACAACAGAGTCAGAAGATTCAACCATGGGATCTGGCACCAGAATGTCAAGATTATTTCTGCCAGGCACTACTGCTGTTTCGGCACCTGATACGTCCTGGCTGATTTCAACGTGCGTAGTAGTATCTTTGGTCTCCTCCTCGGGAGCCTCATCCTGGCTAGGTTGGTTCTTCTTTTTCTTCTTGTTCTTCTTGGCCTTCTTCTTCAATCCCGTTGCGTCGGCTTCGTTATTTTCGCCAGTTGCTTCCACACTGGACTTCGCACTGTCTCCTCCAGTTGTCTTGCTGGCATCTTCTTTGGACACTTCTTCAGTGCTGGCTTCGACAGGCTTTGTGCTCAATTCTGAGCCTGCTTCAACAAGTCTCACGTCCTCATCCTCAACTGGATTAATAGGCTCTTCTTTGACAAGCTGGCCAAGATCAGCCTGAGCTGGTATTGTTGAGTCCTTGTACGTAGCCTCAGTGGATTCATGTGCCGGGGACTTATCATCAGCCGTAGTTATTGTCGAGGAGTCTTCTTGTTTGATTTCGTCGGACTTGACTTCAGTAGCCCCTGTTGCCTCCACCACGCTTGTTGCCGGATGACTTATGCCATTATCTTTTAACCTTTCGGCGGATTCCTCCTCAACAACCGAGATCGGGGCTGTCTCGGTGAGCTGTCTGTCCATGGTGGTAGTCACTTCATCCTCAGCAAGAATGTCGCGGTTAGCATCCCCTGTGGCTTTGACTGATTCGTCAACTTGAGAAGGTTCCAGTCCAAAAGAAGTTCCTTGAGATTCGTCTGCCGGCGCATCTCCTTGAGAGAAGAGTGGTTCCGAAATCTGGGCTTCTAATGTGGTGTGAGCCGCTTTGTTGGCATGCGTATCGGGAGCGGTCTCAGCAGCGGGAATGTCTGGCTCGATGTCGGCAACTTCTGGGTTTTCAGCGCTTACGCTAGTAGTCTCTTTATCCCTGGGAGCGTCACGATCGAGTTTCGGTGTAATAATATCAGACCTAGTGTCTGTTGCCGCTGACTTATCAGCACTTACTGCATCAGGCTGGGTCTGAGCATCAGGTTCAGGTTCGCCCGATTTATTTTGTGTCTGCGCTTGGTCCCGGAATCCCCACATCCTCTTGAAAGCGGAAATTCCAGCCGTGGCGGGGAGTGCACGAAGAGCAGATGGGAAGTATCCTTGGCTTTGTCTATCTTTTCGTGCATCTTTGGCGGAAGTGTGGGAATCACGAGCGGTCGGATGATAGTCGACATCATCTTTGGACTCAGGATCGTCAGGCTCGGGAGCCTCAACTGGAGAAGCCTTTTCACGATCAAGAACTTGATCATTATTTTTGGATAACAAAACAGGCTGTGAGTCCGGAGCCTCATCGTCTTGAGTAACATCGGCGGGCTCAGCTACCAGAACGGGCGGCTCTTCTATCAAGCTTTTGTTGGTATCCTTAATCGCTTCATTGTCTCCAGTGTCCTCAACTTGAAGAGGTTCCCCTATTTGAGGCATGTCTTGTTTCTCCACCACTGGCTCATCATCGGCTCTGGCGCCCTTCTTCTTCTTTTTCTTCTTCTTCGACTTGGGCGTAGCGGCGCTGTCACCCTGTGTTGATACAATCGGAGTTTCGGAAGCCGGGTCAGAAGTTTTCGTAGATTTATCCAGTGTCTTCTCTAGAGCATCTACGCTTTCAGCCATGGTATCTGGTTGGGCCCAGGCATCGAATGCATCTGCATCGACAGGCTCAACAGGGAACTCTGAGAGTGGTTCCACCATAGAACCTGAGTCACCATGAGCAACTGTTTCAGATGATTCAGCAGAAGGTTCAGTGGGCGCGACTGGCTCCGTCCAAGCATCAAACGCATCTTTTTCAGCTTTAGAAATTTCAGCTGGACCTGCGCCTTCAACCTCGGTGACTGTTGGCTCTACAGAAGTTGCTTCCTCTTCGGATGGCTGCTGCATCTTGCTCTTCTTCTTTTTCTTCTTACTCTTGGATGGAGACACCAGTTGCTCTTCAAGGGCCGTTTCTGCAATAGGCGAAGCAGTGATGGAGGTCGATTCCGCGGTAGCTTGAGCATTGACAGAAGATTCGATTACGGGTTCAGGCTCTATTAGTGGTACCACAGATTCGATGGCGTTGTCTAGCCCTCTTGGTGGCTCTTCCGCTTCCCGGTCCGCCAATAAGTTTGAATCAACTGGTTTGTTTTGCTCAACGACTTCCTGGGCCTCTTCAGACTGTGCGATCGTATGCTGTTCCTCATGCGAAGCCTCAGGCTCTTGGGGTTTCACGGCTTCAGTGGCGCATGGGTCGGTAGAAGGATCCTGAGAGGGTTGAGGTGTAGATTCGTGGGTGGGCTCGAGTTCAACCATAGCCGGCTTTGTTTCAGACGCTTCATTCACTGCGGCAGCCTCGTCGCCTGGGACGGCATGGTCATCCTTGCTAGCAGTGGGGACTAGAATGTTGAATGAGTCTTGAATGATCGGTTCAAGTCCCTTTTTCTTAAGCTTCTTCTTCATGTTTTTCCTATCCTTTGCGTTCATGGTTGACCACTCTTCGGTGGTAATCTCATTTTCTGCACGCTGGGCAACGGTGTCCTCAGGCTTTACGAACGGTGTTTGCGAGTCTTCAGTGGCAGGCTCAGTATGGGCAACAACAGCTGGTACGGATTGAGGCTTGGTAATAGGGCTGGTCATCCCGGTGTTGATGTCGCGAGCAGTATCGGTAGTTCGCTTTTCGTCCATAGGCTGGGCGGTGGACTTCGTCGTGGAATCGCTTACTGAAACTGCTTCAACAATGGGATCTGTGACAAATATGCTGTCCGGCGCGCTGGTGAATTCGGGATTTTCATAAGTAGTGTCGATAGCAGTTTTGGTGTTCTGGACATTGGAAGGCTCAACTATCTCAGAGCCTGTTTCCTCAACTGCTTGTGACGAAAGTTCTGGGGACAGTGCTGTGACATCCTCAACTGCGGACCCAACTGCGAGTCCTCGGGTGCTATCCTCTACCAAAAAGTCTGCAAGAATAGGCTCGAGGACTTCGTCAGTAGCACCAACAGCTTCATCTTCTTCGGAAGTTAAGGATTGCTTGAATGTGGTAACCTCTGCAGAAATTGTAGAAGAATTAGGTGCGGTCTCACTCGTGGCTTCGGTGACAGGCTCAACAGCGGGCTCAACAGCGGGCTCAGCAACGGGCTCAGTGGCAGGCTCAGTGGCAGGCTCAGTGGCAGGCTCAACAGCGGGCTCAACAGCGGATTCAGCAACGGGCTCAACAGCGGGCTCAGCAGTGGACTCAGTGACAGGCTCAGCAGTGGACTCAGTAACAGGCTCAGTGACAGACTTGAAAACAGCTTCTCCTGGTGACATCTGCTCTGAGTGACCCTCGAGAGCGTCCGAGAAATGCTCATCAGCAGATGTAAGGTCATCCGTTTTGTCTGCGGGTGAGTGAGTTCGTTGCTGGCCTTCCAAAAAAGCATGAGAAGCCAAGGCCACAGGAGCAGCCACAGCAGAAGCGTCAAAGGGCAACGGTGCAGCAGAGACGTCAGTTTCCATGTCCTTGCTGATGGCTTCCGCAGGTATCGGGAGAGAAGTTATCGGTTCCTTCTCATGCTCTCCGGCAGCGTCAGAGGGGAGAGGGCCTGGGAGCATGGGCATGAACTCCGCGCGAGGCGTTGTTTCCTGAGATCCTGCGACAGAGTCCTTAGGATGCTGCTCCGATAATTCGGTATCAACACGAAGATCAAGCCCGGTAAAGTCAAGTCCAGAGCCGAAATAATCGTCATTATGCTTGAGGAACTCGGATTCGGGTGAGTTCCTTGCAGAAGTCTCGCTAGGCTCACTAGGTGGGAGCGCAGGTAGCACTGAGCCAGTAGTTGGTTGTTGGTGTCGTGAGTGTTCAAGAAGATACAAAGGCATGATTTCTCGACTGTTGTCCCAGGATGTTGGTCGAGCTGCTCGCCTTGACATGACCACGGCATCCGAATGAGACGTTATAGGGGAACTAGCAGGGGACGCCTTGAAGCTAACAGGAGAGGCGGGGTTTGACCTATTACCCAAACGAAGGGCGATAGGAACAGCAGTTCGACTGGGTGATTTTGTGGGCGTGTCAAAAACGCTACGGCGTCGCTGATGAGTACGCGAATCTCGTCGAATAATACGCTCCTCTGGGGGTGTGTCAGGCCTGCTATCGGGAAGAGGGGGTAGTTCCTCCGGACCAGAAGAAGGGCTAGTTGGTTCGCTGGGAGGTAGCGGAAGGAGATCACCATATTGAGGGTCAATCGCTGGTTTGATAACACGGGGCACGACTTCGGGGTCAACCAGTTCGAAGCTGCGCGCACGAGGCCGGCCATCACGAGAGACAGAATTCTCGTGATCTGATGAGGTATCAGCGGCGTTGGAACGAGCAGCATCAGACGCGACAATGGCCGCTGCACTCGCTAAGCCGACACCCGCGCCAAGGGTGCCGGCATTATCTAAAAAAGAATCCTTCTTATCCTTACGCGATTTGAAGAGGCTAGAAAGAACACTACTGCTTGGTCGCTTCTCAGGGGTTCTGCGTTCTTTGTACTCCTTGTCCCGGCGAGATGAGCCAGGCATGGATGCAACTGATTTCACGTCGTCATCATCGTAACGCGAAGACTTGCGTCTATGTCCGCTCTCGCGCCGACGGTCATCTCCACGTGACTCAGATACGACAGAGCTAACATCTCGGTCGTCGATGAAGTCACGTCTTCGATCCGATGGGCTCTCTCTGTTGTCGTCGACATCTTCTTCGGCTCCACTCCTTCGTTTCGACCTCTTGCTTCTCTTGCTGCTTGAACTACCAACAGAGATTTCGGAGGCTGCTAATGACCGGGTTGGTGAGTCATTGCCGTAGGAGTGACGCTTCGATCTTTTTGGCCGCTCATCATCATCAGACCTTCTGTGATGAGATCGATCTCGGGATCGATCTCTTGTTCTATCCCGTGACCTGTCTCTGGACCTCTCTCTAGACCTATGATCTCTTGAACGATCTCTTGAACGATCTCGAGATGCTCCTCGTCTTGCAGACCGTCGATCAGTGGGGTCCAGTGTAGAAGAACCTCGGTATCTGGCATCATCGCGGGGATCGCGGTCCTTCCTATGCTTGCTTGAATGCCTGTGATCTTCTCGCTCATCGTCTGATCGAACGTCTCGGGAGGATATGTCTCGAGATGAATGGCGATGGTGCGAAGGCTTCACAGGGGCGGAGACGTGAGACCTGTCGTCGTCATAGTAGTAATCGTCGTCATTCCAATGCCTGTGCGACTTCCTGGGAACGTCTTGCTCGTCTTCAGAGCGAACGTCGCGAGAGGGTGTGTTTCTTGAACTTGAAGCGGCAAGCGCACCCAAAGCGAGGGCTGGCACAGCCACCTTGGCGATATCCGCGGTGTTGAAGCTCTGGCTGCGATCGTATTCTGCAAGGGTATTCTTCGATTCAAGATCATGATCAGATCTGGTGTCTCTGACTGGTGCGTCGCTTGCGTAGTGATCGGTAGAAGAGGTTCTCGGGCTCATGTCATCGGAATCGCGGCCCTTGCGATCCTTCTTCCCTCTCTTGCGAGTGGTATCTTCCCATACCTCTTCGCCGACCTCCCTTGAAGGTGACGGCTCCGCTTTGGTGTTCTCAATCTTTCCATCATCCTGAACAACGACAACGTTAGACTTGTCTCGCTTGCGCTGTTCTCGCTTGCTCAACTTTGTAGTGTCAGAACTGTCTTGGGGAAGTGGCACGTCTTCAGGCTTTGGCGAGTCGGGCTTGATGTCGCGTTCGCCTTCGTGGCGAATAGAGGGCGTTTCCTGAGGGGTCTCAACTTCTCCGAGAACAAACCCTTGCTCGGGAAGAAGTTTTGGAATGTTATCATTTCTAGGCTCGGGAATGACCTCGGCGTAAGGTCGCTTGTACCAGGAATTGCCATTTGTGCTGCCATGAGAGTCACCGTTTGCCTCTTGGACACCTGGAGGAGAGTCACGCCGACTGTAGGAGGGGTCATCAATGACAATGTCGGGGTTGAAGCCAGTATCCTTCAGGCCCGCAGCAAGAGTAGCAGCAAACTCAAAGTCATCTGCAAAGCCGCCAGGCATCTGTTGAGGATGTGGGCTTGGAGGTTTAGGCCCAGGAATTGGAGGTTCGTGCATCGTATCGTCACCGGAAACGTCTTCAACCCTATGAACAGAGATGTCCCTGCTTGCTTCTTCCGGAAAGCTTCTGGGGATATTTGAGTTTTTGGATGACACTACAAACTCAGGTTCGTTGTGTGGCTCGGCGCTGCTACCAGCCAGTGCCGCGGCAAGAATACCCCAGCGACTGGCCTTGTTTAGCTTCGGCCTAGGCTTGTCGGACGATTTATCAGTAGGAAAGTAATTGTCGGAATCGCTTCGGTTCTCTGGTGTGTCTACTTCAAAGCTCTTCGTCTCGTTCTCGCCCCAGCTGACAGATTTGGCAACAGACACGGGTTCGCTAGCAGAGATGATCTCACCCTTAGGTCCAATGCTGACATCGTCAGGCGTGGGTACTTCATCAACCGCCTGTCTTGCACCTTGTGCTTGAGGAGCTGGCGTGTGTTGGCGACTCGTGGCAGGAGTAGGATATATCAGATTGAGGACAGGACGCTCTCGCGAAGGCTCTCTTGACCTCAAGACAAGAGCAGAAGAATTGTCACCCAGGTTTCGGAAATGGCGTTCTTCCCGGGGGTATATCTTGTTATCAATCTTCACATCTGCATCTGGTCCATCAAACATGTTATTATCCGGGTGCTTGTCTTCCATGATCGGTGGTGTGACAATCGTGAATTGATCATTCTTATCTTCTTGCCACTTGTCGACGACAGATCGCTCAGGGGATGCACTTCGAGATCGTAGTTCGTCAGAAGCAATTTTTCGAGCGATGCAGGCCTCACGATAGAACCTGTCAGCTTCCTCCTGCACAGTATCCTTGCGACCTCTTGAGCTATCTTGAGATCTATTATTCGGGTAGCGACGGTGTCCATGCTCTTGAGAGTGCTCATGTTCGACTGCGACGGCGGATGCTATTGCGGCAGCTGCAACAGGAATTGTAGCATGTTTGGCCTCATCAAGAATAGATTTGGCCTTTCGCTCGTCCTCTTCGAACTCATGACCAGCTTGAGTATCGCGACGTTGTGATGAATCGTGAGTCTCCCGACGGTACTCGTCGACCATACGCTCAATCTCAAACGAGTCTCGTCGGCTTAACCGAGCGTCGGCTGCTGAAGAACTTGGCGGCGAGTCGTCGAAATTAGGCTCGCGCTCAATGGTGACAACATTAGGTGTAAGGGGGCGCCCAGGTGTGGTTCTTTGAGACACTGTGAACGCATCGTCCGCAACTTGGTACTGGAAGGGATCGATGGTCTCATGTGCAGATTGAGTTGAATCGCTTAGAGCGCGATGACCAGCACCGACAGGTAGAGGAAGGTCACGGCCATCTTGAGTCGCATCACGCTCGTTGTTGTCAGCTTGGACAACAGGTTCACGCAACACTTTGAACTCCGGTCCCGATTCAATACGGAATGCTTCAACTTCGCCCTGATCCCTTTGAGACACATCTACAACATCAACATTCTTCTTCTCCGTTCTATCCGTAGGGGTATCGTCATGATCATCATGTCGTCGTGAAGATTTTCGCTCGTCATTATACTTGGGAAAGATAGGCTCGGGATCCGATCCACGGTAGTCACGCTCCCATTTCACATTTCGTTCACGCTCGTCCTCCAATGTTTCCTGTCGCTGGGTGTGGTGGGCCAGGCGTCGTTCCCAGTCGAGCCTCTGACGTTCCGGATCTTGGGCTTTTTGCCGTTCTAACTCTTGGGCTTTTTGATGCTCGAGCTCTTTGAGTTTTTGCTCCTCTGCTTCTAGGGCTTTCTGGCGCTCTAGGTCGATGCGCTTTTTCTCACGGTGGTCTCGATCATCACGGTCATGCTTTCTCCCATCATGATTCTCGCGATTATCCTTTCGCGAGGATGCTGAAGATGCCATAACCGTACCGACCGCTGCTGCTGCGAGACCAGCCGTCGCAACTCCTGCCCAGCCCTTTTCATCGGGCTGTTCGGATTTGCGCTGCCGAGATCCCCTGCGGTTTATGTCATCAAGTTTTTCGGCATTATAAACTTTTGATGAAACCGCCTGCTTGGGAACCGGCTGTTGCAGGGGAACCGGCGCGGGTCGAGTCGACGAATCCTGGCGCCTGTCAGACATTGGGAATCGGCCTCTGTCAAATCGGTTGGGATCAGAGATGGGAACGGGATACACCTCTCGCATCTGAATTGGTCCACCAGTTTCTAGGCTAGCAGAATCGCGACGGTATGCGGCAGCCTGTTCTTCATCCCGGAAGCCACATGGAGTATTAATTGAGCCTCGAAGAGAGTTGTAGGGGCCAAAGAGGCGAGGGTCAACGATAGAACCCCGGTCTCCATATCGCCGAGAGTCAAACGCTGGGCTTTGACCTGAGGGTCTTCTGGAGCCAGCCATAGCGGTTGTGGCTACTGCAGTTCCTGCAGCCGCTGCAGCACTGGCTGCGGGCTTGATAGATTCGCCGACGATGCCATATGCAAGCTCTGAGTCGGCAGCTGAGCCAGCGTCATCACTACTAGAGGACTCATCATCAGAGGCATCCTCCCAGTCTGAGTCATCATCCGAAGTGTCGACGCGCTGCTTTGAGCTACCCAATCCCCGTGAGCCGTGTTTCTGCCGGCCATAACCAGATGCCATAGCTGCGCCGGCTGCAAGTCCCAGAGCAGCCGTCTTGCCCTTGCCTGATCCTCGGCTGGATAGGCGTTGCTCGTCTTCCTTGGACCGCCGCGCTAAGTCAGAGAGTTGCTGGCCAAGGGCCATTATCTCTTCATCGGCGGTCTTCTTCCGAGGCGTCGGTCGCGATGCGCGATCAGACCCCCCTGAGCTGCGCCGCCGATGTCCTTGACTCGGACCATGACCTGGAGAAAAGGCATAGCCTTGACCAGAGGCACGGCTTTGACTTCGGGGGCTCAGGGTACGGCTTTTTGGTTGCCGGACGTATCCCTGTCCGTAGGCTAGGTCAGAGTTCACAGAAGATGATGATGAGTTACCAAAGTAAAGCACGCGGCGCTTCTGCTTCTTCTTTCTGTGGAGACGCTGTTTGACACGGTCTGAAGGCGCCTTGAAAAATGTGCCAAAAACACCACCAAACTGTTTCGTGTCCTTGTATCGCGAGATATCTAATAGTGATGTCGATGTGTCACTTGAGGACGAGAAAACACTTGAAGGTGTCTGTGGTCGTTGTGAATTATGCTGCGGTTGATAAGGGTTATTATATCCCGGCACCGACTGAGGCGGCGCGCTGGAGTAGCGTTGCGATTGTTGATAATGCTGGGGAGGTGGTGGAAATTGCGGATACTGCGGTGACTGTTGATACATTGGGGACTGTTCATAACGTTGAGGGTCATATGCTCGTTGCTGAGAGTGCTGTTGATACATTTGCGGGACTGTTTGTTGGGGATATTGTGATTGTTGTTGTGATGGCAGCGATGATTGCTGACGCGAATCTCCCTGATCTCTCGGATCGCGGTCGCGAGACTCGTACCACCGGCGGCGAGAGCCCTCAGGGTCCCGAGAGCGATTGTCTCGCTGCATTGCGCCGGTTTACGGTCTACCAGCGTTGCGGAATTCGTCGAGGGGGGTTCTTGAGTGTGATGTTTTGATGGTGTTTTGTTTTCGGGAGCTCGTTGCCAGCTTTCATGGGGCCCGTCCGCCGCGGCCCGCAAAACAGGCGGTGGCTGGGGTCGCACGTCGTTGGTCAAGCTGAAATAGAATGGGGATCGTTGCGGGTCTTAGATTTGATCTGGCCTTCTGGGCTGGGCGATGAGCCATTTGCTATGGGAGGAGGCCTGGGCGCTAATTCTCAAATCTTGACTTGTACATACACTTGATGGTTAGGCGAGTGTTACCGTAGATCTAAATGGGCACGTTGTAAGAGACAACTTCTAGGTTTGTCAAGCTTGGCCTGATATCGTGGGCGTTTGGCTTTAATTAAAGTGCTACGACAGTCTGAATACCTCATTCAGGCCGCCACACATTGGCTAGCGCCGTCGTAATATCCACATCGAAGATCCATTGCCAGCTGGCAGTCATATGCAGTCACACATGCAGACGGTGTCGGTTCTTACAGGCTACGAGGTGGAGCCTACCCTGTACAGTATCGAAAAGTGAGGGTCTCTTTTGTCGATTGTCTCACAGTGCCGGCCTCGTTTTGCAACTCTACCTCATTGGATAAGAATGCCTATGTATGAGCAGGGTCTCATTTCTCATGAGCTGGGCAGAACTGATAAGAATTGTTAGGAATGTTCGTGGAATAGACCGGCGAGCCGTTCCATCATTACCCGTTAGCTAAGACAAGCTCCAACGTGAATGAACGGCTCGATAATTGCATCCACACACCCACCTCGCGAATCTTCCGACTTACACACACCATCTCACGCAATATCGCCTATGTAACATAATATCGTGTAAATGTAAATCAAGCTTTGTACTGCACACTGAATTTCTGACCCATAATCGCCAAACAAATAGACCCGTATTATATCAGTAGCCGCTCACTGTTTTGATATTGACATGCATACCTTTCGCGGGCCGGGCCGTTATACCGCCCCGAATTTCCACTTTCTTCTCATCCATCTCCTCAGGGTTCGCAAGGGTGAACTCAAAGCGACCAATCCATGCCGCTAGCAAACATGCGAACTCTGCTTTTGCGAAACTGGATCCAATGCAACTCCGTGGGCCATGCAAGAAAGTCAGGAACGCGTAGTTACTGCTCGCTCCACCACTCGCTGCTTTGCGGTCAGCGGAACCACTCTCTCCACCCGATGGGAGCCACCGCTCTGGCTTGAATTGACCCGCATCCTGGCCCCAGAGCTCAGTATCAAAATGAGTAGCCCACGGTACAATGACAACGCGTGTGCCGCGGGGGATTGAATGGCCGAGAATGGTGGTATCGTAGGCGGCATCGCGCATTGTTAATGGGACAGGGGCATAATATCGCAGAACCTCGCTGCACACTGCATTCAAGTATGGCATGCGGTCTATGTCGAGACTGGTGATATCGACGTCCGAATCCACAGACGGAAGATGTTCGCGTACTTCGTCCCGCAGCCTGCTCTGAATATCGGAATGTTTCGAGAGCATATATATTGCCCAGGTCATCGCTGATGCTGTTGTCTCATGCCCTGCAGCGAGGAATGTCATGAGCTGGTCAACCAAGTTTTCGTCAGTGAAACCACCGCTTTCAAGAGCGACCGATAGTATGTCAACATCGGCTTGCTCCTTATTGGCAATTTTTGCCTTCTTCTCACGGATGAGATCTCGACAGACTGCCCGGATATCGGTGGCTGCCTTAGCAATATCCTCGTTTCGACGGAAAGGTAGCTTGGTGATGAATTGCATGGGAATAATCATGCCAATAAAAGCGAGGACCTGAGCCTGGCGTGAAGGCTTGAATATCTGCTTGTATGTTTGAGCGAGAGTGTTTTGAGGGTCTTGAATGGCGCCAAAGTCCCGACCCATCCCAGCGAGACCAATAATATCGAGTGTGGCTCGTGATGCCCAACTAGATATTTCGACATGGACCTCTTCCTTCCCACCGAACTCTGCCATCATGGTGCGTGTCACTTCCCTAGCCTTGCTCCAGAAGACCGGGTATAAATTCTTTATGTGACGAAAGGCGAATGCAGGTGTCAAGCTGCGGCGCTGCATCTTGTGCTCCTCCCCCTCCGCAAGTAAGATGCCAATTCCAAGAATGCGACCAATGGACCATCGAAAATGAGAGGGCTTCGGGAAAGCATAACTGTTGGTACTAAGTACCTCAGCCAAGGCTTTCGGTGAGCAGACCATCACTCTCTCTTGATTGAAGAACCCGCGATAGCAGAGTAGGCCATCGTTGGGAATCGTAGAAGCCCTAAACGCAATTTGCGGATTAGTGGGTTTTCCATCATCTCGAATTCGACACAAGAAATACGCCCACGAACCATTCTCGCATTGGAACACCTGAGGGTTCGGCCATAATTTTCTTTGCCTGACCCATGAACCAATGGTTCCCGGAAGGCCCAGGAAGATGTCTCAGGGGAGACACAAATAAAGGATATATCCATACTGTCCAGACGCCCCAGATAGCGAGACTCGCAATCCAAAGCTCTGTAAAGTGTCCCAAGAGCTGTAGTCTTGCCCAATTGTTCTGTGCCCATGCGAGCGATAAGGTACCTATAGCAGCAGTGGCTGTGATACGCTCCCATCGTAGTCCCATGATATTCGAGTTAAGATAAAAATGCAGAGAGAGAGAGAAATTTCAAAAGGCCAGGTTATGAACCTTAGGTTGAACGTAGGAAAACACATGCAATGGCGACAGTTGCGCGTCTCAAGGGGTACAGCGACAGGGAATGGTCTTATAAGCGATTCGTCTATCTTCAGTGTAGTGGGGAGGCCTAGACATCCAAGGCTCTATGAGATACTCGAATCGTCAGAGATATAAACGGACGCACCACATGGTCCGAGTCGGTCATCAACATTGCACCGTTCCAACGGCATCATCGATGCAACAAAAGCTCCGACCGACCAACTCTTGATGCGGAGACATCAAGACGCTAGTTCCATTCTAGTATAAGTTGCGGAGCTGGACGCTTCAATGGAAATCCGATCGAGGAGATCAGCAGGTATTCTTGGCTCCATAAACTGAGCAAGGGTCTTTGGGAGTGTCAACCCTTACTATGTAAAGTATTTCATTCAATATTATCGCTAATTCCGCTACAGCGATAGGTCGCCTACCTATTGATTGCTGGATACGGAGTAGTGAACAATTCAGTCTCTTTGCATGTGCCCCTTCAAAACACTTCCCTTCCAATCATTGGTGGTATCAACCAGAAATATACCAAAAATCCCTTGATCTGGTGCGTTTTCAACCATGACCATACCATCATACTCAACGCCAACCCGTGCCAAAAGGCCTCTGACCTCATGTATTTTGCGAGTCCCGAATTCCCATGTCAAAGTCCACCTATCATGTTGCGACTGCGATCCCGTACCCCAAGGAGCCAGTAGCCTTTGCGCGGCTGACTAGGTTATCGCAAACGCATCTGTTCTCCGTCGTTCTTTGTTCCGCCACCTTTTCTTCCAATTCTTTCGGGAGATAAAGTCAAGATTGTGTCACAAAATGGCACATCACCAATTGCGGTTGCCGTGATATGTCATATCCGGCGCAGCTTCGTTGTTCCCCAAACCCTCAAATGGGGAACCCGTCTGTGTTTGCAATGGGTTCCGAAGAGTTCTGAAATTTGAGTGTTGAGCTTCATCCTCTTGTGCTGCATATAAAGGTGAGACTGGCAAGACTACTGGCGTCGCTCCAGTTGATGATTCTGTTTCAGCGTTGCGATCCCGGACCGTCATCGATCCGTCGTTTGCATTCTGCGTGGGTACACCCGTCCACTCTTGTATCTGTCTTTCCGTAAGGGGACGTTCCGTTTGCTGCGGTATGGCTGATAGACTAGAACCAGTCGTCACAGGCTGTGAAGATGTCGACGCTGCCTGGCTGCGATTTTCGGGCAAGGCAAAGTTGTCACGCGTGGATGAGCTGCCGTACCGCGTTCGAAGTCGACGGTGCTGGTGTTCAACACCTTCTCTAGGTGGTGGCCTTCCATCTCCAGGTACTTGTGCAGAATATCGAGGCGAGCCATTGTTCCGTGGATCTGCGGCTCCATACGTGGCCATAATTGCCCGTGCCAGAGCCTCATCATGTGGACCACTTGCTGCCATCCTATTGCCTACGTCAGTTGATTGATCAAGCGGACAAGGTATTCGTGTTCCTCCTTCTTTCATTTTTGACTCACACTGGATGGATGCTCGCGCCTCTATTTCTCATCAAGCTTAGGAATGCGGCGGCGGACGAATTTGTCTGTGCCTTAGGTTCTGAATGTAGTCTGTCTCGACAGTAAGGGCAACTATCCGAATCCTCCAACCACTTCTTGATGCAGTGGTTGCCAAAAACATGTCCACATTTTGGTAGACGAAGAGGAGCCTCTTTAATACCTTCTGGAGTATCAACGCCGTATTCGTTATAGCAAATTACACAACCTGAAACACGTTAGCTTCAATCAGTTTCGATGGGGAGGAAGTTCTTACTTCGGTCTGTCTCAGCTAAGTCCTCAAGCTTGACGCTCATGAGTGACTGGAGCGTTAGCTGGGAAGCCACCATCTTGGTCGTCAAAGAGCCTCTGACAAATTGCATCTGTCGGATTAAGGCCTCCTCCACCTCTGGTGATGACTCGGAACCATTCGGACTGTGGAGAACATGCTCATGATGGCCATGATACCCGTCATCCTCATTGTCGTCGTGTCCGGACTCTGTCGACATTATGCGCCTGCGTTGTCTGGGGTGAGATCGACGAAATCCAGATGACGAAGGAGGAGGTCCTAGAGTATGTAAGCATTGGCTTTTGGAAAGCTGCTCAGTCAACAATATCGCACGAAACAACAAATGATTCACAAATCCACTAGCCTGCGAGACTGGAAGGGTATGTCGAGAAGGGCGGCGCTAATAGGATAGACTTACTGTTAGGAGAGGGAAGATTACCGAATGACCTGGATGATGACGATGCAGCAGTGAAGTGGCTTCTTCTTGTCGATGTCGGGATGAAAGTTTGAGGGGGTAGCGGGGCTGGGAGAAACTGTGGAAAGTAACCAGTGTTGCTATGATTCATACCATTGGCGCTTGAGTCGCCATGGACATATGCCGAACGGTGTAGTGAATTAACTTCCTGGTGGCCGGCTCCGAGGGGAGGCATGCCTAGACCGAGTCCCTGTGGCTGAAAATCTGAAGGTCTGTTGGCAGGAATTTGGTTTGCGAACGCTGCATCGTGACTGTAGCTACCAGTGCCAGAAGGTATTGGAGCAACGGCAACCGGCATACTGTTGCGATAAGCATGAGCACGGCCATTTGGCCGTGGCGATGCTGGCCCAGGCATGCTACCTGCAAACGGGCCCGGAGACGGCATGCCTAACATTGGTGGTAACATAGCTGCATGATGCCCATACGGATCTGGAACAGAGCTGTGTGGCGGCATGGCATAGTGATGTGAGTAGAGGTGAGGTAAGCTTGGGTTTTGGGCGTGCCATGGATACGCAGGTGAGTTCTGTGTCTGAGAATGTGGTGCCCAATGGTTTGAGGCAGAATGCACAGGGTCATAATGGCCGGAAGCCCGGTGGTGGTGGTTGCTTGATAGCACGAAATCCATAGGATCCATTATGAGCAAATGGCTTGAAAATGGTATTGGCCCAATCTGGCTCACAAACCAACGGAGCTGCGCAGACGCAAGTCCAGCTGCAGCTCACTGGAACTCGATAAAGGCGAGCGCAATCGTGAAGGCAGCTCTAGGATTTCGAATAGCACGAAGCGGGTGGGAGGAACGTTGACGGATGCTGATTGCACGAGGGCTCCACGTAGAAGATGAGTGAATATGTGTATTCGTATTATATGTGCTGGACTAGGACTATCGGTAGCACGCTGCAGTCACAAACCGGTAATCGGGGAACGCAGATAGGTTGTGGTCATGGGTTCAAAGCTCTCCTGGCCCCGAGGCAGATGGGAGATGGAGAGCAGAGTAGAGCGTCAGAAGGGCAGACAAGCAGTCGTGGGGAGGTAGAGAGAGCAGCCACGGGCGAATATGAATAAGTATGATGATGAGGGGGAGTCGTTCGTTATCGGATATTTGCGATAACGCCGATGACGACGTAGTTTCAGCTCTAGCGGCGGCGTTCTGCGACGAGGATGAGGCGGGGTGTGAGCGGACGGCGTTGCGTCTACGAGAAGTCGATAGGAAGAGGGAGATGCAGAGAGAGGAATGGAAGAAAGAAGACTGAAGTGAAGGAGGGAGAGAGAGGAGGAGGACAAAACGGTGTGGGGGACAGAGACCAAGTGAGAGACAAGAGAAAGAAATGCAAAGAATAAAACGAATGCCACGGCTTGTACGAATGAGACCAGACCAGACTCCCTGGGACCAGGCGGCAGGCGGGTGGTGATGATGTTGTGGGTTGCAGGGACAGGCTGGCTGGGAGTGAAATCAACAGGTCGCAGAGCTACCTAGGCAAGCTACTAAATGGAAGGTACAATACGGAAGGGCGACAGTTAACGTTAAGTTGGAGTCTTTGTCGTCTCTTGCACGATCTGACTCCCACTGTCTGAGCTAGGCTCTCGCTCGTCTCGGTTCAAAGACTGGGCTGTTGGCTGGGCCTGTTTAGGACATGGGGTAGAGTCTTACGTTCGCGGTTAGATATGATAGTTTCATTGACATAAGAAAAGACCCTTCTCTCGTTTGTCTACCGCCTTGCTTGTAGAAGGGGCGCCGGTCGCGAAATCACCGGTGGATGTCGTGGATAGTGCAATGCAAGTTGGGCAATGTAAGTAAGATATTGGAAGTGAATGCTGACCTGAGGCTTGGCCTGGGTGAGCGCCAGTGGTCGCGGACTCCAATGGTGGAAGCGTACGAGGCGTTTGGGTAGTGTACCAGCGAATAAAATGAAGACGAACTATGCATAGGTCAGATCTAGATGACGGGGGGCGTGGAATGAAATGGTGGCCAAAGACCTTCAGAAGGGTCTGCAAGAGTGCCTTCTTTGTGTTGAACCAAGTCAATTGAGTTAAGCCAAGCTAGATGATACGGTGGACAAACAAAAGCGAGAATGGGCTGCTTGGGCGTGTTGTGTTCCTCTAACTCTGAGCAGGGGGAAACACCCTAGCGGATGGTCTGTACGAAATGTGTCATTCGAGTCAGAGTCGTTGCTACAGTCGCAGTCGCAATTGCATTTCATCAAGGACGGATATGATACTTGAATCCATCAATGAATGTGCCGGCCGGCCGTCCGTGTTCGGCAGCGGGTGGAGAGCAAGGTTGACCGTGACCATCAAGGAAGCTTCCGACCAGCGGACGCCCTTGGTCGTAGTGAGGTTATCAATACGGGACTGATTGACAGGTGGGTGAATGGCGGAATTTGCGTGGTTTATGATACGCGCACCGGGCGAAGAATGGATCATCGAGAGCCTCTTATCGACGATGCCAAAAGCGACAACAAAATTGGAGGTTTAGCACGGAAATGATATCGCAGTGCAAGAAGACAACGCTTCAACAGAGCACCAGACGTGGAAAACCAGCTCCTCATGCGGTCCTGGACAAACAAAGTCACACTCTGCGGCGTGCCAAACCACCCGACCATTGGTGCCTCCACTTCTAAAAACACAGTTCGCCAAAAGAGTCATGGTCATGGTCGTGGCCATGGTCATGCGTAGAGAAAGTCTAGTCATCAGCTGCATGCGCAGGGTAGGGAAGAATTCAAGCCCATCCATCAACAGCCAGCCAGCCCGCCCAAGCCCAAGCGGGCACAACCCATCATCGATCGGCCAGGGCACGGAAACTCTGATCAGGGAATTGCTAACATTTCATGGCCTTTTGGTTCGAGGGAAATGACATGTTGAAAGTGCGTATGATGCAGCGCATAGAATATATGAGACTTACATGAAAGACCTTCCTCCATGTTGGACTATTGACGAGGCCTGATATGCATGTTCACTGTCAACTTGATTAGGTTGGGGGCCACCACCTTGATTGCATGGGGTTATCAGGCCAGCTCCACCGTGAGCGACAAGTCCTGTAAATTCTTACATACCTAGGTAGGTAGTACTTACTACTCCGTAAGACAGAACCGACCCCTCCACTTGTATCCGATTCATCAACAGACTCAACCCATACATCACTTCATGCAACAGCGGAAACAACCAGTTTCAGCTGATCAGGGCCAAGTTATGGCTAGCAGAGGCGCCCTCTCCGAAGTAAAATAAACAAAAGTCCTGACAAGGGATTCGATCAGGCCTGTCTAAAATAACCACGTTTAGATAGCCAATGCACCTAGTAAGCTTCTCCTCTTGGGAAACCAATCATCTTGTATACTCTTAAAACTTTTGAGACTCGACATAAATCAGAAGACGATTCTTAATAAGGTGCATAATGGGAAGTGAGCAAACTCAACATGATTGAGCTATGACCGGTTACAAAGTATTAGCCAATGCATAATTGACTTGGTTTATCAGGTTCTGGTGATACACTATGAACGTCTTTGGTTGGTGCTGTGATGATTCAAGGCGTAAACATGATCCATCATGTGAGCCGTCGCCTCGCGTGCCTCGAGCCATTCATGATTCACAACACGGGCCCACGTCCATTTAGCCAAGACAAACAGGCGTTCGTTCATCAGCTAGAGAGACAGGGGCCTTTGAGCGAGGAGGGCCAAAAGCCCAAAACTCCCTCCATCATAGAGAGGGCCACTACTAGCCAGACTTGCCCCGGCGTCAACCTTGCGTTCATCTGACGTTGGCAGCGCTCGAGCAAAAGCCAAAACCTCCTACCTGAACTATTCAAGTCCGGCGACCGGATTCGTCACTTGGCGAACGAACGAGAACAAGGAAAGCTGCATAAGCATACGCGAATCTGCTAAAAGGGATTTGTCTGAATACAGACACGTCTTTCATGACATGGTCAGTATCGTTGCGTATGAGGATACTCACCATTATTCGGGTGCCGTTTGTCCTTCATAACCATTAAAGTTATTTCCTCTTGCGACTTCTCCTGCATCAACCACAAATATTGCCAGCCCAGCAGACTCGTCATCAACCAAAATGTACCAAAGGATACCGTTTCCCGACGGCACAGCCGAGCGGATACCTACTGTAATCACAAACACAACATAACATAATAAAAGTCGCACCACCTTATGCCGAGGCCTCTATAGTAATTCAGCCCATCGTTTACGTGAAGTGGTCATGTTTCAAACCGCCACTGTGTAAATCATCACAGCCAAGAGATCCCATCCACCGGAGACTTGCTTGTTGCACATTGCTCTTACCTACACATGTCTTACACGACTGTGTCATAAAGTCAAGGAAGCGAACATTTTCTATGGAAAATCGGATACGGCCACGGAAAGGGATTTCGAGGATGGGCTGGACCAAATACCGATATTCAATCTTTGTGGTGCATTGAAATCGCCGTGACTGAAATATGACATGGATCCATCATGCACTTTCCTTCCTGCCCATTGGAGCCGTTGACCGAGCTGTTAAGCACTTAAGGAAACCTTAAAAGCACTGCAAGATGCCCTTCAGCCTCACGTGTCTACACATCACCCTCATCGAAATTCTGAGGAGCCAATAGCTGCAACCACTTTAGCCCACGAAACGAAACGAAACATCAGCTGGTCCCTCGGTGTTTGGGAACCCGTAGGATCTACCCAGAACGTTGTTGGTGCCCTTGCCATTCCAGATCTGCACTAAGTCAACTCTGAAGATGGCAAAGAACACTCCCCGGTGTCCTTCAAAAGCAAACGCCTTATTCGCTATGTAAACTTCTTAAACCCTGGTGAAGATCACAAACACTCGGAGGGTCCGCTCATTTGAGGCAGCTTGATTCATATTTCCTATTCTGGCTGTTTGCCCGGCCTCGGCTGGAAGCTTGGAGCAACGCACAACAAAGTACATAAATAAATCCCCCCCAGGCACGACATAGGAGCAAGGATGATGTATCAAGGCTGTTGAGCTGAGCCGGTTATACATGTGACCCCTAGGCTCCGTCTTCTTGCTGCCACGTTTCGATGCAAAGCGAGGCCTCATTCATATACAAAACAACAGGAGGATGGAACAAGAATATATCCCTCTCCCTTCCGATACGGCAGCGGCAACCACGACATATTCGCCATCGAACAGTCGTCTCGGCTCGTCAATCTCTTGCTCGGTCCCGAGTGTTTGTGCTGTGGTGCAAGCATGCGCTGACGGGCTCCAGCGCCGTGTTGGTTTGTCGAGAGGGTGACACTGCAGCCAGTACTCACTTCGCTCGAACCCCATGATGCAGACATTCGACCCTCAACAACGCTCATGTTCGAGTAGCCTATTCTCATTTCTTCGGCAAGCGATACTTGCCGCCGGCTAGCTCTAATTTATTCTCCGCCACCTTTTCGGCCAAAAACTCCTGCAACTCCTCATTAGTCCAGGAACAGCCATCGGGAATCAGCATTTTCATCATCATTAGCATCTGTCCAAGTGGCATAGTTGGTGCTGAGTTTGTCAGCATGCCTACAATGAACTGCCAGTATACAGTTCGGCGCTCCTGCTCCTTGGGATCGATTTTAGGCTTGCGAGGAGACGAGCGGCTGTCATTGCCAAGTTCTTGAGCTTCACCAGGATCACCTGATTCACCTGCTTGTTCACCCTCATTCAAACGCTCCAAGACAACATAGGTTCGGCTGCCAACATCACGGAGCACTCTCCTGGAGATCCAGAATTTTAGAGCCAGGTCGAGAAGATCCTCGTCTATCATGAGCTGTTGCCATATCTCGTCGAAAGTTCGTTCTGTGGGGCCGGATTTGCCTTCAGTGCTGTCGTCCCGGAACGCGTATATCACAGCAGCCTCGTAAGTCTTGCATTCAAGCTCGACAGTGCGGTCCTCGAAGTCAAGTTTGACAGTTGCAGTACCTAACTGATCCAACCAAGTGAGTTTCCGAGAGGTCTTGAGTCGCTCAAACCCTTGTTCGTATCTGGCCCGCATCGCGGCAACGGGTGGCGGAACTGTGAAAGGGTCTTTAGGTAAGGTTGGCCAGAAGAGTCGGGAGAGGATCTTGGAGTGATATGCCAGTGCTCCTGAATCAAGCGACGGTTGACAAACATTCTTTCCGAGAACTGCATCGACTCTTTTTGAGTCTTGAATATCCTTCATCATGACATCGCAATTTTGTAAAGCATTGTCGCCGAACCGCTTTTTAAGCAGGCTCAGTACTTTGGTCTCTTGTATAAAGTTTCCCTGGTTAGAAAGCAATCGCTCCGCGATGATAAGTTGGAACTCCTTGATAAAAATCTCTTGAGAGCCAAGCGCGTTGATCAGAGTTCCGATGACGTCCTCGTTCTTAGGTCTCTTGTAGTTGACACCTGCGTCCACAGGATCGGGCACCCAGGTCATGTCGTTCCAGTCCAGATCCTCGTCGTCGACCTGGCGCCGTTGCTGTTGAGAAGCTGAGTTGAGCAACACTGCCAACTCCGCAAGCTTTGCCTTTCCCTCCTCCGTACTAGCCTCACTCGGGTTAGAGAGCAAGCCTGTGACCACGATCCTAATGGCATCGTCCCGCTGGCACAGGTACAGCTGTAGTGCGTGAACGACACGATCAAGGAGAACCTTTGAATGATCCAGGGCATGAAATGTCCTTATCATAGAAATGTACGTCTGAAGGATATCGGAGGTGGATCGTCCAGGGTGAAGGAGTCGCTTCTGAAGAGCGAGTGAGAATGTGTCGGTCAATTGAAGGCGACGTTGTGGCGTAGAAACGGCCAGACGAAGATCCTCGAGTCCGCCTCGGCTTTCGGGCCAGTTCAAGGCGATATCAAATAGTTCTTGGATTCGCAGAGTAGCAAGGCGACCTACCGCGATCTCCTTCCAGCATTCAACGTCGCTCCAAGCGATACGAGTTTCAAGACGACTGAAAACCTCAACAGCGAGGCGACCGTACTGGTTTTCAACCCAATCTGAAAGATGACCAAGGCACCCAGTCAAGGTACTTGAGCCTGGCGTTGACGACTGTTCAGACGCTTTCCAGAATCCTGAATAGGAGGTCTTGATAAATTCCTCCATGCTGGCATCCATGATTTCGGCGAAGAGCACTTGAAATCTCTCCCCTACAAGTCCAACATTCTTAAGTGACTCAAGAAGTCCCAGAAGCTCTTCCCGAACCGCCGAATCGCCACAGTTGTCTTGTGATTCTAATATTCCATCATAGCGTCTCCCTATACCAAGGCTAGAACGGATGAGCCGCTGTAAGACACTTGTCAGGGCATTCGTCAAGCCTTGGTTGAGAGAGTTACCAATGATGGTATGTAAATCACGACGAAACTTTGAAAAAGATGCGTTAGCAGAAGCGTCGTCCTCGTAGCCTTGGACTATGAGTGTCAAGCCCCAAAGATATTGCCTGTGAGCTGCTTCGAGAGTCGAGACACTTGAGGCCAAGACCTGTGTGTGATCACCCTGACTGGAACACGCAGACAACAGTGGCATAACATGGTGAATAAAGTGCTGGCGAACTTGGTGTGTGTGCCAAAGGAGGATATCTTCTGTATGGGCTGCCTGGGGCAAAGAGCGGCCAGGGTAGAGAAGTAGAGCTAGGGAATCACGGAAATCCAAGTCAACGTCTTGTGACTCTGGAGGCAAAGTGCCAAAGGAATCTTCAACCGCAACTGAAGTTGGTAGTTGGATCTTGGATGTGACAGCATGCCATGCTCGATCCCACCTCACCTGGTCATCGGCATGTTGGAGAGTCTCGTGAAAGAGAGGCGGTGGTGGTGGTGGTGGGGGAGCATGCTGAGGTGACGCGTGGGGACCTCCAAAGGCAGCACCTTGATCGGTGAAGGCTGCAACGGGAGTTGAACGGGGCGTGGGCGATGAGACATCCGTCTGGAAAACGGACCAGAAGACCTTTTGCTTGCGTGCCCGGTATCGCGACGCTGTTAGGACCATTGTGGCATTGTAGTGTGGTTTGAAATGGGGTGTGAGAATGTCAACAAAAGAGATGTTTTGGTTGTTGTTGGTACGTGCGGATACAGTTACTGGCAAGTGGATACTTTGAACATGCACAAGGTTTCTACCGTTTATGTCACAGTGGGGCGCAGGACGGGCCGCGCTCCTTCAACGGCACGTTGGACCCCCGTCGGAGGGCGGCCGACACTCAACATGGTAAGTCGTGTAAGTGATCATCGGGGGGTTTACAAAGACACAGGAAAGAGGTTCTTCTTTTTCGTAGCACGATTCTTGGAACCTAGTGTATCGCAGAATGAAGTAAGAAAAAAGGTCTGTAGACCCGGTGAGCGACTTGCAAACGAACTATATGGAGCCCTTGTAAATTGACTGTTTACTGATACCTACCACAGTTCATTTGGTAAGAAGACTCGTGTAAATCGACTATTTGGGCACGATGGGTAACAACTACGGAGTCAATTTGTTGATTTGACTCGGAGGGTTTTGTTGCACACACCCCTAACGACCCAGTAAACCTTAGACGAAAGCACGGATGCCATATGTACATACGTCTACTCCAGATGTTTACGGCGTTTCAGATAAGGTATGAGGCTCAATTTTGTTTTTCTGTAAGATGTTGTTTCGCCAGCAGACGTTTGGACCATCCCATCGCCATCTCCCGGAAACTCAGCCCAGCGGCCGGCTTGTCCAGCTTGGAGGATCGATTTGTTCGCAAACTAAGCTTACTATAGGGCGAGGCGAGGCGCACTGCACTAGCTAGATGTCAGATCTTGATGCCTGGCCCGTGGTGATTCGAGAAAGATTTTAAAATTGAACTGGGTGAGAAGGGGGTGGCAGAGTATCGCTTCGTTGCGAGTCAGCCAGCCAGGGTGACAGAGTTGGAACAGAGTCGGTGACGGCGTGCTATAGGGGAGTAAAAAATACGACGGACTCCGTAGCATGGAAAGAATCCTGGAGGATCACGATTTGAGTGAACTGTGAATTATCGCTAGGAGGAAAAGCATGAGCTAGGTAATAAACGAGACCATCAGGGGGCAGATTTTTGGGGCCAGCGAAGATCATCTCCGACTCGGCCGATACGCTACAAGTTCGGCTCCGGGGGCGGTATTTTGGTCAGTGGATCTTCAGTGGACGAAGAGCTCCCTTTGAAAGGTTGAACCGCCAAATAATTAGATTCAGGATACCGCATAGGAAGTAGGCACGACTCTTGTGCGTTTGCTCCATTGATACGTAGCTGCTCTCGACTCTATTTGCTTGGCGACGGCCAAAATTCTTAACTCCGATGCAGAAACCCGCCAAGGCACGGCTCAATCATCTCCGAAAACTAAAGCTCGACCTTGATCATCCTCTAATTAGAAGTAAGGTAGTCTAGTTGAAGGCGAGGCCTTTCGTCCAGGTTCAGGCCCGAGGAAAGGGTTAAATGTTACCCTACTCTGGTGTTGCTGTAGGTTTTGACGGTCGAGGCGTTTATCGGCCAATGATGCACCACAGTTCGCCGAATTGACTTCCAGCGTTCTTTAGATGCTTGTTTGTTTCGGTCGGCAGCCCCGGTTGATCGGGGAGGTAAAAAAAAAACCCCCAAAAAAACGAAAAGACAAGAAAGGTAGCGAAGAGTCTTATTGAAGGGTGCTATCGTCCAGTCTGCGATATGACATCCATTAGTCCCCAGAACTTGGAAAGCCCTTATGCTGGCACATTGTCATTTTGCAGCCTACCATCGACCTTGTGCCCTGCGAACCTGTGTTTCGGGTACCTTGCAGTTGCTGTAGAAGAAAACGGTAACAACTCCCTTCTTTCTTAGGTCAATTCAATCTTTTTCCCCACCTCCACGTTTATTTCGCCTTAACTGGACATAACATCCCGCTTTTCCCAGCCCTATCCAGAGTGCTTGTGCCTTACCATTGATCAACGTCGTATTGCGCAACGACCTCTTGTCTGGCCTCGAGATCCTTGATTCTCATGTTATGCTATGGATCGCTGGGGTGGCAGGGCTATTAATCAGTGAGCCTCAGCCTAGGAAAACTGGGTTCTCTTATGACAGCGCCTCCCGGGTGGCCAGGGTTCCTCCTTAATGCATCCGCGCCTTTCGTGAGCTATCCGAATAAGGAAGGAAAGCTGACACACAAAGGTCTCTCTTTTCACAAGTGAAAAGGCGACGATCTGATCCATTGTGACACTTGGCACTGGACCTCGCCATTCTCATGTCTAGGGGTTGATCTATCGCCGTGATGGATTTCGCTTGTCGAATCAATTACTATAAAGGAAAGACGGTCCCGTCGTTGTGGTCCATGGCGTCATGAACAGACAAGCATTTAAGATTTTCTTCCGGTTTTCCGGCTGTCAAAAGGTTATCTTAGGCTACAGTTGTACAGTACAGTACGCCTGTGCCGTATAGGTTTATGCTACCCTACCAGCTGCCTACCCAGGTTCCGTCACAGTCGATAAAATCTGATTCGCTAGCTCACATAAACGTAATTAGCTACGTAGCCCAGTAGACACGAATGCCGGTATCCAACGACTTACTGCAAGGACAACAGGAGTAAGTGACCCTTACACTCTAGCAAAAGAACCGGGAACCTGCCCGCTCGCGTCAGTTATCTCCACTCAGCAACCATCCCTCCGTCAGGATTGGCCAAGGTCAAGTCAGCAGATTCATACATATGTATACATACATTGATGCATTACTTTGGCCATGATATTCGTTTGTCAATACCCTATACTTCAGACTGTTGCTGGTTCAGCTTTCTGACAGAATCAGGCTTGATTGTTCCAGAAACCATGTGGCTGGCCCCCGTTTCATTAAACAAGATCAAATGCAATGCACATGCCATGTCGGTGAATTGGGGTGCATTTTCGATGACATCCTCTAGGTGTGAGCGTATCAGTCCTGACAGCATCCCCACGCAAGACTCAGGGGGTGATGAATGCAGCCCAGACCAGGGGGGTTCCAGTTCCTTTCACTTTGCGCCGCCTTGCTGGGCGTGGTGGTTACGCCGGCCGGCCGTTGGGACGACCACGATCCGACCGTCCATTCGCCAGCGATACCCCCGGACAAGTTGTCAATCTTCGGCCTTTTCGTCCAAGTCTGTTCTCCGGGGTGCCTTTGTTTTCGGGGCCGAGACGGGTTCGGACACGGATACGGAGTCGGGTAGCAGTTTAATGTCTCAGCCGGCGCACGAGGTTAAGGTTTGCTTATCATCTTGTCACGGTTTAAACCTTCAAAGTTAACGATCGATTTACTGCCGTAACCAATGTTTCCATTTGAACCACAAATCCTTCTCAGACTATGGAGCTATGCGTCCGCGTAAGGTGGCACTAAAACTCATCTAGAACTACTTATCCTCCTAATTATTATCCCTCATAAGCCAGGCACACCCGTTGAAGCCAACTTGTGTTCTTGGCCTGGTCCATGCTATTTGCGGCGCGGCTGTGTCCCCTGAACCTGGTCACTCAGCCAAGGGTGGGCTTGAGTGCCGCGACGATCATTTGCTTCGGACTCACATCCCCTTCCCAGTAGTCTGGGGCATCCCGTCCTCCCTGCACAGTTGGCTTGTTTCAAATCCGATGCCTCGTTCGATTCTTGCATACTACACTCCTCCATTTGCTCACTTCTGTCATCCATTCCAGCTTAGCCTGTACCAGTATACCTAAGTACCGCGCTTTTTGGCAGCCCCATCCAGTTTTGGCAGTGAGTTGCTAAGCTGCCAAATGCCTGAAACGGCATACACCAAATATTGCTGACTGTAGGTTCGTTTTCCAAAGCTTTGATATAACGTGTTGTACCTATATATCTATGGTGACCAGGCTTCAACCATCTCCATCATGAATCTGTGTTTAAAAACAAAGCGTTGTTATAGGCCTGCTTCCAAATGAAGGAGAATAGATACAGTATAGAAGTAAAAAGATAGTACGACTCCATCCATACCAGCCTCTTATACGGGGGTATTGGTGAAAAGAAAGAATACCAAGAATGGCTAAAAGTAGACTCCAATCCCAATATGCTCCGGAGGCAATCCAATAACAGTATGTCCTTGCCTCTTCAGACACCCCAAGTTATTTCATGATGCGAACCATATCTGATCGCTAATGACATATAAACAACGCCAGCCGACCCTTTAGCTTTAACAATTCAGACTGCAGGACCCGATCTTTTCGAGTTCTTGTAACTGCCAAAAATACGCCGTCTTTAAAAGCAAAACACCAATAATTGTGATGTTGGTAGACCGTAAGCCACTAACGCCAGATCCGTTTCAGTTCGAGGCTGAGCCACGAACGTTGCAGCAAGAATCGTATCCGACCTGCATACTCGTGTTGCTGATTTTATACAATTCGTTCATCTAAACGTATTCGTCTCATGAGTTTCGTCGACCCTTACACTTGTCGTGAAGTAGGTGTCCGTTTCGTGCAGTAGTTCTCGTAAACTCGGCTCCGCAGTTAGGGCAGGAAGCCTTTGCGGCTTGGCCAGATTTTTCGCGCTGATGTCGCAACAAATTACTGAAAGTTGAGAATTGTCGCCCGTTGCACCCGTGTTCCCAGCATCGCGGCTTTGGCCGACTTTGCACGACTCTGACATGTCCCGCTTCTTGTGTGTTTGCGCTTCCAGGGCCTAGGACAGTAGGTACCTGATACATAAAACCAGCGTCCTGGCCAACAGGTACAGGTGGTGATCGAGTACTGTCACGAACAGTTAGCGTTGCTCGCGAAAGATATGCACGCTGGCAAAATACCTATACTGACTGGATCCTGCATAAACTGCTGCATAATCCACGGGCATATTATAGTTTGCTTGTCTGATGGTTAGAGATTAGCATGGTCCGGGCGCCACCCTATATATGCAGGGGTCTTACAAGCTTTGTGGGTATGAGGTAGGATAAACGGGTGCGGATTGCGGTTGGTGGTCTTCGAGGGACGGGCTGTAAGATTGAAGATACGTCGAACTGCTCATTGTAGTCGGAGTATCGCTCATGAGAGTCACGGGAGCAGGCGCAGCTGTATAAGCTGAGATGTTCATAGCAGTTGTGGTAGCGGCAAGCCCCAAAGCCGAAGGCGAAGAATCGACGTAAGAGTTACTGTTGGCGCGGCGCATTCTGTTCACCAGCCTCGAGTCTCGACGTGCCCTATCTGACTGTCGTTTGACTTCTCGCTGGTCTGCCGAAAGAGACAGTCGTGGGGGGCTCGATGTCACGGATCTCGACTGTGGTGGGGGTGTGAGGCTACTTCCAGAAACATGTCCCATTGAAGGCAGTCCAGGACTTAGCAAGCTGCTTCCAGAGTTACTTGACTCAAGGGGGCCTGTAAAGATGTCAATTTAGACTGACATGGAGTAGGAGACATTGCAACATACCTGGCCATGTGAAGGCTGATCGAGGTCCCATAGTAAAGGCTGGATCAAATTGAATAGCAACAGTGCTTGAATGGCAACATTAGTACTTCGTGTAGAGTTCAAGACAAGAAGAAATAATACCTCATGCTGGTCGATCGTCCCGCCTGACGAGAGTTTGGTGCCAATTGATGCCTGTCCTCTTGTGGAAAGGAAATCAATGATCTTGTTCCTTCCTGAGCTTGATCTGGTTGACTCCAGGTTGAATCAATGCCTACTGAAGCCAAAGTTGGAAACTGAGAATATGATTGAGAGGCAGGCGTGGAGAGGTAAGTAGACTCGGGGGTTGGCGTGTTCAAGTAGGGTGTGGATGAGTAATGGTTTGGCGAGGGAACTGGAGGCTGAGGGGATATTTCGAGCGTATGAGTTTGCGGCGAGACACTTATGTTTGAGCCAAGTACGAACTCCCCACTAACAGAGACTTGACTACCAACAGTTGATCTGGTGGGAGGTGAGCTCGGGTTGTCACAGGTTCCATCTGTTGTGTTCGAGTCCATCTTGACTGAGGATGGAGGGGACAAGGGAAGGTATAGAGACTCGGATTGAGACATACGGAAAGTCAAAGAGCTATGAAGCCGATGATAGAGTGGTCTTGTTGTTGCGAGGTGCGATTAATAAGTAAGGGGATGAGGCTTATAATAATGCCTTATGAAGCTGGTTAGAGATGAAGACTCGAAAAGCTTGGTTTTAAAGCGGTGATCTATCTATGGACCATCTGAGCCCCAAACACGGCCAGGGACAGGATGCCGACTTATATGAAGAGGGCAGTACACAATCCCGTTGGACATGCATGACGAAGTAAAGGAACACTGACAGGAAACCTTCCTCGAAGAAGGCTTGAGTGACATGGAACCATGAGTACAGGGCAGTACCCGACAAGGGTCTGAATTGCAATGCTGTGTAGAATGCCCCATATAGCGTACGCTGAGCAATGAGAAAACATGCCGGTAACAAGGGTGAGTAATGATTGCGGGAGTGGCACCATTGGAAGGGAAACGGGGAAAAGAGCTTGGGTAATGAAGGGCTGGGGGGCGTGTTCAGAGAAAGAGATCCAGTAGCTATGGCCCAAGGGACCAGAAGTCATGGTGTTGGTATGTGGCGTAGCGGGGAAAGGACAAGCACCCATCGATTTGAAGTTGACCGGCAGCGTGTTTAGCACCCATGTCGATTGCCTTACCAGGCCAGCGAGGTACCCATGCGACGGCTAGAGCTGACATGGGGTCATGAGTGCGCGCGCACCCACCTTGTAAGGCTCCATCAAATGGGGGGGGCTCTCCTCCCACGTCGAAATCAAGCGGGTCATGGTAGCAGACCCCATCGCTCTACCCATAGTACCCAAGATGGACCGGCACAATGAGACGACAGCCGAAACGTTCTGAGATTGGACTGGGGCCGCAGCTGGCGGGTATTTGAAATACCAGACCAGTTTTGTCAAGCGATGAAAGGGTAGAGAGGCGCAACATGATCCATATGCCAGTTATATGCTGTGCTTCAGGCTGATTCACGGTTGCCAATGATCGCTTGTGCTGCGTATGCGTCTCGCGGTTCAAAGGCCGAAACCCTGCTGGCGTCGAGATTTGACGCCTGGCGCTAACGCGTCAATGCTGAACCTTGGACCTTGCTTGTGATGTTGGTTTGCATATTGGATATGGCACGCGATGGAACACGCGCAAACTGGGTGCTATGCTTTGCAGGCGGCAGTTGGCTGGCAACTACGAATCGATGTCTTTCGAATGTTTCCTTGGAAGGAGAGCTATGCTCAGAGGCGACAGAAGCGACAGAGACGGGAAGAGTCCAAAGAAAGCCGTGGGATTCGAATCCTTGCACTCGCTTCTCTCTGGGCTCAACGAGTGAGCGGTCGATGCAAACGAGAAGGAGCCGTCTCCTTGGCTGTGCAGAAACCGCAACTTGGTACTCGTGCCCTTCTGAGGCCCAATCCAATGGCATAATGTTCCAAGCGCGTCAATCCAATAGCACGAGTCAAAATGAGCGGGATACATAGCATGTTTTCCGTGCCGCCAAGAGCACGAGCGCAGATGCTAGGCGAGCTCATCGTTAGGGGCCACGCAGTCTCGTCAATCCTCGACCTAAACGGTACAGTCTAATTAGGCCCATCACTCTGGTCGTGGAGATAGGACGGTCTTAACGCATCTCGACAAAGGTTCAGCGATTTGATTTTTGCCAAGAGGGGTTCGTCGCGTAAATGCTAGCCGTCCAGGACAAGCACCCTGGAACAGGCAGCCAGTCCAATAGGCTTGTACACAGTAGACAGCGGGTCGACAGCAATCGAATCCAGGGCCAAGGTCGCGGGCTCATCGTTGAAAGGGCGGTCCACGGCGATCCATGGATCAGAAAAGACAGGACAATGGGTATAGGGATGGACAGAGGGGGAGGGTGTTAGGAAGCATCCCCATCCAATGCTACTGTACTATTCCCATCTACTGGGGGGTTCAAAGGCGCGCGGCGCCCGCTTGACATGCCGCTGAATTGACTGAGTGCCGGGCCGTGGAATAAGTCGGAATGGCTCCCTACTGCCGCAGACAGGTCGATTACAAAAGCACAACCGTTTCTCCCAGACCCAGGAAGCGGGTGCGAGCGAATGGTGACTAGTAGACGCCTTCCGCTTTTGGCGCGTGGTTGGTCTGAACAAGCGAAGCGGGAGGAGTTGGTGAGGTAGGGGTAAGTTAGGTAGGCGCCATTGACAGGCGCAACAAACTACGCTAGAAGGATGAATAATGCTTGCGACCATCCATTCTATTCCCCCGCTACCGCGCAAGTCGCTATCAACCCATTTCCCTCCCAGTTATGTTCCCTGTCAATTCGCTTCCACGAGCGGCCGACTCTTGGCTTTTAACGTTAATAACACCAGGTCAAGTTAGGTTGGTAAGGGCAGCTAGCCTAGCCCGGCAGTTTCCCACTTCACGGACTTTTTCTGACTGTCAGACCGCTGGGGGCACTCTCTTCCACACTCTCAGTGCATGCTCTATTTATCATCGTTGACTTCGAATCTCCCCCTCTCCCTATTGACAAGGTATCATCTATCATCGAAGATGCAACACAACATCCTGGATCATCAACGTGGCATGGGTGACTGACTATCATTGTCACGCACAGCCCCGTGATCGCTCCATTCCCTTATCCTCAGACCCCCAGGTTCGATTGCTCACTCATCCGCCCCCCATTGGTACCTTACCCTCCATTTCTCACATTCCAGACAGGCAGCAGGAATAGCCATGCACGAAAGCAACCACAAAGCTCTCATAGGTCGCTAAGCGCGAAATCTGCTTCGTATCGAGTCTATTTCCGTTTTAGGTAATCACCGGGAAACTGTATACCCCCCCTCCCCTCGCGTCGCTTGGTCGCTTGGTCAGAATAAGTTGTGCGTCATCATTCTCACAGTCCACCTGCACCATCACTGAGACCTTCATTAACCCTTTCAGCCAGTTACGCCTCAGACGAATTATAGGACAATGAACCCGAGTAGGTGTTTGGCGAGAATGACAGATCCAAAAAATCGGACTCTGGCTTGCATCGGTCCGATGCATCATGACAGCCTTGACCGATTGCAACACTGAACTCCACTTTATGGTGGCTTGGCCATGCTTGCAGCAGCTCGTAAAGACCCCAGGGCAAAACGGCTGCAGCGCTGACGGCGTCTAATAGAGCCAATCGATATGACGCTCCTATTCCACAGGCGCGCAATGAGCCAATGTCTAAGAGAGCGGGGATCGTCTAAGCCAAATGGCGCAGTGCGACAAAAGGACATTGACGTGGATCAGCAGCCTTAGCGTTTGGCCCCCGACTCCTAGGAAGCCAATCGGAAGAATTGGCAGGGTCATAGCTTAACCAAAAACAACACTAGATGTTTTCGCGATCCCAGTGCACAAACTTCAAGGTCTATGCTGGCAATCTTCATCACGCTGTGCTTGGCTTGCGGGCCAGCCCCTACGACTATAGAAACGCTGGAACACAACTCTCTGGCTCAAGCCTTATTACCGATGAATGGACCCAGAGCTTGAGCAGCCTAGCCCTTGTCTGTTGAGCTTATAAGAGTCATCCCTCAAGTACCACAGACACTTAAAATTTCATGATCTTATGTCCATTTGAAACATAGCACAGCCTCTTGTTATCACCCTATGTATGAAACAAAGCAGAGAATAACTCCACACCCAGATCCTTAGATGGTGCCTTACGCCTTGACAAAGGAATCTTACTTCACTGGTATAGTCCATACTTAGCGTTGTGAGCCGTCGTGTTGTTCGATAAGCTAGGTACGTGAGATTCTGATATGGACCACCCTCAGCACTCGGACGGTTTGAGGATACAAGATCAGTCAAAGACCAGAGTAACGTCGGGCTGGTACTGTAATTCAATGTCAGGCATTCTTGGCAATGTCGCTTCAAGGCTGCTTCTAGTCGATTTCGATTTTTGAGAATTTTCGATTGATTAGTTGACTCATTTGTTCTTTCGTGACATTTCCTTGAGTATTACTTTCGAAGGCTGCTTTTCTTGAATCGTCTACATCTTCCAGGTGCTTGAGCTGCTTTCAATTCGGAAGCGCTGAATACAAGATATTATTTAACTCACTAGAACAGCGCTTGAAATATAACTTCACCGTTTCGATCAATACTCGGGATGGCATGTTGGTCTGCAAATGGGTATCAGAATATGCCAGGCGCTTGCTGCATACTACCTAGACTGGACAGCACTAGCCATTTCAAGAGAGCTCAGCCCGTTGATATGCAAGTATGCGGCACTACTTTTAATCTATTACAGCAGGGTAATTGCAGCAAATCAAGTGGGAAATGGCATTGTGGTTCTGAACTTGAAGCCATTTGATCATCGGCATGAAGAAACAGTGTTCTCAAGGCAAGAACTGGGTCTCAGCTTTTGTGAAGCTATCTGGTAGTCACTCAAGCTAATTTACGCGCGCGGTATCCCCACCCTTCAGTTGAACACACTAAGTCCATTTGCAGGAAAGCTGAAAAAGCCAAGCCAACTCAAAGAGCCATCAAACATCAAAACACGCACGATTCATGGGCGCCACGCATGTTTCAGACACGCCACGGTTCCGTCCTCTTAAGAAGATCCCCAGAAATGACCCTAGGGATCAACGAAACGGCCATGATCCCTCCCTCTAGAGCACTGGAGATCACGCCGCGAAATGCTCCGGTCAAACCAGATTGCCTCCTAGTGATGAAACCACCTCCAGCTCGAGGGGCTCAGCTTCGATCGGCCTAGACTACTGCAATCCTCAGATTGGTTTATGTCGCTGCCTGGAGAGACGATCGATGCCATTTCGGTATTAAGGGCTTGTGCATGTTTGAGGGGTGTATTGGTCAAGCAGACACCAATTAAGCAGTGGGCAAGGCAGACTGGCAAGACTGGTCACTCATCGTCTAACTAAGCTGCGAGAAAGCCTGCAAGAATATGGTCACGGCATAGCGCCACTGCCGTCGTCATGCCCTGATCCAGTATTCGGTACCATCTCGAGCAAGTTTCAGCAGTCCATCCTCTAATACTAAGCAATAACGGAACCATTAGGATTGGCATAACAACACAGGCACATTCGCCTGGCCTGGCTCGGTGGGTTCTGTGCATCAAGCCTTGGCGAGCTTGCCTTGCTACAGTCGTCTCGGTAATAAAGGCTCAAGTCTCAAGCCGTGTGTTGAAGATCGACAAGCTCCATTAGTTAACATGACGTCCAGAACCTCTACCCGATCACTGGACGACAAGGGTCCCAGCCTGGTTCCATAGCCGATACAGTATCCATGTTATAGTGTACCTGAAGATACAAACCTCAGCAGCTGGTCGCTACATTTCCGACTCTCCTGGGAAGACTAGTGCCAGCGTATTTGTTTAAAAGAGAAACCTTCCGAGTAAGTAGCGTTCTCTGATCGGAAGCTATCATGAAATGTTCGTCACCGCCCGAGCACCGACTGCTAGCACAATCACCGTCACCGAGCGTGATGCAGATACAAAGATTTCATGTTTTACGATCGTAACCCAATGGGCTTTACCGCATTCTTCGGTCCCGAACTGTGCGATCTTTTAATCCCTGAATGTTGTGTTGCAGACTCATTATGACATGTAAAATATGGTGCTCAAGAGAACGATGGGGTCCGTCTACCTCTCATGATCTGACACATGAGGCAGTGTTGTTTAGTGAAACATTTTATGTATGAAACTTTTCCTGCACTTCCATGTAATTTGATTGATAGGAAGTTTAGCATCGAATGGATCTTCTAACTTCAAGATACTATGCGCCTTGCAGACCAAAGTCTATGAGATCCTCAAGGTATGCGAAGCTACGAAGTTGCAATACCCATAGCGACACAACATGTGTATCTCTTGACTTCCTTCGGGACTCGCCTCAATAGGACTGCAGCAGGGTAGTTCCCATTTGTACTATGATCTTGTTCAAACCTCTCTATATAGGCGTATATCCGTGTTCCACTATCAGTCAATACCCGCGGGAGCGTTCAGTGCCTCATGTACCCTGGACAACTAGCCTCCTTTTCACGGCCCAGATATCCGTGTAGCGTCAACTTGCACATACGGAACTGCACAACAACTTGCTCAACAAGCTCCGTCATCCCAAGAAATCGAAGGACCGGTTAAAAGGGTTGTTTTCACCTGTGCCGAAGGCGGTATCAGAGCTTCTGCTGTTGAGAATCCTGAACGATATCGAACAATTCTATTGCTTGCAAGGGCAGCTATGCAAACAAGTTGGATGGGGGCCATATCTCATGGAACTCTGGTGGTCAGGTCATAGTCAAAGAAACTGGTTGAAGTCTAATCAAGGAAGACAAGGTGGATCTGAAGAGTGGTAAATCAGATTGAACATGTGAAAAATGCCCAAGCTAGCCTACGTTCGGAGTTCGAAGGACCAAGGACAACTGGCACCAGAAATATTTTCCTTTCTTTGTAGGATTCCTTCACAGGGCTTCGCAGAGGAATATCAAGGTTTACTCTACGCCATGTTTTTTCTTTTCCCCCGAGTCTTGCGAGATGATATGCATGGACGGCGTCAAGGGTCATATGATCAACTGTGGCAGGCATCATACTAATGGCGGGATGAGGAGGAGGGAGTCTACATAGGTTCATCTGTTCGCTAGTTGTTGGGGATGCGGTACCTGAGCCCATCACTGCCGTACGAACCAAGGGGTGGGCCGAAAAGAACAACGAACCGAATCCTTCGGGTGAGATTTCTTCTAGCGGCCGCAACCTTCTTTCCAAGAGGCGCAAATACAGGGTCTTGATTCCCAACGGTCTCTCTTTTGTGACCGACAATGCATGAGTTGAGTGAAGTTGGAGATGATAGATGAAAGCTATGTAGTATCCGGAATAGGGTGAATACTGACCCGAGGATGCAGCTGAAGACCCTGGGCATGTGTCAACTCGTCTGGTGGAATCCTGGATGCTGATGAGACTACTAGCCAGGGGCACAGTTATATCACGGGGGTGGCTGTGGACTGTCCTGAGTCGCCTGTCCTCATGCCTCATGGCGCCCCTGGGGGGTCTTTGCCTTTCGAGGCTGTGCATGGGATCAGGGTTAGAAGTAAGATAGGATGGAGAATGTTGTCCATGCTCATATCAATCAAGTGGAGTAATCGGTTTTATTTTCTTTCCGCTTACATTAAAGTTTCTTGCTAGAATCGGTCATATGCGCTTCGGTCAGACTGTGTCGTGATTGGCTACGTCTCTTTACCTTGGCGTTGGTGATCTCTTCTAATCTCACTTCAAGCGGCAACGTCGGGCACTGCGGCTTTTCAGTGCGGCAAACTGTTGCATAGCTCTTACTTTGACATATAAACATCGCCGTTCATATAGGTTCTCCTTGAGAATAGGATGTGTTTGTGAAAACTACGTTTAGTTGTGTTATGTGAGTTGGCATGTTCTTGGCACTGACATAGAATAAATCCTGGCGAAACATATAAGTCGAAGGGATTGGATCATATTCTGTTCCAACTTGTTTCGATTTGATTATCCTTACATTTCAAGCTTAAGGGTTGGGTGCTAACATAACTGTCAGAGTTGGCAATTATGGTTCTATCAAACGGCGTGGTATAGGGTAGTCTACGTTATTGTTTGTCATTGGAACCTTGCATCGGTTATGTTAAGGAGGATAATGGAAAGTAATGAACTTTTGTGGTATTCCTATGGACTATCGCGTTTTCCCATCCTATCGTAATGATGGCATTGTTTATGTGTTGTTTATGGTAGCGGAGCTTAGCCTCATGTCGTAAAATCGTTAATGGTTTAAGAGACTAATGATATGAAGAAACAAACTACGAGGGATGCGGTTCTACACCCTAGGATCCATAAACCAAGAGAACATTCAAGGGAAAAAAGCCATCGAACTCAACTTACAACTAGAATAAGAATAAGCAACACAGACATGTTTGTATTGTTATTCTCATCACGGGGTCATGCTGAAAACAGTCTCAAAGGCGATGGCCCTTATGTAATCCAATAGAAGCCCAGCACGCGATCTGGGTCATTCACGGTCTAGGAACCAACCACCTGTCGTCATTGTAGGTACACTCTCTAGTAAGACACATCAGCCCGATATCCAACGAACAATCACAGTACTGCTTCAATACGGGCTATCCTCTTCTATTCACGGATAGATTCGCTTAACTGGGCCACAAAGAACACTCGTACAAAGCCGGTTGGTACAAGTTGCGCTATTAGCGAAATAGAGTGGTCGCCAGGCAGCGACCGCCTCTATCCTCGAGAAGAAGAAAACCTGCAACAACGAACTAAAATTACACCAGAAAGGCCTTTGTCTTCCCTCGTTATATACCGAATAGAGTCGCAACATCAACGCGATCAAGATATCAGCATACTCCCTCTCATAGCCCATTACTTCGAGCAACAAAACCCCCGCCAACAACGACCCCGCGATAGAGCATCAACCATGTCATCCTTCATCGTTAAGCTTTGGGAGGACATTTTTACCCCAGGCCCGACGCCCACCATCCTCAAGGCCGCGAATGCCTCCTTTGCCGCTCTCCAGACCGTCTTATTCTGTCTCCTGCTCGCTACATACAATATCCACTGCGTCATTCTTTCCATCCTCTGTGGTGGCTTGTGGTGGAGCGTCAACTGGTTTGCCGCCGAGCTTGCCATCGCCCAGCGAGAGCAGCGTGAAAAGGAGGAGAAAGAGAAGCAACAACAGAAAGAGGCGTCGGGCAACGATGGTGAAGACAGTGAGACGGAGGTCGAGACGACTGTCCCGAGCAAGCCGTCTCCCGTCGTCGCTACAACCTCTGACGTTGCTGTAGCTGCTGCCGGAGTCGAGCCTCTTCAGACAAAGGGGGAAGTGAAGCAACGTTCTGGGGCTGCGGGTACACAGTCAAGTGTCAGTACGGAGGACGAGTGGGAGAAGGTATCTGAAGCTGAGAATGAGAAAGACAAATAGAATCACTGTATACACGGGTCAGGGGACACGAATTCAGACCATGAGGTAGGATGGTATGGATGCGTTAGTGATTGCAGAGAAAGAGACGACTCTGGAGGAGGATACCCCTTGCGACATCTGTGATTTCTGGCGTGTATGTGGTTAGCGTAGTCACATCTTTCTATCTTAGATATCAATTAGAGCCGAACTATGGTGATGAACTCCACGTCACGTATGTCATGATCGTTGGCACGCTCTGCACTCAAACCATACTCCAAATACAGCTACGACTCACCACATGAGTCTTAAGCCTACGCTGGCAATGACCTCTGCGCCAATATATCGAAACAATATCCAACCCCAAGTCAGATGAGTCATAAACGAGAATTGCAACACCATAAGTAGCAAGAACACAAGTAGTACACGATAACTCCACAGAATTGTCCATCTTACATGACTTTTAGCTTCCGGGTCACATATGCTGCAACCAAACTGCTCATGGCTCCGATGAATAGGCACACCGCAATGGCGTTCGGACCATCTGGATCTGGTTGCTTCTTTTCATCACCCGCGAGCTCGGGACTCTTTCCAGGCTCGAGGACAGCGAACACGATGGTAGATATGAACGTACCAACAAACTGTGGCAACGTCGTATAAATGTTGAGGATGCCGAAGTAGATACCCGATAACTCGCCTGTAGAAGCTGTAGAAGGCAAGTCAACCTCTGAACCGTGATCAAGCTGCAAAGGTGCATCATCGTGACTGATCTCGGAGAGCTCAATGTCGGGCTCGTCCGAAATGCGACGATATGTGCCATCTGATCCGGCGCCACCGCCGAGCTTATTGACCTCGACGCCGAGGAAAGCACTCGGAGCCCACATAGCGAGAGTCCAAGGTCTAAACACCCATTAGCATCATACTTAGGGCGGAGAGCTGCTGTAAGACTTACATGCCGCATAGACACACCAGAACAGTCGCAAATCGAAAGCTGGTTGCAAATGGCGCCAAGGACATGGATGCAGCAAACATTATGTGCCCAAGCATCCAAGCTGTCAATAGATCAGGCTTCACCTTGTTAAACCGTGTCAAGAAGCCTGCGATTGCCTGAGGAGGCCGATGGGTAAAGGAGTTATCCTCAGGAGACTGGACAAACATGGGCAAAATCCAGGCACCTGCAAATGTGATTACGGAGTACATAACAAGCGCAGTGCTTCCTATGCGCCCAATGGCACCGAGGGTATCCTTGGATTTCCTCGCATCGGCGGGCACGTCGTAACGAAAGTATGTTTCACCAACCCATGTGGTACTATAGAAAAGAAAAGGGAACCAGCCGATCCAAGCCCAGAACTGTGCCCAGCAGATGGCTTGGATTCGAGGAGGTAGGTTTAGGAGTGTCGACCAAATTTGGCGAAAGACTTTGAAGCGACCTTCATGCTGGGTTGGTTTGGAGGCTACCAGTACCCGCTCTGTAACGGCCCAGCAAGTGAGTGACGTTGAACTCAGAAGAGCAATGGTTGAGATGACCGTGAGCTGTTTGAACTGAGTATCGCCAAGCGTGGTTCCAAAAAGCTTCAATAAATCTACAGCCCCGGCACCATACGCAATCATATGACCAATTGCAGACATACGGCTTGCTACAAAGAACGTTAATTCGACTCACATTAAAGCAACATATGTAAACTTACACCAAGCCGCCCCCGTCTGCTGTTTGTCGATTGGTAATGTATCAACAATGAGACTCTTAGAACATGACATAACTGAAAAACTCGTTAGTTTTGGGGGAGCTAAAGAGACGTTCGTGGCACCACACCAGCATTAATAGCGAAATCAACAACATAGATGGCCAATACAGCCAATACTATCGTAGGTCGCTTGGCAGCCTCATCATCGGTTACCACGAAACCGACAATCTCACGGGTAAAGCCTAACACTAGGAGGCTTATAGCAACAACAATAGAGCCAACGACCATCAACGGTCGCCGACGTCCCCATTTGGACTTACTCTCATCTGCAATGACGCCGACAACAGGCTGAACTATAAGACCGGACAACGGACCAGCAATCCATACCAGAGATGTGTTGCTTTTGGTTAAACCAAGATTAAGCAGATATGGCGTGCAGTCTAAACACTCTTCAGCAAGGTACACCATGAGATGATGAAATTGTAGACTTACATGTCATTTCGATACCCCATGTGAAACTAGATGAACCAATGTTAGGAAGCCAGCTCAAATTGGATTACTGTTGCTGCAGGTCGCAGGCTAAGTAAACGTACGTTATGCCAATGGTGACGAAACTCAATAAAATCATGCGCACAGCCTCAGAGTTGCCTCTGATAGCGGGCTGTCCCGACCAGCTGGCCATGTTGGCCGGATTGCGCCCTTGAGATTCAAAGTTAACGTTATCCTGGCTGTGTCTACCCGAGCTATTGCGATCGTATGAGTCTCGTTGTGGATGGCTGCCGTAAGCCTCGGTACCGATCGAAGAGGGAGTTGGTACTGGCGGCGAACAATCTCGAGGTGAATACAGAGCGTCGATAGATATGGCAGAAGCTGGGGGAGATATCGACGGTGTTGGAATAGGAGAAATTGAAGACGAGCGGGATGTTGAGCCGGCAGCACTCGGGATAGTGAGGTGAGTATTAGACTGAGGATACGAATGACGTAAATTTTGTTGAGAAGTTTGATGCTGCAAAGTTGACCGTGAGCTTTGATTCTGTTGACAATGAAGCCGAGACTGGAATTCAGCCACGTTGTGGTTATGCTGCAACGGTCCAAGTTCCTGATGAGGATGATGACGATGCCGCTGCGGGTACTCGCGATCGATCGCCTGCTCTTCCGACGAGCTTGTCGCGGGCATGTTGTGTAGTGTGGGTCATGAAACGGGGGAACCTTGAAAGAGTTAACAGTACCTTTTCGCGAAGCTTCTTGCTCTGCCAGGGGTTAAATTGAAGCGAAAGACTTGGCAAAGCTGTCGAGTAATGTAGGAAGGGCAAAGAAGAGATGCCAGACTTGCAGCTGATGGATCGTAGCAACAGAGCAGCTAAGATTGATTAAGGTAGTACTGCTCAAGGTACTGAAGTAGGTGCCTAGTAGGTACAGAGTACAGGTACACACAATACCTTACCTTAGTGCTCTAGCGCTGTGATTGGTAGTACGTTAACCCCCTTTCTCCTGCAAGGGCGGGGATTCGTATGTTTACCGCAGTTCCACTTTAGGATCTTTCTACAGGAAGTCTGGGGTTATTAGTTCCAAGTCACATGTCAGACAGAGTCATCATCTACATACGGCAGACGAGTATGATACATATCAAATGTTAACCATGTGTTAGTCGGTAGCCAGCCAACTAATGATTCTCAAGCTCAATAAGAGTGCCAAAAGACGCCATACAAAGATCTTGTCACCAAGATAACCATACAAGACCGCACATAATGATCCACGTAACCAAGTTTAACAATTCAAGTTTCATCATGCTTGGGCCACTGGAATCTCATTCCATAGTCAATACGATTCTTTACATTTCCTCCACTGCCACTTGATGCAACCGAACTTCATGGCCACGCAAGCACTACCCGCCTAAGTTGGTTCGGGTTCATCCCTCGTTATTCACACCTGAAATCTTACATACGTTGGTATTTTGCTCTGAACGCCTGGCTCCCCTGCTTTAAAAGTCAAGGCCCCAACCACGCCTCTCTTTCATCCCATGTTTTCTGCTTTCGCGTAGAGGACACTGAAGGCTTTTACCCAAATACAAGCCCAAACAAACAAATGAAAACTGAATCAAACGACACATTGTCGAACAGTGAGTTCAGCATAAATAGGAGCCGAAGGGCGAAAAAAAGGCAAGGATGAACTCATAAAAGACAAATGTTAGAAATGCCGATCAACATGGATGCGTCTTAGGACCGGGTAAATCTCTTGCTGCAGTTCCAAATCGTAATGTCCATGTAATAAACGCCCAAGCTCCTTCCTTGAATCCTAGTACAAATCTTGGATGTGTTGCGTAGTTGATAAGATAGCAGTTTGGCTTGACCTTGCCTGCTGAAGTTTCAGTCAGTCATGGGCCGTGGTCATGAATCAGCGAGCCTGGCAAAATGTTTTGACCAAATCCACCCAACGCGATCGTCTGGATCATCCTGGTTCTTTGCCAACCAGAGCTCTCCTTTTTCACCAAGGACGTCGAAGATCTAGACTAGCAGTTAGCACCCAAATCCAAGGTCATTTGTGGAGTGAGTCAACTTACTTCGCCGGCCTGATACACCAAGTACGGATAACCGGCTTCGTGTTTTGTCGTTGCGATATTGAACTCAAAGAGGGAAGCCGCTAGCCAAAGCACATTGTACCCGTCGTCTGTAGGTCCTCGCTCCCTTGAAGATGCCCGAGACGATCGAGCACTATCCTCAGGTCCGTCAGCTGGTGGTAGAGCTGAGTGGAAAAGCCCCGAAAACCGTCGACCCTCTTGAGATTGGTTCTGGGAACTGTAGGTCGTATGGGAGTCTCGGAGCTGTTGTGTAGCTGAGTCTGAGCTCTGTCGTGGAAGTCCCCCAGAGTCAAAACTTCTTCCTGTACTGGGTCTCGTAGAGGCGGCGAATGATCGCGTGCTACCAGGAAGGTCTGGAGAGAGAGGAGATGCCGTGCCCTGCTGGTGGTTACCGATACCCGAATAATAGTCACGATAATAATACTGATGCGGACTAGGGATGTTCCCTGCTGTGACACCTGTAGGTGACGCAGTATACGAACCGCTGTGGCGTTTTGTGAATTCGGGTGTAGGAACGCTTGGGGTCTGTTCACCGCTGATTGAGTGGCCCCGACCCCGCGAATCACTCTCAGACGGACGTGATCGCATCCTCAGGGATGATGATTCTTCGGTACTCCGTGTGGTTGACTGAGAAACTCGACCCCGATACATGGGATTGAGGATACCAATACTGGCTAGCTGCTCCTGTTGATAGGGGAAGTCGCGTTGGAAGGTTGCCACGACCTCCTTAAGATCTGGCATATCAGGACAGTCGCCCAAAACTAGTTTCATCTTGTCCTTCCATATCCCATACCATCTCGTTTGGATGTTGACAAAGTTACCCAGACAGATGTTGCCCACCTTTTCAGTTAAAGCAGACAGCTTGGGGAGCTCTTTCTTCAGCGTATCGTTCAGAGCATCGTACTGCTCAACAAGCTCGTTGAGTTTGGAGTCAATACTTTTGCCCGCACGCTTTAGCTGTTCGTATCGCTCGTAATCTACACGGCGCTTTTGGCGTTTTTTCATTGCCAAAGACGGGTTACCGTAGGCCTTGATAACATGTTCGAACGGCTCAATGACATGTTTTCGGACCTGCGATAACTGGTATCCGTCAGTACTCTTTTCCACAAGGGTCACTCAAGCAATCAACGTACATGCTCCTCAAGCGCAACCTTTTCAAGATCTCGCATCGAGATATTGAACTGAACCCACTTGCTTTCAAGCTCAGGATGGTTTCCTGGTTGTAGCCTCATCACCAACTCGATAGAAGACAGATACTGCAAAAATTCGTGTACATAGGCAGATACCTGCCTTGTATAGAATTCGACATCTCGGAGAACAACTTGTAGTCGCAGATAATCGTCGCCAAATTTCTCGTTCAATTTAGCATATTCGGAATCTTCACTCGTTCGGGTACCTGACGCTTGGAGCTTGTCGACTCTTTTGCCGAATGCGCGCGCGAATCCTGCCTTAACATCGGATTCCTTTCGCTTTCTGCCGACGATCTGGCCGACAAGTTCGAAATTCTTCTTGGTTTTGTTGATCTCGATGATGGCCGTCTCGAGGATCTCTTTAGCCTCGATTAGACCTTCTCGATCGGGATGATCCTGTGGGGTGTGCTGCAACAGCGTTATAATGAGATTGGGATACTTAGTGATGCGCTGCATTGGTTTAATTAAGAGTGAGTCCAGGTCCCATGCTGCAGTCAGGTCCTTCGCAACTTCGTTACATTCATTGAGCCAGACTTTCACCGTGGGATCCTGTTGTATCTGGATGAGCCGCTTGGCTGCCCCGTCACTGTTCCTCAAGAAGCCTTCATGAGCGAGCTTCATCTTCTCCATATTGGCTTTGAAAACAGGGCCGATCAAGACGGAACGATCTTTGGTATCATCAATGTCAGCAGGATTAAACTGCGAGGGCTCCGATATCAATGTGCCTTCCCTAGCAAGCGCAGACCGCCGGCTCTGCATCGTGTAAACAGCAAGAACTGCCTCTTTGATCTGCGCGAAGAAAGAGGTGTGGAATGCAATAATTTCATCAGTGTTCCGGAAGATGAGCTTGACAGTGTTGCCGTCAAGTTTTGGACAAGCCTCTGCTGTCCCTTTGTAGATCTCTTCAACAATATTCATGTCGCGCACGAACACAGCTTCAGTATCAACAAGCTCTTTTATAACGTTGCGTCGTTGAACAAGTCGTTGCTTTTCCTTTCCCGTTGGACCCTGTTTATCATATGTTTCGGAGTTTGCATCTCCGTTCAAAGTGGTTGCATCCGCAAAATACTGATTATGGGTTGACAGGGATGCGTTGTCCATCGATTGAGGCGTTGTCATCATGGGGATGTAATCTTGCGACCCTCTTTCAGAATTGACAAATGTGCTTCCACTTTGGGACTGCTCATAATAAACACCTGATGCTCGTTGCGAATTGCAAGCGGAGCCGGATGTTGAAGCGGGTATGGGAGGAGGTTCGTGATTAGGGGATGGGAAATACGAGAAGCTCTTGCTGGCTCTGTTGGAAAGATAAGGAATGGAAAACCCATCTCCAGTGTCTAGCTCTGGGAGTTGATGACTTAGATACGGCGATTGGGTCAAGTCTGTAGAAGGTCGGATCTCCGGTTGACTATTGCGAATTTCCAAAGGTCGCTCAACAGGTCGGCTATTTCGATGGATAGATGTTGTTTCAAAAATCGTGACATGGCCATGATCTCCAGTTTCGTTTTCGTCATCATCGGGAAACACTGGTGAGCGCCCCGCTGGAGACATGTCGCCACTGTTGATCGAAAAGTCAGTCCACGCTGACTGCTGACTTGTTCTATTAGTCGCAGACAAAGTCGGTACCATGAGATTTGTTGAAATCTCCGGCTGCTGCTGTTCAGAAGCATAATGAGGCTCGTTGTTAGTGTCTAGAGATTCACAAGTCGAGGCACGATGTGACGAGACTTGGTCGTCGGACGGCACCTCTGATCTACAGTCGTTTCTGCCGGCCTCTTCCACGTCCTCGGTACAGCTGTCAGTAATAGCACCATCGTCATGAGAGCGGCGATACTGCCTCGCTACTTCATCGTATTCCGAATCAGAATGACACTCTGATTCATAGTCGGGCTCAATTCGTGGAAATGGGACCGTTTCTTCAAGGCTCTCAGCCGCTCTTGGTTCGTCACTGGGTGGCAGAATGGTGATTGTAGTTTTGTAGGACTCAACACCGGGTTGGGGCTCGTCTGCTTTGGCCTCAATATCGAATGCACCAGGGATGAAAGGCAGAGTAACCTCATCGTGCTTCGACAATGCATGTTCAGCTACACCAACGGTATTGGATGCGGATTTTGGTCGAACTGGTGAATCAGGATCATCCTCGAATGGGTAATGATACTCAGCCTTCAGAGGAGATGCGGACTTCTGAGTCTGTGGACTGGGTGGCTTGATAATCGTGATGGGAACTTCAAGCGGCGTCTGTGAGGACCTTGGAGGGGTCATTTGAGGTTCGTTGTCGAACTCTGTTGTTTCTGATGTTACCGAAACGGCAGTTGGTGGTCGCTCTGATTCACCAACAGGAGGACTGAGGGCTGGAAAGCTGCCAGGAACACCCAAGGTGGGTGAATCAAAGTCTTGAGCTGATGGCTCGTCGGTAAGCGTTGCCTGCGAGGTCGCAGCTAGCATCAATGAAGCGGGTGGTAGTGCCATTGCGATATCAACCGGACTCATTGTTGGGTCATCCAGAAATGGTGAAGGCTGGTCTCGGCGTGGCTCTCCATCAGGCTGATCGTAAGACACCTCATGGCTACCTGGGAATGCAAGAGTATCTGAAAGGTCAACCACATTCAAGGTATTTTGCACTTCTGTGGCATTTGAAACCTCCGGGCTCAAACTTGGCCCACTACCAATCCTGAAATCTGACGATACTAAATGGCCATCTGGAAGGGGCGGAACTGGTGGAATATCGGCGAGGGTTGGCGACTCT